TGGGTGTACAGGCACGCGCGTACTGCTGGCACGTTTCAATATGTCAGCAATCGTCCAAGTCCTCAATTCGAGATTTTAAGGCGGAATCGATGCCGTATAACCAATCGGCCACCACACACAGCTACTGTCCGGAAAACAGGCGGAACATACTCATGGCACTCTCCAATCCAGCGAATGAATGGCAGAATTCAAACAAGGCGAGTAAGGCAAACTTTCAAGCGCGCCTGTGACAAGATACTGACAACTCAATAGGCTGCTTTCGAGGCGAGATGCTAGTAAAACTGCAAAATCGGCACCATACTCCAGGCCATTTTCGATTCGAGTCTGGTCCAAAATTGGTTCTGGCTCAGGCTCAGGCATGTGACGGGTGCTCGGATGGTCCTGATGGTGCGAATAATCAGGACCCCGCATCCGGGGTTCATCTGGAAAGGGCGGTATACTATACGTGCAGGTGAGCTTGAGGTATATGGTACAGTGAGGACTTGAAGAGCGAACGGAGCATTTGAACTAGGGAAATTCCGTTGTATTTCGACCGAAGAATACGTATTACCAGCAATAAACTCCTCTTGCTCTGACAACGACAACATGAACGCGAATTTTGGAACACAGCGTGCATTAAGTTTCAATAGGAGCAAAGACTCGCTAGATTCCTCAGAGGGTATATCGGAGCAGACTATTAAGCGGTAGGTTCACTTCGATCATCTACTGGCCCTTTAGGAGTGCTAATGTGTGTTTCTAGAACTTGTACCACCCCTAAACACAAGGCATCCCACCTACGATTCCTAACTTGGATACCTTATTTGCGCAAATACTCTTCGACCATGGACGACCTCCAGCGAATGACCTGTCCTCTAATAGAATGCAAGCAACTTTTCGTCACTGAGGAGGCAATGCTTCAGCATGTTAATGAATACCCACATTTGTCGAAAGGAAGCTATCGATGCTCTCGCTGCCACAGAGAAGAACGAATCAGTAAATTCCACACCAATGGTTGTCCTGACACACATCCTGGAAAAGATAAATTATTTACTGTTGCCAACCCGCTGAGACTAGCGAAGAAACTCTTCTCGCCTCATGGATCAAAACGACGCTACGGTTTTGAGAGCGAGACCATGCGGAGCGATAATAGTACCCAAGAGCATGCTCAGGAGCGCCCTGCAACATTCGATGCTGATGTTTCGGAGCTCGATTCTGCCAAGCTCTATTATGCCGAGCTCGATTCTGCTTCTACGGAGCTCAAGGAGTTGGAAACAATTTCCTACGACAAACCGCATACCTGTATACAGGGATTGCAATGCTATAACTCGCCAGCTGAGCTTCACGGCAACCATGAATACTTTGGTAAATCAAAACCCTTGAATCAACGACAGGATCCAAATCGCATGCCCGCAGAAAGCCAGAATACGAATGAACCCAAGGATACAGAACATGAACTCTATCGCCGATATCCACAGGTCTGGATCTCGCCTCTTCCATTCGATAATGGAATCACTAAAGAGCTACGATTACGAATCCCTAGTATTGATCGATCTGCAACATTCCTTGATCACGACGACCTTCATCAATCGCAACACGTGGCACGAGCTATCACAGGTCCACCAACATATCACGGGAACGTCAACCAAACCGGCATTCCACATGGACTGAGTTCTCCAGATAGTACCCAGGAGTCACCAATCTCATTTCTAGAATCTCCAGCGGAAAGCTTCACGAGTACGAGTACGGGGAACATGACGGAACATTCCTCTGGTACAACAATATCAACATCAACATCATCACCCCTGACACCGTTGACGCCCATTTATGGACGAGATGTTGGAACCGGAGGATCCTGTCATTCTTTCATCAATCATGAAAGAAAGATCTACTCCGGCTGGATGGTTCCAGATTTCGACTATTTTGGTCTTTTGCCAGATCCCGGTACATCAAGTTCTGTTCCTAAGCTTAGCCAAGCATATGATAGCTCAGTATATCATCCGTCCAATATCATGCTAAAAGAGACGTAAGTAAAGCACCCACTAGTCTATACCGCATCAACTAATACATTTAGTCACAGTCGACCCCATAATTGCTTTCAGCCCTCGAGGGCACTATTGCCTCTACCGTTGCCCGTTCCAGATTCCTCACCTCAGGCTTCAGTGACCACCTCATCATCTGCTTCAACGCCATACTACTCTGAATTGAACTACAGATGTGATGATTGCGGTTACGAACCCTCTGGAAAGGAGATAAACAAGAAGTCTAACCTCAAACGCCACCAGAAGAAAAGTTGCAGACGGTATTCGCCTTACTCTGACAGTGAGAAACCCTACCAATGCACATATCGTGGTTGTAGGAAGCGATTCACGCGGTCTGACAATCTTCTTGTTCATCGACGCAACAAAGATCATTCTGAGAGGTTCGAACTTGAAGTGGCTGGTCCATCTCCGGAATCTGGTCGTGAAACGATGCCGAATCTGTTGAGTGAAGGCCCCAACTCAGCAGAGTGGTGGAATAGTATTAATGATACATATTGGATATAAGTGACTACCAGAAGCCATAAAAAAAGGCACCATCACGGAACGCCGAAGACCCTGGTATATGATGTGCTGGTCAACATGCAGCTTGGCAAAAGTTGAATACTGAAGAAGTCTGGGATTTCTGTTTCGCTCTTTCATTTCTCATATTCTCATTACAGTGTCAAATTTCCAACGCAGGGCGTTCTACCCCAAGTATTAATGTCTCTATATTCCGTTTGAAACGAGGAAAACGGCCAAGCCTAGTGCTAGGTCTACGTGCGGAATAGTAATAAATCAAAGCAAAATGTTCAATCGCTCTTTCACAACCTAAGACTGTCACTTGACGATATGTGCCAATAATTTACCCCTGAATTTAGGTCCCCGTACTCCTAACTGGTACTATAGATCCTGAGGACTCTCGGTGTAATCCTCAGGACCGAAGCCTCACTTGAAGGAATGTACCTGTGAAGACTGCGTGGACCATGCACCCTTGCTCGGCAACGACCGATTCGGGTTTCCGACAATCCGGATGAGGCTCACATGAATCAGCACCGTAAGCCTGATTTCCAAAAGTCCTTAGATGATGCCGCGTGACGAGAATGAACTGAATTGTATACCTCGGTGCCAAGATCATGTCCTTATTCCTCGCTGCCTGTTTCCGCATTCAGGACCTGATGCATCTCTCGTCTGGCGGACGGCGAGGGCGAGAATCTGCGAGTTCCTTATACCGACTTTGAACGTGTATATGTATATATACGAGGAGTAGCATCAGTTTGGCGAGGAAATATCAAAGGAAAGGCAGCTCTAAGTTTCTCATCTTATCATCACCCCTCAAGCAATAACAATAAGAAGACCAAGTTCAAACCCATCATGCACTCAGAAATGCAATTCTAACTCCATCCAGACATATCCAAAAACCTTTCACCGAAGAATTCTCTTCCCAGAACTCGACAAACCATCTCATCCCAATCCCAAAATGCCAAACCACAGCTCTCAAAAGTAAGCAACGCAAAATCTCCCACTCCTATACCTTCCTTCGACATCTTTCCACACACTGTAGCGTTAACACGCGCCCAGCACCTCACAACAGCGAAACGGCACTCAGAACAGCCAACCAGCCCCTCTCACACCAGAAAACCTCGCACGAGTCCAACAGACCCATTCGAACCGCGAAGCATATCTGCAGCAGGACCAGAATTTCGAGCGGGTCTCGCTTGGGTTGGCAACGGATAGGGGACATGGGCACGTGATGTCTCATGAGCAATGGAGGCAGGGCGGAAGAGGGGGGAACTGATGGCTCTCTAGGCTGGGCGCACGTATGTGGATGGAAAGGAAAGGAAATAGGATCGTGGTGGACAGGCGGCGTTATTGGATGGTTAAGTGATAATTAATTATGGTACTGTAGTGATAATTCGCGCATAGCGCAGTCGTGGGGGATAGGCATAGCTTTTTATAATCAATAAAGTAGAATTCCTGAATAGGTAATATACCAAACTCTCAAATGCAAATGCATATGCGATATTATAATTATAGGTTATGGTCAGCTTTAACTCTCATAGTGTTTTACAGCCGTCTCTATAAAAAGAAGCCACCTTCCTCCCGGTGGACAGAAAAAAGCAGGACGCAGTTTATACTGTAATGTGCCAAGTAGCGTGGGACATTATTGAAAACAGTGCCACTTCAGTGTCCAGCAAACTAAATGGTTTATAATCGGAGGTCTTTTATGCAGAATGCCGTAAAACACTGTAGGGGTTAATTAAATTGAGAGGTGAGAGTACAAGCATAAGCTTTAGTCAGATTCGCTTAATCGCGGCCAGATAAAAGGGGTTCTAGCGAGGCGTGCGTGAAAACTGCCGAGAAGCTAGCAAATAGCCCCTCTTCTCGAGTCGCAGATTATTTTCTCGACACAGGTACCTTCTACTCGCACAAGCCAGAAGTCTTTGGTCCTCACGAGTTGCAAGTCTCAAGTCACGAGTATCTTACAGGAAATTTATTTGCAGCTCATGCCAGTACACAAAAATCTGAAATTCTGGGGCAGCACGAGTACCGGTACTATACTCTATAAGCCAGTACGATCATTACCCCCATCCCCCACCAAAGCTCCGGGATGCACGCGGGGCCGAACCTGTCATGCAGCACGAATGCCAACAAATTAAGTACAGGAATAGATACATGGTTCGGTACTCTAGCTTCCAAGTTGGTTACGTGTATGATGTATCATTTATCCATGTTTGCTTGATATAACAAGTATTGAGGGGTACAAGTATTGAGGGGTATGCTCCATTCGGCTGTTCGGTCCCTACTCTCCCCCGACTTTACAGTATGTGTTGCGGTAGCGTGAATGTGATTGGTGGACGTGTTTGTGTTTTCAGTACAAGACCAGTATAGATAAACAATAAATGCCCGTCAATGTGTGTGGCTTTCTCTCAAACATCTACGAGTACTTCAACACTGCTCTGAGGACAAAAGTTTCATACTTCTTTGTCGTTTCCAATTCTCATCATGCTTCTCGCAGCTCCCGCCTTGCTCGTATTTGGTACTTCGGCCCTCTTGCTACTCTTCATCATAAAAGTAGAATCTAGGTCATGATGTAGTCCGACCATACCTTACTAACGAATATGACAGCTTTTCCAACGTGCTTTCACGGGACCATTGCGTGGTATCCCCGGTCCGCGTCTGAATCGTTGCACCAACCTCCCTCTGAAATACTACGTCCTTCGAGGACAAAGATGCCATTACATCCACCGTCTACACGCTCAATACGGACCTACGGTTCGCATAGGCCCGGAAGAAATCGCCATCGCGGATCTTCCGTCCTCTCGTGAAATCCACCGTATCGGATCCGGGTATGTGAAATCGGGTTGGTATGCCAGATTCACCGAAGAAAAAACCCCCGGCATCTTTGCTATGAGTAATCTGAAGGATCATGCTATGCGGCGGAGCCTTTTCTCGTATGCCTTCTCTCAGAATGGCCTTCTTCACTGGGAAGACTTGCTTCAAGCTCGATCGAATTTGGCGGTGTCTAGGATAAAGCAGGACGCGGAGAGCGGATCAGCGGACGTTCTAAAATGGTGGACTTTGATGGCCTCTGATATTATTGCGGAGATGGGATTTGGAGAGAGCTTTGGGGCTCTCGAGTATGGACAGGTACTGTAGAAAAGCCTCATAGTCTGAGGCACTGACTAATTGGACTTATAGCCAACGCAACTAAGCAGGGATCTTGCGGCCATCACCTTCTTTGGGGCGATTCAGTCAGAACTGGCCCCCTTGAGCAAAATTGCCTTTTTTATCCCCCTTCCGTCCATCCAAGAGTTTCGGAATTGTCGAGTCAGAATAAGCAGCCACGGAAGGAGTGCAATTGCAAGAAATAGGGCACTTTCTGAAAAAGGAGAGACTGGCCGAACAATCTTCAACAAAATCGTGGCGGAGGCTGAAAATAAAAGTGCACTTACCGACGAAGTCTTGGCAGGTGAAGCTCGCGGTCTCATCGTTGCAGGCAGTGATACGACAGCCAGAACACTAACTTATCTCATATGGGCTACCTTGAAACATCCATCTGTCAAGCAGCGTCTTCAAGATGAAGTAGACCGACTACCGACGGGATTTTCGAGCAAAGACGCGACCGGGCTACCATACTTGATGGTGACCATCAAAGAGACGTTGCGACTCTATGGTGCTGCTCCAGGAAGTCTTCCAAGGTCGGTGCCATTTGGCGGTAGGACACTAGGAGGATATCTATTGCCTCAAGGAACGACGGTTTCTACCCAAGCGTGGACTCTGCATCGAGACGCAGCTATCTTTGAGAGGCCATTGGATTTCATTCCTGAGAGATGGTTTGAACCGACGCAAAATATGAAGGATGCATTCATGCCGTTCGGTGGAGGATCGAGAAGTAAGTTACACACTCTCTTCTAGTAGAAATCTTGTTAATGAGGGTAGTTTGCATGGGAATTCACCTTGCTTATATGGAGATGGCCTTGTCTGTCGCCAAGTTTTTCAGGGCTTGTCCAACAGCCACTATAAGAACGAAGGATGAGGATATGGAAGTTGAGAATCATTTTTTGATTGCCCCAAAGGGCCACAAATGTGAAATCGGGATGTGATTAATATATTGAAGCATGGTTGTTCAGGGAACCTGTGAAAATGAGCCGGAAATGATAAAGAATGGCAATGCATGTCCACCTCGAAGAAGTGGCGTTTGATATAGTGATAATTTATTCAGTATCAATGCGAGAGGTCCTCCCTCTACCTCCAAATCTACTCCGATTTTCTTTCTGGTTCTGGCAGCATCCACCAAGTTACTGCCATGATGGCGAATAACCCTATACAGATCGGATGCAGGACGAATGTTCCGGCTTTCTGAGCAATCATTCCGGTCATGAACGGAGCGATAGCTCCACCAGAAGTTCCGACAGATCCAATCAGAGATAAAGAAGATATTTGCATCTTCTTGGGGATGAGACGTTGAAAGATGTGAACGGCTGCCGGATAGATTGGACCAAGAAGGAGGCCGGAGAATGCAACTGCGACAGAGTCTCCGGGGATAGAACGCACGAACCAGACGATAATTTCTAGGACCAAAGCCTGGATTATAGTCAGTTTGAGCCTGGGGATGAGTCCCGGGGTGATACGTACTCCGGCAGTCACGATGAACACGAAGGAGCGCTCACCCATGTTGTGAGCTAAGAATGAGAGGGTAAAGCGACCTAAAAATGTTCAGTTGTGGTTCCCATAAATAGGATATTTGACTTACCCAGAGTAATGCCGGCCCAGAAACCAGAAGTCACATATCCAACCTTAGTTGGGTCTCCATTGCGGAACTGCACCAAGAACGAGATCACCCATCCAGAAATAGATACCTCAGCGCCCTTCAAGAGAGTTAGCCTACTTTCGGTTCCACCATCTTCAATGATGTATAGCGATAGCTCCAGAACCAGTGGTATGTCCAAAGAAATGACCAGAGCCCGGCTTTAGAATTTTATACATGTACTAAGAGGGGGTCTATTGGTCCTTGATTGACTCACCTGGTACGCGAAGATAAACAAAGCTCCGAAAACCGTGGCTTTGTTGGTCAAGAGTGTCTTCATAGAACTCCACCTTCGCCCTGGAGTCGTTGAGAACTGGTTGCGATTGCTTTGTTCGCTTGCTGGTGGTGGCAAAGCAGGATCTGATTCGTCTTCATGCTTCTCATACCCCCAAAATGCCCATGCAGCAAAAAATAGGTTAAAAGCGGCAATACTCAGTAAGATGATATAGAAGCGTGACCATAGATATCCTCGTGATACCATGGACGTAGCGATCAAAGGAGCCATGGTGCCTCCAATTCCGTAGGCACCCTGGTAAAGCCCTAGAATGACAGTGTTGTTCGCCAGGTTCGCGCAGTACACCTGTCCGATGGCAAGGTTTATAGCCATACCGATGCCCAGGAGAAGGTATCTGGAATCGAGTCAGTTGTGAGCTGATAGGGAAGAAGTCTACCTACGAGATGGCCACGACACCAAATGAAGGAGTTGTAACGATAATAACGTAGCCAAACATCAGGAATACCTCGGAAATAATCAGAGTTTTGGCTCGCCCAAGCCTCTGGGACATTGAGCTGACGAAGAACGCCGCCACGATGAAGCCCAGAGCGTTGCAAAGAAAGATGGTTGAAACAGTGCCATACTTGATATTGTAGTGCCCGCAAGACTGTTAGTAAACATAAAGACGAGAGATGGGTAAGGATACTTTTCAATGCTCCCAATCAAGGCTCCGTTGGCTGAATCATTCATACCGTTTGAAAGGGCTGTCAAAGACGTCGCCAAAACACGGAATCTATTTTTGTAAGGCTCCCAAATAGTTTGCATCTGATCCACCATTGGGCCAGGTGGTGAAGACCTGGTTGACTCATGATTTGAGGGAGGTAGAGATTCGAGGTTTTGTGTTCTGCTGATAGAATCTCTAGAGATCGCATTCCTCTCCGGCATGTTATACATCTCCAGGGACACCCCAGACCCAGGAAATCCATGTTGGGTGGGATTTTTAGGCTTACTGGGGCATGGAATGGAAATACTTGGTGACTCGATAGTAATCGAAGAAGACATCGCGAAATGAGTATCTGGGGGTAAAGACTATTCAGGCTTGGGTGGAAATAGGCTAACAGCAAGCACAGATATCAATCTAGGTCAGGACGAACAAAGAGGCATTTGATCCTTTATATGCAATCAACTCGCGCACGTTCTCAATGAACGTAAGGTAACGCGCAATTATTGACCCGTTAACTCGACAGAAGTGACGCTCGACATGCAAGATGACACCCGCGACGAGGGTTGGCTTATAAATCCGATTCCCAAAGAGGAAATTCCGTCTTCACGTGAATCACAATTGACTAGGGTATTGACCCAAAGAATCAACCAACATGATATGTTAGGTTAGGGTTAGGTAAGGTTCGTAATAGAAAAAGTTAAGATCCTGCTATAATCATATTACAGTTCACGTGATCTAAATAAGACATCCGTAAAGTTGCAACCATGTCTATGTCTATACCATTAGTTAAGAGCCGCAATGCTCAAGCCCAACATGAATACATCTCAGCCATCTTAATCATCAGACTATTGCGTCTGAATTAGCCAGTTCTGTTTCCCCCGCATCGACCCTTCGTTGTCAGCCACACACTTAGTTCAGACGATGTACCCCTATCCTTCTTACAGTATTCATTCATACAGCCATACCAAAAGCTTCACCTCCCTCTAACAAATACACATCTTAGAGACACAACTTTTCATGCCGCTTGGATATATTCAAATATCTTCATTATTCATCGCTACCTCTACATATCCTAAACGCCATCGCTAGCATTGAAATTCACAATATATATATACACTTACAACGGCGGCAGGTTCTCCCTACATATCGGGCACTGCAACCGAAACCTCATCCAGCCCTCCAAACAAGCGCTATGAAACACATGTCTACAAGGCGTAACCATATACTGCCTCCTGGCCAACATGCCCGTCACGCCTCCCGCAGCGCCAGCACTAATGGCATCTTCACCAGCTGCAACAATAGGTACTTCGAGAACCTGCATGCAAATCGCACAATCCACACTCCTGAACGTTCCGTCTTTCTTCTTCCTGCTACCGAGATCTTCGCTCGTTCTGGCTCTTTCTAGCGTAGGCGAAGCAGGAATCTGCACAAGTCCAATGGGTAAGCCACCTGCTTCGATATTATCTTCTCGTAGGATGGGGTGGTAATCCCATCCTTCTTCCGTCCACCCCTTCGGGAGACCCCATCTGGGACCGAGCACTTCCTGTGCAACAAGGGCCCAGACCTGAAGCCAGACCCAGCCAGCGAGCACACAAAATGCTTTCCAGTCCGTCTCCGCGAAGAGGATGTTGTCTTCTTTCAGGTAAAAATATGCGAATGGTAGTAGTCGAAAGACAGATTGCCCGATGATGAATTTCCACAGGAGAGCTTTGCGGCAGTTTCTGATGACGTTTCGTCGGATTTGAGGGACCCAGAAGGATAGGTAGATGATGGAGAGGAGATTCGTGTAGGCCGTTCGGAAGGGAACTGACCAGGACATGGCAGTGACCGAGATGAAAAATATGAATAGAAGTAGTAGAACAAACCTCACATACACCGCACCGAAACTGGCGGTAGTTGGTGGAGTCTGTGTGGCGGGAGGTCTATTAGTTGTAGGTAACGTCGTTGCCGCAGCAGTGGCATTTTCTGCTATTTCAGCATCAATGTCTTGATCTGATGGAACAATGACTGGAACGTCAATAGCAGCCGTGGGAGCAGTGACAGGAGCTGTTGTATCTGCTCCAGCCGCAGTGATGATTGTTGGTCGGAAGGGGGTCGGAGTTGGTCGAGCTGGTGTATTTGCAGCTTCAGCAATTTGCTGTACTCTTAGCCGCTCCCTTCGCTCCGGCTCCTGAGTATTATATATTGCCCCGGAAAAGCGAACACCCAAAGCCACAGAAACAAACGAAGCAAAGGAAGCCAGTAGTGCAGATGGGAAGAGATTCGGGGCAGTTGAGCTCAGGAGAGACAAGCTCGCGAACAGCAGGGCATCAGCCATCAGCATCATAGCAATGGTGTACTGACTGACTCGCCCAACAGTTGAAGGTGTGGACGCTTCTTTAGACTGGGCCTTCAAAAGCAAGATCTGCGCAAAAAGCACAACAGCGAGTATTTCCAGCCAACTCTGGATACTACTCAGCCATAGCTCTTGCTTCACGCCGACAAGATGCTCGCCATCGGTCGGTGCAAAATTCGGCGGACCCTTGGATTCAAGCATGAATCCACAATCGGGCGAAAACATAACCGTAGACATTTGCATTCTCGGAACTGGAGGTATTGGAGCTCCATTAGGAAATCGGAGCTCCTTCTCAATCTCCTGAACAATGTGATCTTGCTTCAGGTACCCGTGACTAGCAGCCAAGTCAACCTTCAGAGGATGCACTTGAACATAGACCAAGAATTCGCAGTGCGGAACTGGCATTGTAGCATCGCCCTGACTATCGGGACTCGAAGTCCAGGGGTTACTTGGATCTATCCAAACAGCATTCTCCAACCTTTCAATCGTCCCCTCCAGGCTGGTATTAAGCAATTTCTGGCTCGAAGCATAGTAGTCGATATTCGGAGTCAGGTGTGGCAGCCCAAAGATACCAGCAAACTTCTCGCTCGTCGTCGTCATGAGCATGATACCCTGTCTAGGCCAATGAACACCATGAACCCTCATATCCCACCCATCACCACTACTACTCTCATCCTGAATCGTGATCGTAGCCGCAACCTCCCTTACTAAATCTAGAGGCTTCTGATCCTCTTTCGCCTTCTCCTTCCCCATATCAACCTCCAACACATTCTTCTCATCAACCCTCAACATCAACTTGCCCTCCTCCCCAGTAATATTCCTCGTCCACGCCTCCTGATCCCTATACGCCCAATCAACAATCGGTGTTATTTCCGTAAGGTTCAAAGACCTGTGCTTTTCCTGTTCCTTTCCCTCTCCTTCCAAATCCCCCTTATACCGCACCCACCTCCCCGTCACAATACCCGTAACATTCTCAAACACCTCCCCCTCCAACCCGCCCTCCTTGCCCGCCCTCCAGCGTCCTCTCGCCTCTTGAGTAAAACTCTCGCTCCTCTTCCTCCACGCGTTCAGCCTCTCCCACGCATATCCATCCTCCTGCCTGAAGCCCGTCAAGTTCAAGTAACTCCCCTCCTCTACTTTAGGAGTGAAAGTCCCCCACTGCGTAGAATTAAGCACATCGAGGGACGTCCGCGAGCGCGTTATCCGCTCTGCAGCGTAGTCGCGCGCGGTAGGGAAGCCCGGGCCGCGCGCGGATTGATCGTCCGAGGTGTAGAGGAAGAAGAGAAGGACGATGATTAGGATGACGCGGGCGAACTCTTGGGGTGGGGGTTGTTGTGGCATGGTTTCAGCTTCAGCGTCCGCTTCATCGTAAAACCATTATATTGTTGCACACCCAAGTAATCGAACCAGTTTGGTAGTGTGTGAATAGTGAGGTAAGACGTGACAAGCTCCCAAATCCGGGGTCGCCACGCCATCCGAAAGGAGTAGGTTTAGCCCGAGGGTCAAGTACCTAGTCAAGCTATATTATTTACATCTCACAAGCAACTCAAGCAAAGCATAACCACCAAAAAACGATGGCAGCGAACGGGGAATCCTCCACACCTGTGGAAAAAACCAATCGTCTATCTACACAATCCGTACGTCCCTCCCCACTCCCCCCTCCCCCCACCCCTCCCCTCCATCCAAAACCCAAGCTAACCTCAATACCCCGGGTCTCAGACAACGACAGAGGGCTCCGCGCCCGCTGAACTATCCACAGTGGTCGACGAGCTGCTAAACGCGCTCTCGAATAAATTTGCTGGAGTGTCGAGTGAGATTTTTGCGAAGAGTATGTTATATTACCTAATGCTATTATGTTCCATGGGGGTGGAACGAGATATGATATGGCTGACGCTGGGTGAATTAGTGGATGAGATGTCGCGACGCCTGGATAACCTAGAGCAGACTTTGCAGACGAATGCCGAGGAGAGGGATGGGAAGAGTAGTCCTACGAAGATGTGATGGATACCGGATATACGAGGGGTCGTTGGGAGGGCATGGAAGGACGGAGACTTGGGGCTGAAGTTGCAGGTTGATGGACAGACATAACTCTATGGAAAGGCGGAGAGAGGTAGTCGACGAATATCGGGCTGTGGTTTCTGAGGCTGATACAGTAATGGAGGACGGAGTACATATGCATGCGACAGATGGCGTTCAGGGAATTATGGGAATACCAACCAGGTCACATTAGACAGACCATTCACGAGAAACGAATACGTTCATAATACACCCAGTAAACTCCAGCTACAATTTCAGCCTCCAATCCCAGCAAGAGGCCACCATCCTAAAAGCTAATTTCGCAATCTACAATTCTGATTTCCCACCAGTAACCTTCTCGACAAATCTTCTAAGAATGTTCGTCTTGCTCGTAAATTCATCAAGCTTCTCTGGGGCAAGACCTCCCTTCTTAAGAATGCCGTCCAAACGAGCCAGCTCCTTTGCGGCATATCCATCGCTCTTTGCTAGCTTGGTGAAGACCTTGACGTAGTACTCAGCATATTTAGACTGAGCATCCGACTTCAAGTCCGCAGCGGCTTTGGTAGCTTCAGCAGCGACCTCAGAGATGCTGGAACCGCCAGTCAGCTTAGCAACAAGTGTATCCAGGGCCTCGATCGTGCCGGCAGTGGCGTCGAGCCCTCCGCCAATAGCACGGTGGGTGCCGGCCTTCTTGTTGATGAAAGCAACGAGGTCAGCTTCGGATCGGCCGCCTGAGTAGTCCTCTGCCTCCTTCTGGCCCTTGGGGAAGAACTTGATGGTGGGGTATGAGGAGACGCCCTGATCCTTAGCAGTAGCCTTCGCGTTCTCAGCTTCGGCGTCGACCTTGGCGATGAGGACATTGGGCTCGGCAGCAAAGTCTGCGGCGAATTTCTCCCAAACTGGGGCGAGGGTTTTGCAGTCTATTCTTGTTAGCGATTGTAGGATGTATATCTGGGGGTAAAACTTACGACCACACCACGGTGCAGTGAACGCAACCAAAACATCCTTATCACCACCGATTTCAGTCTTAAAAGTCTTGTCGGTCAACATCTCAACCTGGCTTGGGGCAGCCTTCGCCTTCTTGGCCTTCACACCGGTCTTTTCAGTGATGAATGCCGTCAAGCTCTCCAAATCTCTTCCCCCATTATAATCCACAGGCTTATCACTCTTGCCATCAAAAAACTTGATAGTTGGGAACCCTTGAACCCCAAATCGTTTCCCCAAACTCTTCTCACTGTCCGCATCAACCTTCGCAATGGCGATCTTGTCACTGGCAAAGGCAAAATCCTTAGCAAGTTGCTCGTACACCGGGGCGAGAGTCTTGCAGTGACCACACCATGGCGCGAAGAACTCTACGAGGGCTGGCTTGCCTGAGATGGCAATCTTGTCGAAGTTTCCGGGGATGAGGTCGAGGACTGCAGAGTCGCCGGCCAGGGAGACAGTTGCGAGGGCAGCGAGCACAAGGCTCTTGAATAATTGGACCATTGTGTTGGTTCTATGCTTCGGAAGTGTGTTGGGAAAGAGAGTTTTGTAGGAATAGAGATATTGAGGAGAACAAGGGGTTTTTATGGAAGAGTAATCGGATTTGAAATCCAGTTGATAATGACACTTTTCACATATGAGCTCGAGCTTGGAGGGCTGTGGCTGGGAGGTGGCGTTTAGCGCCTTTCAACACCTTAAACTAAAAATAGGGAATCAACACACGTGATGCCACCCCCTGACGCTTTACTTTGGCTTGTAAATAGCCGTCTGTCAATATTAGCTAGACAGTGTAATGTAATGTAATTTTGTTTCCTATTACTCATTACTGGCATGGCCAGTCTGGCCTATGCTCTAGACATTATTCTAGTATTTCTTTGGGTATTCCCCAACCCACTTCACGATCTGTGCTACTTCATTATCAATGACCTGCTGTACACCAGCGTTGACCGCTCCGTTCTTTAACCTCAAATCTGAACAATGGATACCTGATGGAATAACCTGAACAGGGTGTTGCTCAGTAGATGCAAGTGGTCCGCCAGGACGAAACTCTGATGAAATGCCGGATGTTCTCCACGGATCAAACTCTCCATTGGTCCAAATCAGACGTGTAGTATCCTCCAATCTCCATCCTTGAGTATGCTTGTTGACCTGGTGAACATTGTTATCAGCAGAGATGTTGCTACCGTAAGTGTATCCGTTCACAGTCGGGAAAAACAGCTCGCATTGTCGTTGCCAGTATTGACCAGTAACTAGTCTAGAGACAATGGATGCTGTGCCAGGGGGTGCGCCACTAGTTTCTAATTAGTCAAAAAAATTCAAAGAAATTCCAGATCAACGTACTCTTGCCAGTATGCAAATGGCTCGTTACAAAGCATCCAATTCCATTGCAAATCAACACCGTTTCCGACAGTTCTGTCAGTGTATATCTTGTTATTGGGATCGTATGTATCTAAACAGCCGAGATCATCATCATTGGGGTAACCAAATAGATCTGCGCAGTCTATGGTGGTGTATCAGTACGGTGCCATAACAGCAATACGCAAAACTCACATCCTGGAAGGAAGCTTTCCTTAATCCAAACAGCATATCCTTCGAGAGCAAGTTCGTAACCCACGCCATTTTCATCAGGAGTCACAGCAGCTCCAGCAGTAACATTCTATTGGCATGGATTAGCACTATCGCAAGATTATATAGCTTACTAAAACTCACCTCGATCTTGTCACAGAACTGATAGAAAGCAGAGTAATTAGTATAGAAGCTGTTTGATTGCCACAACCAGGGTCCGTTCTCGAGAGCACTAGGAAACTGTTAGGTAAAATCTTCAAGTAGCATGGTATTGGTAACCTACGCCATGACATCGTCATTGTGTTCAAGTGATTCGAGACCAAATTTGGTCTTCAATGCCAACTTCTCGGCATCGGTACCATGAGCCCATACGTTGTCCATGTAATCAATGACGGCCGAAACGTCCTTGCTGCAATTTTTGGGCATACCTTCCTGGATGGGGACAAAATATTGCCACTACATATAGATCAGCTCTGGGACGCCTTTAACCAGCTTTTCAAACTCACGTAATCGAAGATAGCTTCAACAGGCGCACTGGATGCGTGGTATGCCCAGAAAGTGCCCGGTGCAGTAGACTCAGTCCAAGCCGCTAAAGCGCCAGAATAACTTCCGCCAGAAAACACCCAAGGTGCCTTATCCGCATTGCTCGAGTGATTCGCATCAAAGGGAAGTGCCACGGTTTTTGCAAAGTAAGTGAAGTCGGCAATAGCTTGATCTAATGTCAATAATTGCAGGGTCTCGGCAGTAAGTTCCGCATAGGGCGAAGATGATCCCCAGAAACGATGCTCTACCATGACAACTGCTCCCTTGATTTCCTGTGCGTAGAGGCCAGTAATGGTAACATTGGTTAAATAACTACCGTAGTTTGCCGCAGAAATCTCACCCGGTGTGAAGAGAACCACCTATCTTCATGAGTTCGAATTTGTACAAGTCAGACACGAGTACTTACAGGTGACCCTGGACCCTCCCAATACTCCGAATTCCACCAGAACTTTTGCGGAAAGGTTCCCTTGCTTGGATCTTTATGGTCCAGTAGCTGGTTAAAGAACGCCGAGCCAGTTGCATTCACCTGCGAAACCATCTTTTTGGGGAAAACATCTGCATGTTCAGACTCCTCAACGGGAGGAACAAGTCTTCCAGCGTAACGGAATAGGGAGTCGGCCGCGGAAACAGTGGCAGCGCCTGTCAGTGCCACAATGGCAGACAAGAATGATGTCTTCATGGTGAACTGACCAGAGCTACAGAATGCAGTTGAGCTACAATCGTCCAGAACAAGCACCAGACTTTGTAAGAGGGGTAGGTATTAGGGTAGAAACAAATTCTAAAACAATAAAAGAATGCAGCTTTCTTATCTAGTGGTGTGCAGGAAATTGATAGCTCGAGTCCCTTGGACGCACCTACCTTACCTGGTACATTTGACAGGCATGGTTACTGCAATCCGGATCGACTTGCAGATGCGGGGCTTGAATACTCCGTATACACCGATAATGGAAGAGTTCAATTGAATGTTGACTTGAAAGCAAACGGTTGGTGGAATTGGCCGGTACCTGATTACCTGCCGGATTGCCGCCCATTACATCAAGGGCATCATGGGGGTCAGCTGCATGGACTGCATGATTTGGAGCCATGGCCATGGCATGCCAGGGGATCCGGCCACAAAATAAAAACGGTAAACTGTATTGTAGTGAGAAGTGGAAGGTGCTTGAATTAAAGTTACAGTACTCCCATCTAATTGGCGCGGCGGGTAGGTGCCGAGGAAAGCCTCAATTGCAACTGCCACATAGGGGTAGCTTATATGCAGATCACCCCCTGCAAATTAAAAGTATCAACGATTAGATACGAGTTACTCTTCTGAGCAGAAGGTTGTCGACTGTTAAACGCATCGCCAAGTGATGTCTCTTTTATAACTTTCAGGGTCACCAAAGGGAGCGAAGAAGGAAGACCGATTATTAACCCGTACACGCGATGCTCCGAAGAAAACCAGAAAACCTCCTGTATTTCGATATGTGAGATATTCATTGACGTATTTACTGTATGGCTTTTCTGGAACGGCTTTGCGCCTTCATGTCAACTTTCTAAGTTCCACGCCTCTTCTGGTTTACTCCCAGGCGCAGGCCTGCCAAGTGAGGCCTGGCTGTTACATAGGTAGCCTTTGATGTTGGACATAGCCCTGTAGGGGCCAATCTGCTCAAGAATCATCTGCAAACGATGAAGAGTCCTGCTAACTAAGAAACACAGCAGAACCAGGTGCATGCGAGTTATCACACGGTGACGCTGCCAAGGCCGTAGAAAGCCGTTGCGAGGTCGTACGAAGCAGGTGGAGAACGCAAAACCCCGCCTAAAGGTAGTGTTTCTCCAAAGGATTTCCATCTTTTCAGTATGTCCGTAGCGATCAATAGATGACGAGGTCAGCTTTGGAAGTTGGTACTTTTCAGCGTCGATGGGGCAAAAAAACTATATTTTCGTTTCAATTGTACCTTCTTAACCGCAACTGAAGCTGGTATAGCTTTTCCTTGGCGATAACGGGTCGGCATCCATGGTGTATCGTCACGGAGCATACTGCGGGCCAAAAATTTCCAATTTGAAGTAATGCTGGAGTTCTTCTTAGAATTGGCCACCGTTTCTTTCTTAGGCCCTCAATGCGTGCACTGTAACGCCGAAAAGCCTCTCGTCCATTGCATACTTCCCATAATGACAATCAAGAAGCACAGTGCCACAATTAAACTTGCAGCACCATATCTATAAGCATGCCTCCTCCGCAAAGAGCTCAATTCGCTCACCCACGTGCTGACTGTCGTCAAACATCCGCAAAAGCCATCTTCGATCCCTTGTAACACCTGACAACCAACCACACCCCCTAAAGGCACGCGTTGCAAGTCATAAGTCATGCCAATCATTACTGTTCCAAAGATGTTGACAACAAATGTCCCAAGAGGGAACGAAGCAATCTTGCCATTGAGATATAGCGAGGCATAGAAACGTCCAAGACATCCCAAAGGAGCGAAAACGAGGGCAAATACTGCTCGACCACGCCATATTTCAGGAGGGCTGTCGTGTCGGTCTGGAGGCCAGATGGCGAGGATGATAGCACCAAGCCAACAACCCCATGCAAGCACAACTGCTAGAGGGTCTAAAATCTTGCGGCAGTGTTTATATGGGAGACTTGGGGTCCAAGGTTCGGATGCAATGGCGATATGAGCTCCAATATATAGGCCAGAGATACAAAGTGCAACAGTCGTAATGATCACGGCTAGCAAAGCCATGAACGAATAGCCGCCATTTCGATGAACCGTGGAAGTAGAAGAAGCCATCGCTGGACTATAATTATCAGGATGATTGAGAGGCGTAGGAAGGTCATTAGACATTGCAAGAAATGCATCCCGAATGAATGACGAAAAAGAAGTAAAGGAGCCGCAAAACCCGATCGCCAAACCAATGTACAGAGGAAGGGTCTTCTTCGTCGCATTATGCGCCTTCTTTGCAGCTTGTAATTCGGCAGTTAATTCTGAGCCGGATCCAAGCTCTCCATCCTGCGCTTGTTCCTCTGCCTTCTGGATCTGTTGATGATAGTTTGGAGTACCCCATTCCTCCTTGAATAGCATTCGGTCTTCACTTAGAAATCCCATGACCAGACTCCCCCCAAAGTTAGCCCATAGGACGCCAAATACCACTGGAGCTCCGGGGTAGACTGTAATAGCCTGTAAACCAAGTCGAGCGAGGGTTCCCAGTATTGAAAATAGGATCAGATATGAGATCGTATATAACTGGGTCGCGAACTTTGAAATTCTGTGGATTCTGTTCTCATCCTCTAGTGGTCCTTTCCTTTTCTGCCTTGCCTGATTATTTTCGTATTCCTGCTCTTCATCCCTTGCCTCCTCTAATGATCTGTGGCCATATAGCTGGCTTTCCTGTGGATTCTCCACGGGCAAAGAAGTAGCCAACTCGTCTAGGTTGGCGTAATTATCCGGAATATCGTAATTGGTATCCCCATCTGCTTGCTGGTCGACGCTTCGAGCTTTCTTAGCTGATTTCCCTGGGATTCTCTTTCTCTCGACTCGACCCTTGCCTCCGGAATGGTGGTTCCTCTCGCTCTCTAAGGTTGTAGAATGATGAAGGGCATTCCCATTGGGATTCTGGACTGGTCCTGAGACCGCGAGTTCATTGAGTATATCATAAGAGTCCGGATCTTGTTCGCCTTCTCGAGAGCTTGCTGGCGCTGCGGAGTCATCGGTGTTGGCTTTCTTGGACGATGAAGCCGTCATTATGAAGTGGAAGACCAAGGGCGTGCTCCTTTTATCCGGTTTCTCGGTGAAGAGTGTAGAGATACATTTTCCTGATGCCATACAAGAAGGTAATAAATTTGAAGCCGGACTAGGTATTAGGTACGTATAGGTACTTACGTCAACAAAACATGATGGAAATTTAAAGCCTCAGCCTCGCCTCTTGCTCTTATCGTGCACGTACCAGTCGTTAATCTAAACATTGGCCCACCCCACCCACATATCCGTAATGTACTGTACAGCTTACCCACATCATGAAGCATCAATCCATGGGTACTTAGCTGTCATACTCACCCTATCACACAACATATTTATTACTCACTTCTTCACCAACGTCACCTACAGTTTCTCCCGTCCCTCTCTTCTCCAAAATGGCAGAATTACCCCCCAACGTCCACATCTCGTCCCACCCTTGTCTACTAGCCAAACTGTCCCAGCTTCGGGCCGCCAGCGCAAACGCCCGCGAGACAAAGGCGCTGGTCCATGAGATATCGACCATCGTTGGGTGTGAAGCATTGGCAGCTGGGTTAACAGTCAAGAGCGGGCCACCGGTATGTCAACCTCTTCAGTCCTGCTTTTCAGCTCATGTGCCTCTTTCCAAGTCCCACGGCGTCTCTACTCGTGTCTCCTGCCTACCTAGGTACCTGTTACTAATACATGTGTGCTGTACTGTAGGCCAAGACCCCTCTAGGCTACGAATACACAACAACTACCATATCGCCTTCCACGATATCTCTAGTTCCAATTCTGCGTTCGGGCTTGGGAATGCTTGATGGTACGTCCTCCCTTTTCCTCCACATAATGCCAGAAAACTAATTCCTTACTTTTCTCAAAGCCGTTCAAAACCTCCTCCCGAACCCCGTCCCAGTCCACCACCTCGGTCTATTCCGAGAACCCACAACCCTTGAACCCGTCGAATACTACAACAACCTCCCTACCACCGCCCAGCCGTTGGCTCCCCCTCCAACGCCCCCAACTCCGAGTGCTCCGAGCTAGCCATCCTTCTCGACCCCGTCATCGCGACCGGAGGGACCTGCGCCGCGGCAATCCAAACGCTTAAGGAATGGGGCGTGAAGCGTGTAATCGTCATTGCCGTGCTAGGTGCACTGCCGGGTGTGGTGAAGGCGGCCGAGGAGTGGCCTGAAGGAGTGGAGATCTGGGTCGCGGGTGTAGATGCGAGTATTAACGAGAGGGGTATGATTAAGCCTGGCTTGGGAGATGTGGGGGATAGGCTATTCTTGACGATTGGGAAGTAGATATCATAGATAGAGGAGAGATAATTGGACAAGTGGGGTTGGTTCTGGCTGGAGTTTGGGATAAAAACCCCTTAGAGAGGAGTCAGTGAAAATTGAATAAACTCATACATGCTAGACCTAGATGGAAATTCCTGTATACAATCAGACTACAAGACAGAAGTGTGATTTTTAACTAATCTATTCGACACCCCGTTGCATCCGAGACGTTTTCGAGAACAAAGCCTTATTTATGCCCCTCTTGCATCCCCACCTTTGCCCCATTTTTGAGGGGCCCGTTGACCCCTAAGCGATTAGCTTCCGTGGCGTGGTCAGGGGCAATGCGGGGAAGGGGCAAAGCAAAGTTTCACAGAAAGCAGTTACTGTAGAAGCAGGTAAATCAGATACAGTTACGATGGTCTAATAAGCAATGGACTTCTTCTGCTTCACCAAAAACCCGCAAGGGACATAAAACTCTGGGTTTCCGTGGAATATCACCAAACTTCACAGAACTGTCGATCCAAATTTGTCTGTCAAATCGAAATCGCACCGTTCATTCTTTCATCTCAGCTCATCTCGCTCAGTACGTACAAAGAAGTAGGCCGGGTATCCCCCCAATGCTAAAGATAAACTCCAACTCCAAGCCATGATATGACCCTCACTTCCCTCCCTCCTACCAAAAACATGCATGCAAACTCCAAATAAATACCAAAAGAAAACCAGACCATGCGAAAAAGAAAAAGAAAAAATGCTTTATCAATGTATCAAAAAGTTCACAAACTCAGGGGTATTTATTCAAAACCCACTCTCATCATCCCACGGCACGAACAGCTTAACCAAAAACCACTCTACCTTCCACATAACCTCCCAATACTGGCCGACGAGTAATATGAAGCCTAGATATGTGATGGTTGATGCAACTAGATATGGTGTAGGTTCGATGAGGAAGTCGTGCCAGAGCTCGTTGATCCAGAGCTCGAAGTCGGGGGTCTTGAGAGGTAGACTAGGTAGGTGATCGAGGAGGTCCGGTGGTGGTATATGTGGATGTCGGAATCGCGAGGGGTAGTAATTCGATGTCTCGCCCATATCTGTATTCCGCGTCTGCGAATGCGAATAAGTCTTCCGCCTCCTAAACCTCCAACCAGTCCTCAACCTAACATATCTCCTAATACCCCTCACCACCAACCTTCCCCCACGCTCCCTCACTGTAAACCTGCTTCTCGATTCACACTTTCGCTGCTGCTGTTGCTCTTGCTGTTGATGTTTCTGTTCCTGTTCATCATCTCCCCGGCGCGAGCAACCCCCGCACCCGCTCAATCCTCTGCACAGCACCTTCCAACCTTTCCAACCTCTTCCTCTTCTCGCCATCCCTGCGCTCCAGCACCTCAACCCTCTCCTCCAGCTTCGCCCGCGCCTTCCGCTCCGTCGCAACCATCTCATTAGCCTGCTGAAACAACTGCGCGCTCAACTCCTCCAGCTCCCCACTCGCTTCGTCCAGTTTCCCCTCGGCCGCTTGCCGTAATGCCTGCTCTCTCGTTAACGCGGCTGTGAGTTCGACAGCTGACGGGCTGGGCGGCGGTTGTGATTGGGCTTGTGCCTGTGCTAGGTTTGGTGTGGATTTGCGGGAGGTCAGGAAGGAGGAGAGTCGGTTTTGCACGGGCAGGTAGCCGGAGAAGCGGCTGGGGCTGTCGGAGCGCTGTTCGCGTTGTGGGCTGGAGGGTTGTGGTTGCAGTTGGGCTTGGGTTTGCTGTTGTGCTTGTGCTCGTAGGGCTTGGATCTCATCTTCGTAGTCGGCCCATTTGTCCACTGGATACATGTGTTAGTACGTGTATGTCTTTTTTGTGAACAGAGGGGCTGCTTACCTGCTGCGGTCGCTTTTTGGTTAAGCAGACGGACTTGCGCCTGGAGGTCGTCGATTTGGTTTTGGGCGTCTAGGGCGATGGCAGACTGGTTTTCCAGGTTGAATCCGCATTGTGGACACTGGCATGAGGTTGAAGTCATGCTCAGGCTGATGGTGGTTGTAGACATGGGGCTGGATGTTGTGGTCAGGAGGCTGGTTTGCAAGAAGGTGTGAGCGTGTTGCGTTGCGCTGTTTCACCGAGTACTTGGATGATTGTGGATGTTTTCCGCACTCATTGATTGATGTTGCCGTTGCTGTCAGGTGCGTTGTCGACATATAACGGAGTTTGGCTCGTGTTATGTCTTGGGATTTCTGTACGAAGTACAGTAATCCTTTCCGTAGCCGTCGTGGCACCGCCTCAAGTTGATGATTTTCGAAACCCAGCCCGGTCCAGCCCAGCCACAAAGGATGACCTCCCCCCTCAGCCCCTGTCTTGAATTCTAGGGGACCCCAACCAATTCTAACCCCACCATTATTTTTGGACCTTATCTTCCTACGTGCAGCATCACGATATTCTAACGTATGGTATCTCAGGATATTTATCACGTACATATAGCTGCCAGTGCAACCGGAATCGCAGGCCTTGTGTTATTTTGAATCCCAACGACCTTGTTTTAATATCTTCCTTGCTTATGTATTATACTTCTTTATCAGTCTCTTTCATTAGGCTATCACAGTTGATGCAATACCAAGACAGAGCTTCCAGAACTCTAATCCTCTCGTTTGGCCCCTCTTCGTTCCTAGGAAATCGATTCCCCTAACCTTGATTCGAATCACCTTACTGTACGCACAGCCTCGTCGAACTACACTTTCTCTTTATTACAGGATGGAAAAGCAGCTCCAGCTTACCAGTCCCTCTTTCTCAAGCTCGAAGCTCTAGAACGAGATCTGCCCCAACTGAATGAGCCCAAACCCTCTTAAAATGATTTCGGCCAACTCAACTCCATTCACGCGACTGCCTCATCATACAAACGACCACTCCAAGAGTCTCTAGAAGAGACACTGATTTCTGAGGCTAGGTTAGGCATAGCGAGTATGGCCTTCCCACAAAGGCTTCCGTGGCAGCTTACGTACAAGAAAGGCGCAAAGCAGCTACGAGCTATTCCTGGTAGCCACGCTGACCATCAACTTGCTGTTGATGGCCCAGACAGTACGCCCTACCACAAAGACCGAGAAAGACAGGGCTGAACTGTGCTCTAGACCGAGCAGAAGATATCAAGAAGCCTATCGAAAACTCCTTCAGGCCGTGGACATGCAGGCCAAAGCCACGCTCAATCAATATCCAGAGACACATTCAAGGCTGGGGAACCAGAGCGCTCTACTTGATACCCTAGTCTCGCATGCGGAGGTCATCAAGAAGTATACTCCTAGGACTTAAACACCCTCAGCCCAAGTAATCGACGCATCTTATAGTCGAAGAGGATATTAAATGAACTTCTTGTGCTTGTTCGTATGTGTGGGAGAACATTTCAGACTTATGTGGGTATATTGATTAATGTCTATCCCCAGATAAATAAATTTACCTAGTGGACTTTGGGTTTCAATCACTTCGAACAGGGACGGACGTAAGAGTAAAGTATGATCTGATAACAGGTAAATAGGAGAATATTGAAATCAATGTATGGTGTAGAACTACTACAGATGGGAAGTCAGGGGAAGCTTTACTGTATTAGCCGAGAAAATCGAGGTTGGTTTGGAACTTTCTATGTAGTATAGTGGACTATATTGGAGTATATGTAGTCCGCCAAAGGCTTTATAAAGCATCTATCTAAATTAGAACATATATCTCTCTTAATCTTATCCCGAAAATGAATTTCCCCAACGCCAACCGAAAGATTGATAATTAACACGCCGGGTATCAGAATCAAATTCAAACAGACTCCCCCCATATTATACACTCTTCACTTCGGTCTAACCTTCAGCCCCCTCATCCCCAGACTCCTCCACACACTCTCACTAACCCTCTGCGGCAACTTCCGCCCCTTCAACCACTGATCAATAAGCCAAAGCCCGCAAACAAACGACTCCCGATCCAGCATCCCCATCTCCGTCCTATCAACTAGCGCATAAACCTCCTCCAACACATCACGATGAAGCCGAGACCTCGACCATATATCCCTCACCACAACACTACAAACCAGATTCTCCGCCCCAGGAATATAGGAAAGATGCAGTCCTTTATTGGACGCCCAAACAGCCTCATAGCGTTTCCGCTCGCGTTCGGTGATCTGATCGCGCCAGCGCTTCCGGTCACCTTCGTGGTGTTTGTTAGGGTGTTTTTTCATAAGGTGCGCTTTTCGAGTGCGACGCTTCTCGCCTTCGTCAATGGCCTCTTTGCTCTTGGTCTTCCTCAGTGTTGTCCGCAAGGTGCCTGGTTTTGCAGGACTCGGCTCGCGGGATGCGCTGTTGTGGAAGAGGTGGTGGTGGTTGCGAGCACTACGTCTGGAAGGGGGGATTGGGGGTGGGTAGAGGGTGTTTTTTGAAGGGGAGGCGGCGCGGGATGAGGCGAGACTGCTGGCTACGATGGCGTTGGCGAGGGAGTCGACTGTTACAGAGGAGTTCATGGATCCGGCAGAAGTGGATGTTAGGTGTTTTTGGTTGCCGCTGTGGTTGAGGGTGGCACGGAAGGGCGGTTTGTACTCGTACTCTGATGCCGACACAAACGAGTCATCGGAAGAATTATCCTCATCTTCTTGCTCAGCGGGTGGTTGTGGTTGAGGCTTTGGTGGAATTGGGATTGGGATTGGTTTGGTCGCTACTGAAGGGGGTTTCTTCACTCTAGGAGCTGGTTTAAAAGTCTCTGATGGCTGGGAAGTAGGTGGGAGCTGTTTTAACACAGGTTTTGATAATATGACTTGTGGTTCTCGAGACTTAGAAGCCAAGGGAGAAGGTGAACGAGCTCGACGAGGCAATGGGAATCTTTGGGGATTCGGTGATATCTCATCCCTCGTCGAGGCTGATGTCATTGGTCTCTTTATTGGCGGTTGACTCTTTGGTGATGACCCAGTTTCTTCAAACATATTGATCAGGGACGTAGTTGGAGGTATAGGCGTAAGATCCAATGAATGATCAGAACTCCCTCTCGAAGAATTTACACTCCTCACGCTCGGTGGCGGAGACGCGGATCTTTTCGCAAAGCCAGCAGCCAGCAGTGCAAGATTCGGAGGCTGGGTTTGCTGTTGCCCCGTAGGATTTGGACTGACTGAGGGAGATCTCGAAGCTGCAAGAGTGGCAGCTATCAGCGAGGGGGACCTCCCCCCCTTTTCCGCTCCAGGAAGCTGTAGATGTCCATTTCCCCCGAGCCGCGGTCGAGAAGGATTGCGATCCCCATAGCCGTTATGCAGCATACTAGCTGTACTTCCGCCCGTACTCTGATATCCCAATCTGTGGTCATCCGCCGATGCCTCTAGCCTCGATATCGATGCCTTATTCGTTGATGTCGTGTTGGTACGAGCCCCAACCTTCGTCGCTGCAGCTAGAGCTCCATTATTGCCACTGTAAGTGTTGATCTGGGGCTTCGGCTTGACGGGAGGTTTCCCAAAGGCCAGAGAAGCTCCTCTTAGAGCCGCGCTCTGTCTTTGTGAAGCTATTGCATCCTTGCCAAGCTGGTCTTGGGTGCCCTGTCGTCTGTCTGCGGTCATCGGGGTGAAGTGTTCTCGCGAACGCGTTCCGATCGTGATCGAAACTTGAGGGGAGGGCGAGCATGTATACGGGGTCGCTCATGAGGTTCGTCGGGGTCTTCGGATCGAAGCGGAACAGGAGGGCTTGAGTTTGCTCATATACTCCGGGGTGTATTGTAAAGCTGACATCTATTTTTAAGTCACACGAGGCTAGCACGTGATGAAGTCATCATTTGTCTTGGGGCTCATTTGGAAACAAATGAATCTGATTTATCTAAACTTCCCTATAGTGTGCGCAATTGAAAGTCTGTAAGGAGGAAGAGGCTGTAACTAGTTCGATCTAACGTCGTGTTTGCGGTAGTACGTGCATCTTCTCCCCACGAGGCTGAAAGCCCGTTACATGACCCCTCACTAAATATCATCTGTACCATCCTCAACCATGTCGTGGTGTCAGCGGCTCTATCACACGACCTGTACTCCAATAGAACAATAACAGTCTGTTAATAATGCTACGGACATTGAGGGTGAACTAGATGTCGACCCATCAATAACATCGATTAGAAGTTTAGTATATTACAATAGACTGTGTAGTAATGTTTTTTCTTCATTCATCTCAAAAATTGCCATATCATACATAAGCCATACTCCTCTCTTTCATCATATTCATCCACAGCTGCCATCATAGGCCAGCCTAATGCAAAACAAAAGAAATGTTCAAAATGGTATCGCCTGTGCTGTCAACCGTTATGCTCCGTCTAAACTCCTCCTAGGCATTGCCCATTCCAAATACGGAAGGTAACCTCATCTTCAAGCTTGTAGCAAGAAACAAACGCAGCGCTATGCAGAAAATCTCAAAACCGTCAAGACCGCGGCTGGAAAAGGGTTTCAAAGGCGAGTTTTAAAAACTCCACCCCCACCTCTGTAAATAATACGGAGACCCTTCGTGTATGTTGGGCAGCACACTCTAATCCCATGACTCCTCGAAGCCAAAAGAGCCTTCATGCATATGTAAAAAAAATAAAAAAAACCAAGCCCCGGCATAAATATCTAACGCTCACCGCTGCTTGAGAACAAACATTTTCGGCCCATGAGCCCATAAATCCCACGTTCACCAACTAGCCAAATCACGAGCAACATGCTCCCTCTCGTGATCTATCCATAGTGCAAGCGAATTGGAAGATATCAAAGACCCTAATAAGACAAATATTTCTGCTTCGTACCCGCATTTGCTTGGATTGATCGGTCTCCTCAGCGCAGTTCCGATCCGATCCACAAGTCATAGAACTAAGGCAAGTTTCGAATATTGCACCCAAGCCTACGGAGTAGTAACGGGTGATTCGGCTTCGTGCCGAATCGTCGTCCGTTTGTGCAAACTAAATTAGCATCTTTGTACTGCGGCTATTGGAACGTACGCCGGCCCCTGACAATGCAACATGCAAAATGTCAGCACTTAGAACGTGGATTTCCGGCAGTCTCCGGAATATTCTGGCTGAGAACGGCTCTTCCTAATCTTCGACTTCGGCAAAACTCAAGCCAAACTAGGAGGACAGTTCGGAGCTTTGAATTGATCCTACAGGTGGAGGCCCGAAATTCTGAGAAGTTTGACGTTGCAGAGACCTCCAGTACAAAAATGGAGGAGCCACAATGTGGATGCGTTTAGTAATGGAAACCCGTATGGCGGTACTGTAAATTGGCGATGGTGCGGGTCGAAAATCTTTCCGGGAGCTCGGTACTCGAATGCAATGTGGGTGCGCTGCGCGATGACGAATATTTGGTAATGAAAGCACACGACATCTAAAAGTTCGCAGCGCAAAAAATCCGGGCGCGCCTGTCTTCGGTCATGAAATCTGGGCAACCCATCTTAATGGCACGCCGTCTTTCCCTCTCTCGTAGGCTTCGGTGGGAGCTTTTCTCGCAGGTAGTGCCCATACCGCGCGTCCAGGTTTCTGGTCATCCAATTTCCCGTTCTTTCGCATAGCCATCTCCATAACTGCAATCCTGAGGAAGTCGCTATTCTCTCGTATTTCTCGTTGACGTGCTACTGGTCCTGCAACTTGAGCAAAGTCATCCTCATTAGTCTGTGAGCGGCGACTGATCACGCTTGGTGATTTGCTCTTCCCTGACCGATTGACACTGTATGTCTCCATTTGTATAGAAGCCGTACATTTTGTTGCAGACATTGTCTGTGCAAGTGAGGAAGAAACATGAGCTTCGATAGGGGCGTTAGTAGTGGGATTCAGATAGCGCCGTAGTTCAGGAGTTGGCGCGTCTTCGAGTCGAGGTGGCATTCGTTCATCTGTGAAAGGCACCTGTGGATCAATAGAAATGATTGATCTTGTAAGGAAATCGTCCGGTGTTATCATTGGAGTGGTAATAGATGAAAAGGACCTTGCGGCAGACCGTAAAGCTCGTAACGAGGCCGTGAGGTTTGATTTAAAGGCTGATTTACGTCGAGACGAATTGATCTCAACCCTCGGGGCTTTTTGCCCTTGGGGCTGTTGCCTCTGGAAAACCCTGAAATCAAGCTCGTCTATGTCGATATCGGGCGCTGATAATGGATGATCGTAGAGAGCAACTGGAGGTGAGGAAAGGATCCGACGGGTTGGTAAAGACCGTCTCCCCCTGGAACTTGGTGTACCCAAAGAATTTAGAGATGGCGAAACCTCGCTGATGGACTCATCGTCTAAGGATGGCATGGAATCGCATGATATTGTTCTTGTAGACACAACCGATTCATATCCATTTTCGCTCGGCGCAAGCTCATCCTGCGACTCTTCCGGCGAACTGAGAAGATAATCCAGTGGGCTCTTTCCAAATGACACGCTCAGCTCTTTCTCCGATACGTCGGCATGTCGTAATATTGCGTCCACCGTAAGCCTCTGCCCTGTGCCACTTCTTTTTCGAATACTTCGGGTCTGCTTCAGAGTGGGTATCTTGGTCATCGCCAGAAGAGCGGCGACCGAGGGGGAAATCGCATCTGGGGAATGTGTTCGCGGCTTCCTTCTTTGATTGTGACGCCCCTTCGGTACCTGCATTCTTTGAGAGGCATCATAACTTCCTCGCATAGGCGGGATTATGACGGGGGATGACGGAGTAGTTGGTCTTTCAATTTCTGCGGTGGTTATTTTAGATGGCGGTATTGAAGTTGGGGACGCCTTGTCTCGTTTTGTAGGAGACCTAGACCCAGACCCACGCATCGACATGCTATGACGCTCATTTCTGGTCTCTTTCGAGTGGGCAGCAGTGAACAAGTAGCTCCTGGGTGCAAGCATTGTCCCGGTCGGGAGTGGTGTGTCGTGTGCGGCTATGCTATGGATGAAGAGCCGGAACTATTACTAACAGATTTGGATGAGCACAATGAAGAGGAACATGGAAAAACGAGCTTTTGAGAGATGAATAGTTACCTATGAATAATGTAAAGGGCGTGAATGTCTGGAGCCCACGTATGGGCTTATCGGTACAGGACTCCTCGAACAGTGCCCAGCAATTCGTTACAGAGTGCTTGTTGGTGGGTGTGGTGAGGCATGTCAGGCTTGTAGTAGTGAATCAGATGGTTGACATGAAGGCTGGTCAGAGCTATTTGGCCAGAGCGTGTTGTGTAGGAGTGAAGACAAGACAAGACAAGACAAGACAAGTCAGAGTTGGGCGAAGAGAACGAAACGAAGCAGTGGGGGTGGGATGAGATTAGATGAGGACAGTCACGACAAGTCAGGTCAAGAGTCAAGACAGGGCTGATAAGACAGACACACGATAGGCAGCCTGATCAAGCCTGGTACAGTACAGTAAAATGCCACCGAAGCAGATCCCGCGCCGCGACCCGAAACCCCTTGCAATGCAATGCTTACTCGTGGGTTATTATTTATTTCCCTCAAATTCCTTTTTGTTTGTGAAAATTACAAGCAATAAATAAGTGAGCCAGAATCCTACAGTGCAGTGCAGCACTCGGTGCGAACCCGAAGGATCTTGCATACCGTAAAGGTATTTCTTTGTTCTCCTTGTAGCGTGGGGGAGTTGTTATTACGGCTCTCTTCTTGGTGCCTACGCCCACGCCCACGGCCCCGAAAGTCATGAATGCATGCACGATCCCTTCGGCCATCTACGGTCTACCTGATCTCCATTACTGTACTTCTGGGCCAGTAGTAGCCAGACCAGCGAGCCAGCATCATCATGACATGTCATGCGCGGGCAAGAAGACTTGGCAGAGCAGACTTGCCCGCAACAGGACCAGAAAGCATACATACCTAGGTAGGTATAGTATAGTACCACCGGGATTCGCCAAATGAAACGGTACGGTACGGTACCTGCCCTGCCCTGCCCTGCCCTGCGAGCCTGCCTCTATTCCTTTTGCTTCTTGGAAATCTTCAAAAATCTTCTATTATTACGGGGCTTTCCCTCCACGTTGCCCTGCATTTTGCAAATAGAAAGATGCCAGCAGTTGCGGTACTAACCCCACCGCCGTTAGTCGTTGGCCCTTCTTACAGTAGGGATTTCTTGTCTGCAAAGGGCAAGTCTCCAATTTAAAGCCTCCGGAATCGCTCCCTCCTAGGACATGGATTAATTTAAGCAATGTGGGGAAGCCAGCAGCTCTCCCGCCATCATGTTCCTTGGCTCATATCACCGAACCTATTAATAAGAAATACCCGTGAGCATTTCGAAGTGATATCTCTTCAGCGTTACCGTTGAAGAAACATGTTTCTCCAACCTTTCTTTCTATCCAATCCCATTACACCGCCTGTCTCACAGGGTCCAACATCTCCCACGAACATCCATCGATCTGCAAGACGCTGCTTTGGGAAAAGCTTTATCTCTTCACAACGATTCCCCATGTTTTACTTTCCTCTTTCGTCCTAGATCCTTGTTTACCCCAAACTTAAGTACAAGTAGCGGTGGGACGATCCCGCGTATGATGATTTCTCAGGATAATTTTATACAGGAGAGTCGGCGCTCTCTACGATTGTCCCGAGAAGTCACTGCTTGCGAAGTGGGCAGTACGAGTATGTAGCCTCCAACGTCAGCTCATATTCGATCACGTGAAGCTTACAAACATCATCATACTAGATCACCGCTAGCATAGCGCTCCATGGTAATCTTCAGGTACCTGTGGCTTACCAAGCAAGTTTTCAAGGTATCAAGCTTCAGTACGGAGTAATGTGCTTCCGCCTTACTCTCGATGTACATCTATTGAGCCTCAGTCTTGGCAAAATGATTTGGCTTGTGATGAAGTATAGCTGCTTATATGGCTTTCTCTTTTCACTAGTACAGTGTAATATAATATGTCCACAAGAAACAGAAAGGATGATGCTTGCTCTTCTCTTCAATACTTATTTCTTCCATCTGTATCTTTCCGATTGTGTTGTCATGGTTTTCAAAGAACAAGCATTTCAAATCGCTTGATTTTCGGTCGTCTCTTCTCAGATTGGGCATTGTTTGGGATCCGAATATGTACACCCCTCCTGTTCCCACCTAAGTTTGTAAGCAATGATAATGACGGTGCTTACAACGCCGACGACAGTATAATTTTTGCGGCCCCCAATCAGACACTTTCTTAGAAAGCAAAATCCTAAAGTGACGTACCTCTACAGCGATGATACATACCCCTTTTACCCGGCCAGAAAGGATCAGTCTGTTAGACCCTTAGCGTCGCTTAACTCGCTACCCCACCCCCCTTGTTCTCCTATATATTCGAGTACATAGATAAGTCTGGTATATATAAAGCCTTCTTCCTGCAGAAAGCATCAATTAATTTTCACCAGCATCGCACAAGTCTCACACAGTCTTCCTCCTCGCCAAGTCCTCAACCCAAAGAAATTTCCAGTAATATATCAGTATAAACACACCACAGTCATGCCTAGCTTAGCCGAAGCCGATAAATCCAAACCCTACGTCCCTCTTGCCAACCTAACAGGCGACGGTTGGTCGACCGAAGATGAAGCAACAGCAACATGCTTCTGTGGTGCAGTTCAGATAGTAGTTGTAAGTCTTCCCCTCTGTCCTCACGAAACCCTGCTAATATCAACTTCCAGCCAACCAACGCCCCAGGTCTGATCAACACATTCGTCTGCAACTGCTCCGACTGCCACAAACTCACTGCCTCAATGTTCGCCTCCAACTTCACCGTCGCCGACGAGAACACCAAGTGGGTGCGTGGCAAGGAGAACCTAAAGACTTTTGCACAAAGTCATACCATTGCCTCGAAGGGCGTCATGACAAATTACTTCTGCTCCACGTGCGGCACTCTGATGAACCGTGTCGGGTCGAAGTATCCAGGGTTAAACTTTTTGCGGATCGGGACGATTGATGATTTGAATCTGGTTGAGACCAAGTTCAAGCCGCAAATTGAGCAGTTTACTAAGGATCGTGTGTTCTGGTTGCAACCGCTGGAAGGGAAACTGAAAGATATCAAGAACTTTGATGCCATGTTCCATTGAGCAGCTCTCCCAAGACCGTTCGGAATGGTTCTTTAACTGGAATTGGGGGTTGAAGAGCTTGAAGTGACTTGAGGGGATGTTCTAGGTGGCTGGGTACAAGGAGTGGTGGTACTGTAATATCAGGATATAATTAGCAATGAAGAAACGTTCATTACCAGATACACTATTATACGTTACCGGCAGTTTTTCAAACTAAAACAAGCGCAAAACACCCACTAAGCAAGTGCAGTCACAGTCTGATTTCTGTCTTCAGATGAGTGGTGGAATCTTCAACAATAATGGCAGCAATTATCTTTGCCCAGTTGGCTTGACCACAGCCCCAAAGGAATGAAAATGGCAAAAAGAAAAAGTAGATATTATTCTTAGTTCTTATAGGTAATAGGTTTGAAGGTGAAAGTACGATCGGCCCAGCACATGCTTACTAAAAGGCAGATGACATAATTAGGATCGCTAGAGAGAATACAATCAAATAGAGAAGCAGGTAGACGGAAGAAAGCATTCTAGAAAAGGGCAGTCCTTTACATAAGTTTAACTTAGAGGGGATCTTGTGAGGTAGGTAACGGAGTAATTTTGTCGGTATGAGATCACGTGCTATCGCGCTTCTTGGCTTCTCGCGACTGCCTGAAGCGCGTCACATCCCGAAGAACCTCAGCACCTTCACCAAATCCTTGAATCAAGCCTCCTCGCAAAGGTGCAATTACAATCTTTTGAACAATTTACTGCCGCTGCGGCTATTGTAACACTATTGTATCGGTGAAAATGGCCATGAGCCAGGGGGCAGTGGCAGAGGAGAACACCCAATATAACAATGCCGGACCTGTAAGTATAGCAGAGCTTGATGCACAGTAATTCAACTAGCTACATTTTCATGAGGTCTAAGCTGAATCTGAAAGGTATCCCGACCGTCCAACGAACCCTCCCTCCTCGACATTCTTCTTCCATGAGCTCCTCACGGGCCTCTTCAATCCTCTAAATGACAACAAGAAAAAGGCCATAGGTCCAGGTATCGCCCGAGCTAAGAGAGGGCCTGCTGGACCTACCAAGCTCAGTCCACACGAGGCCCGTCGCAATATAATCGCAAGATTCATCTCTAGATGGCGCAACGAAGTTGGCAACGACTTCTACCCCGCTCTGCGCCTTATCATACCGGAGAAAGACCGTGACAGGCCTATGTATGGCCTGAAGGAGAAGGCTATTGGGAAGCTGCTTGTCAATCTGCTGAAGATCAGTTCAAGTTCCGACGATGGATTTAACCTCCTTAATTGGAAATTGCCAGGTCAAACGACTGCTAGTCGTATGGCCGGCGATTTTGCGGGAAGATGTTATGAAGTGATTTCAAAACGATCGATGAGACAAGGCTTCGGAAATATGCGTATTGAAGAGGTCAATGAAATGCTCGACAAGCTTTCAGCTGCCCAGAAGGAAGAGAACCAATTACCAATCTTCCAAACATTCTACAATAGAATGAATGCAGATGAGCTGATGTGGTTGATTCGAATCATTCTACGACAGATGAAAGTAGGAGCAACTGAAAAGACTATCCTAGAAGTGAGTTGTCTGTGCAAGATATTCGATTATTGACTAATCCATTACTAGCTCTGGCATCCGGATGGTGAAACAATGTTCAACATCACATCCAGTCTTCGAAAGGTCTGCTGGGACCTGACTAATCCTGCAATCCGTCTTGGAGGAGAAGAAGCTGGAATCACGCTCATGCATTGTTTTCAACCCCAACTCGCTCAGTTTCATACCCACACGTTTGAGAAAATGGTACAAAAGTTAGCTCCAGATGATAATGAATTCTGGATCGAGGAAAAACTGGATGGCGAACGAATGCAGATGCATATGACCGAAGACGATGATATTCCAGGAGGCCGAAGATTCAGATTCTGGTCAAGAAAGGCCAAGGACTACACGTATCTTTATGGGAACAGCTTCGAGGATGACAGCTCGGCATTGACTAGACATATCAAACCCGCTTTTGACCCGAACGTCAGAAATATCATCCTAGACGGCGAGATGATCACTTGGGACCCCGAAACAAATAAAATGGTCGCCTTTGGCACCCTTAAGACTGCAGCTATATCGGCACAGAGGAACCCATTTCAAGGAACTGGTATCCGGCCACTGTTCCGTGTATTTGACTGCCTATATCTGAACGACACAAATCTTACAAGATACGAGTTGAGGGATCGATACAAGGCCCTGTTCGAAGCTGTCAAAGATGTACCCCAACGTCTTGAGAAACATCACCACGAAGTCGCTCAGCATGCTTCGAAGATCGAACCTGCGCTGCGCAAAGTGATCGCTGAGGCGTCTGAAGGACTCGTACTCAAGAATCCACGATCCATGTATCAGCTTAATAGTCGGAATGATGACTGGATGAAGGTCAAGCCGGAATATATGATGGATTTTGGAGAATCTTTGGATTGCGTTGTTATAGCTGGTTACTATGGTTCCGGACACAGAGGTGGTAATCTTTCTTCCTTCCTGTGTGGACTCCGGGTGGATCAAAACCATATCATGGCCGGTAAGTTACCCCTCATTGACCCTGCATGATAGTCCCCTGACCGCACGCAAGGTGCAAATCCAATGAAGTGCTGGTCCTTTTTCAAAGTTGGCGGAGGCTTCAGAGCGCAAGATTATTCCGAAATCAAACACAGAACTTCTGGAAAATGGATAGACTGGGACAGCAAACATCCTCCAAATGAGTTCATTGAGCTTGGAGGTGGTGACAGACAGTTTGAGAGACCTGATGTCTGGATCAAGCCTAGTGACTCTGTCGTTCTAGAAGTTAAGGCAGCTTCAGTCGGAACTTCCGAACAATTTAGAACGGGCTTTACTTTGCGGTTTCCTCGATTCAAAAAAATCAGAACCGACAAGGACTGGGAGAGCGCCCTATCCTTATCCGAATTTGCAGTACTGAAGTCCCAAGTTGAGAAGGAAGCTAAGGAAAAGGGAGAATTCAAGGTAGATAAGAAGAGAAAGATGACGAAGAGGCTGAAAAAAAAGACTGTCATCGCTGGGAACGAAATATCCCAGACGCCATACGCTGGTCCCAAGACAGAAACCTTCCATGGTCTGAACTTCTGCGTCATGAGCGAGATGACCAAACCCTACAAAAAGACCAAGGGAGAAATTGAGCAGGCCATCAAAGCGAATGGGGGAGCCATTTTCCAGAGCCCGACAGTAAAAGACGACATAATCTGTATTGGAGACAAGAGGGTCATCGCGGTCGCCAGCTTAATCAAGAGCGGGCACAGGAGTGTTGTAAAGCCGATATGGGTATTTGATGCCCTCAAACAAGTTGAGATCGATGGCCTGGATCGACAGAGATTGCTCTTGCCCTTTGAAGAAAAACAAATGTTTCATATGACGGAGAAAGATAGGGAAAGTATTGAAGGTAATGTCGATGAGTACGGTGATAGTTATGCGAGAGATGTCAATCCAGATGAACTTGAACAGATTCTCGATGATATGATACACCCTAAAAACTACGACTTCTCGTCCAATGCATTCCTGTCACAACTCGAAGAGCACGGCCATGGACTTGGGGAACTGACTGGCTCGCTTTTTGCAAGGTGCGTTGTTCGATTTATTTCCGGGAATGATCAGCCAGAGGATAGCGACTTCCTTGTTACCAAGAACCAGTTTCTATTTGCTGGGGGCATCGAAGCAACGGATGACGAAGAAGATACGATCACTCATTTTGTGGTCCGAAATGCATCCGCGGACATGTTGCGGTCGCTGTGGGATGAGCTTGCTTCATGGAGCGGTAAATTGCCTAGGATCGTAGATTTGAAGTGGTTACAAGACTCTTGGAGCGAGAAGACGTTGCTTGACGAGGAGAGATATACGGTTTCGTAACGAGATCTATGTTATGATAATGAACATTGAATAGAAATGTGAAATATGGGGAGGCATCAACTGTTGACGGTCAACAGGTTAGCATGACATGGCAATTGAGAAATTCATTTAATAAAACTTTCCTCCCTGTGGATTTGAGTGAAACGTTATTGTAAAGGACACCCAGGGATTCTTAAAACGAAGTTATATCATAATGGAAGATGCTATGGAGAACGAAAGGAAGAAAGTAAGCAACAACAGACTGAGTAGTAACTGCCTTCAAATCATTCGAAGTTGTAGATATTTCTCAAATCAAACAAGAGCAAACTAATACATGATATGGATCCATTACGCTTCGACATAGCAAGTGTGCATCTCATCTCCTCACAACCACTCTAAGTAATCCATTAAAAGCTCCCGAACACCTACCTTATTCTTCACATCGCTTCTCACAGCACCCGCGATCCCCCGATTAACACAAAGTAGTAGCGCAGCACATTTCACAGCAAGATAAAATATAACAGCGACTTAGACATCGACAGGAAAGCACGTCGTCTATTCGGCTTCGATTAAGCTTTCCGTTGATGATGGAATGCAGGCGATCTAGGTTTGTTTTGTGTTTGTGAATACTCGAGTATGGGATTTGGAAAGCATTTGCGCGGTATTTGATGTTTAGCTCTAGAGCAAGCATGGCTAAACGTCGTCGAAATAATCAGTAAATGAATGTAAAGAAACTTGACGTGAAGTTTTAGAGCAATATACTAATGTATGTATCACTAAATGTCGTTTTTGGATAGGCTAGCTGCTCGTATGATCTGTTCTCTGGGATGGATCGTTTGTCTAATGAGGACAAAACGGGGATGGGAGGGGAACTATACGAACTTATCCTAAAAATTGGGTTCTTTTGAAAATCGATTATAGATCACGCCTCTGTCAAGATTATGCAGCATCACATATGTTCCTGTAATATGATAATATCATGTACTTCTTGGTCTCAAATCTACTGTGCACAAGTAAATACCAGAAAGTGACCGACCAACCAGTGAACGCCTCAATACAATCCCTTTGAAGGTCCCAGCCTGTTGACTCCAAACTTCCAAAGCAAGCAAACGCAAATCTCCATCTCCATCACCTCCACCCCCATTCCCACCCCACTAGACCAATGCTGATATCCTATTCAGACAAGCAAAACTAAGAGATCCATGCCGAAAAGGAAAATATTACAAGAAATGAACTATCGACTTTGTATAACGGCTGTACGTTTGCTGAAAACAATTGCAATAACACGGACTGCGCAAAGATAGAACTGGGCTGTCTTCATGGAATCCAAGTCATGGTGATCGTTAAAAGCGTGCCTCATAACCGTCGTGTCATGTCTATCCTTCTAAATCCACCGGGACGTAAGGACAAATATTACAGAGAAAGAGATTTAAGATAATTTAAAAGGCGTCTTCATCGGTCCACTCACTGCCTGATACTATTCGATTGCCTTCAGGGTCTGTGAGTGCATGACCAGCATGAGCTCCGTAGGGTGGCAAGCCTCTGTGCTTCTTGAGTTGTCCGCCTTGTGGGGGGGCGTAGCCATCGTCAGGCGTGTAGCGTTTTCCTTGAGCAGCGCGAAGCCTAGCATAATAATCATCAGAGGCGTCCTCTTCGGGCTCGGAAATCTCAGAGTACGTCTCCCAATTCTCGCTACCTGAAACAACCGTTGAATTGTTTGAAATCTGACGGCTTGAGGGCGCAGAAGGATAGGAAGCTGTCGATGGAGTATATCGTTCATCTTGACGCATTGAGGACTTGAGTGACTGGTACGATTGAGGTCGGCCGTGCTCTTGTGGATAGCCATATGGGTCTTCAGGGGAGACATGTCGCACACTTCCACTCGAGAGCACGCTTTCGGAGCGGGAAAGTGATACCGGCGTAGGGGCTGGCGGTGGTACAAATAGGTCTCTCATCTTTGGCGGCGGTGCCCTCAATGGAGGAGGTCCCATCTTACCACGAAGAGTTCTGTCGGTATCCATCCTCGATTCCGGTCTGGCCCGACGCTCAGGTGAGTTTCCACCATGGTTGAGGTTTGACAGCGGTGCCCGTGCAGGAATCTTCGAGGGAGATGTCTTGCCAGTCATCGCAGAAACAGAATTTACCAATGGATTGCGTCGAAGGGTTGCTGCAGCTCCAGCTGTCGGTGTCTTTGCACCAGATCTTGGTGGTGGTGCTTTCATGACACTGTTTCCGCGACTAGGTGGAGCCGATTTTGGATTCTTAGTAGTAGACGGTGGTGGTCCTGCGGGGGTTTTTGATCTAGGACCAGGTGCAGGTTTGGATTCTGAAGCGTCGAGCTCGTCGATATATCGTTCTCCATGTACCAAGAATGGTCGACCATATTCGTCCTCCCATTTCTCCAGGGTCTTTCTTAATTGAACGGCAATCTTCGGCAAGTCCTTTGCAATTCTCTTTCTCATCTTCTCTTCTCTCAGAAGGCGGGTTGGGTCACGCTTCTCACCCTTCTGGCCTCGTCCAAGTAGTCTAGACGCATCTTGACTGGATGCTTGCAGATCATTACGGTCCTTTACAAGGGATCGATGGTTTTCGATGAGAGCCAGAGTTGGGGCACGTTGTTCCTTGAGAGCTTCCAATCGGCTAATTTCCTGCTCGTGTGCCTCAAGGAGAGCATCGCTGTGAACGTCCGAAAATGCTGGTGTGAACTCCAGCATCTCCTCTTCGGAGAAGTAAAGGCCATCCCAGAGTTCTTGCAGCTTATATCGCGCATCCTCGATGAAGAGATGAAGGTTTTGTCGCTTCAGCTCGTTCAATCTAGACAACTCGTCCTCAAACTCGTTGATTTGTCGGACCCCGCAGCCACGATTGCCATTCAAGAACTTCTTCCTCTCGTGCTCCTCAACGCCCAGCTTCTGCCATAACCCCTCAACGGTCATTTTAAGATCCTTCAGGCGCTTCTCACGTGACTTCTTTTCGTCTGCCAGCTTGTCGCGCTTGGCTCGTAGTCTAGCAATGTCTTCCTCGTGTAGACCGAGTTGTTCTGGTGAGTCACGGTAATATTTGACAATCGTGCTATCTGTCTGAGCCTGTGGTGTTCCAAGCTCTGCCCAAAGCTGAATAATATGTTCCGAAAGTGCCTTGACTGTTGCGACCCGACGAGTGTATTCTTCGTATACACGAGTAAATTCATCATCAAGTGAAGTAACGTAAACGGGCGAGAGGTCAAAGGTAGGTGGGACAGTTGAGTTGGGCGTTGTAGGAGGAAGAGCGATCTTGATAAATGACGCTTCGAGATGAGAAGAGTAGGATTCGAGGGCCTGGACCAATTCTGTTTATCGTTAGTATCTCATTTCAGGCTATTACTTATATGTTGAGGTTTGTGTACTCTTGACTTGCTCGAAGCGCTCCTTGTGTAACCTGGATATCTGCTGATGCTTTTCCTTTAATACTTGCAAGCAACGTGTCAAAGGGTATGTGATTTTCAGATCCTCATCCTCGGCTTGGTATTCATGATGCGCCTTGTTGTCATCTAGCGAAGCCTCCATCTGCTTTATTGTAGTAATGATACGTTGTGCCTCCTCGGTCATCTCATTCTTTTCGGATTGGACGAGTCGCACTTGATTGTGTAGAGCTTCAGAGAGTGCAGAGAATAACTGCATACAATTAGCAATATAAAATGACCGCGTTGGTGTGATAATGTACCTCTGACTCTCGAGATTCCCGGTCATGGCTGGCTACTCCAATCTCATCGAAGAGGCCATGGAGCTGTCCAATGATTTGCGAAACCTGCGAGGTCAGGTAGCTGGAATCCATCGTGAGCGGACAGGAAGAAGCGCGTCAGATCAATGCGCTCTTTGCTGTAGGTTGAGGTGTAAGTGTAACACTTGTGATGCACAAGGACCGCAAGATGGGGTCGGGTAAGAGGAAGGCCAGTCCTGATATTGTAGGTTTATCGTTACGGTCGAGCAAAGAAGGATTCCTGATCGCGACTGCGAAACCCGAGACGAGAAGAATGCGCAGCTCATCAAAGAGGGGATGAGATAGAAGTCGCGGTTTTGGGTGTCAAATCCAACTGGATGTTCCTTCCTTCCTGTATAATACATGTCATGTTATTTTGCGGCTATTTAGAGCGTGAGGTTGGCACGGTAACGTCTCCGCTGTTTCACCATCTCGGACACAATTCAGGCGGCTGGCTGGCTGGCCCCGCCAAAAATGAGCTCCGGTTCCGACAAGGCTGCAGCTCTAACATCGACCTCCATTAATCTTCCATTTCCATATCCATTGGACCATCTAGACATCTCGACCTAGACACAGCCGCATACACCCGTCAAGTCTTTCTTCTTACCACTGGTGGCCAACATGGATACTGCATACAAGACTTGGGGTAAGTCTTCATCTTCCAGATTTCCCCTCTACTACATTTCCTAAGCTCATCTTATCGATAACAGAGCTAGACAACAATGTCAAATTGGTGGATCCCCAGCGCGATGCCCTCTATACTTACGATACCGGCGAGCAAAAGGAGATCAATGATGCGAAGCCATGGAGAGCCGACCCCACCACTTCAAAAATGTACGAATCTCCGCTGTAGCTCTCCTCAAGATGGTTATGCACGCACGAACTGGCGGCACCCTGGAAGTCATGGGCTTGATGCAAGGCAAAATATCCGGAGACACATTTATCGTCACAGACGCCTTTAGGTTACCTGTCGAAGGCACTGAAACCAGAGTTAATGCCCAAGACGAAGCAAACGAATACATGGTTGGGTATTTGCAGGCCTGCCGTGATCAGGGAAAATTGGAGAACGCAGTTGGCTGGTACCACAGTCACCCAGGCTACGGCTGCTGGCTCAGTGGCATTGATGTCAGCACACAGTTCACACAACAGACGTTCTCAGACCCTTTCCTTGCAGTTGTCATCGACCCAGACCGTACCATCTCTGCAGGCAAAGTTGAAATTGGTGCCTTTAGAACCTATCCCGAAAACTATAAACCCGCTGAAACCAGTGCTGAAGACGGATATCAGACCATTCCGTTGGCAAAGATTGAGGATTTTGGTGCTCACAGCAGTCGATACTACTCTTTGGAAGTCTCTCACTTCAAGAGTACGCTTGATACCCACCTGTTGGAGCTGTTGTGGAACAAATACTGGGTCCAGACCCTCAGCCAAAGCCCGCTATTCACCAATCGCGATTACAGCAGCAAGCAGATGCTTGATCTCAGCAGTAAGATCGGGGAGGCCTCAAAATTGATTTCACGATCTGGAAGAGCACCAACTGGATCACTGGGAGGGAAGGCTGTGGATGAGAAGATGGATAAGGCGGTGAGGGATAGCAACAAGATTGCTGGAGAGGAGATGACGGGATTGATGGCTGGTGAGATTAAGGCGAAGCTCTTCAATGGGCTGGGAGATGCGGACAAGGAACAGAAGACCGCTCAGCCTGCTGCTGCTGTCGCGGTTGAGACTGAGATTGAGGCTAACGCATCATGATGACAAGGCGTTGGAGATTTTATGAGATATGGCACATAATATGCAAAACCAATGAGACCTAGAGGCTCATAAGCATTGCTGGCGTAATTTACTTTACATGAGAGGCGTTTGGGTGGATGGCACGAATCATGAAAAGCCTAGAGTACAGAGAACAAACAACATATGATAAAGTACATGCCTAATTTCCAGTTTGAGATTGGTCCTCTAGTAGTACAAAGTCCTTTATAGTGATACACAGTCGCCCATACAACAACATGCTTAATACAACATCATACAAACAAAACATGACAGCATCTAATCTCCACCACTCCCTCCACGCCCATCCCCACCGTCACTCACACCAGTCTCCTGCTCTAAAGCAGCCTCAGACTCCACCTCTCTATCCGGCGCCTTTCTTCCCGGCACAGGCTCACTCATCGCCATCGCCATATCCGCACCATCGTCCTTAACCGCCATCATAACCTCCTTCGCCAACTCGAACCTCCTAAGCGTCTCCTCCTTCCCAAGAATCCCCATACTAATAACGCCGTCGGGGCCCGGGTGCCCCGCCGCTATCGCCCAGCGAATATACCCATGCACGGCCCTGCTCCACGCCTTTTTAAACAAGCCCTCCAAGTTCTCCTCATCGCTGCCCGCCTCATCCAGGCTTTGCCATATCTGTTTCTGCACCAACGTTTCCGTCCACGCTTTGAGCTTTACGGCGCTCCAATTCTCGATGCGGGATAAGGAGTCAAATTCTGTGGCGAATGAGGCGGGGATGATGGAGTTTGCGCGCGCGGGGATGTTGCGCAGTCTTAGAGCGGGGAGGGTGTCGTGGAGGTTTGTTGAGGTGGGGGGGCTGAAGAAGCTGATGTTGCGGGTGATGAATTCGGAGGGCGTCGTGTAATTTATGGCGTCTGCCCAGAGGAGGGAGCGGACGAAATCTTCCGTCGGAGGAGGGCCTTCTAGGAGGTCTGGGCGCTCTGAAATGTGCTTGAGCAGGAGCGGTAGGGCGAGTTTGTTCATATCGTGACGGGGATTGTAGGGTGTTGAAGGGGGAATGGAGGCGTAGCGGGAAGCGTGTCTTCTTTGGAGGAACCATAGTTTTTCAAAAGCTACTATTGTGTCGCCTTTGGTAAACTTCAGACTCGCCTACGCAAAACATTAGAAGTGAGCATTTGATGAGAATGGAGTTGAGGTACAGTTCTGATCAGTTCTTCCATATTCATAACATCGTGCTTTTCACTGTGAGACCACCCGAGAAGCGAAACGAAGTTGTTCAGAACCTCGGGGAATACCCCTTCCTTGTCTCGCCATTCTGCTAGCTCGACGGAACCGGTTCTCTTACTCAGTTTTGCGCCGGTCTTGTCGACGAGCAGACTGACATGAGCGAACTTTGGAGGCTCCCACCCGAAGGCTTTGTACATTGCAAGATGTTTCGGCGTAGATGACATCCATTCCTTCTCAAGTTAGTGAAAGGGTATTTTGCGCATATTGGGAAACACATACTGAGCCTCGAATCACATGGGTGATTTTCATAAGATGGTCATCAACCACATTTGCCAAATGATAGGTTGGAAATCCATCAGACTTGAGCAGGATTGGATCATCGTACTGTTCGTGAAGCATTTTCTGCTTGTAATCAATACTCTGCCGAACTAAACCATACACCAAGTCGTTGTACACAGGGTATTTGTCTGGTGCCTTTAGTCTGACAACATGAGCCTCTCCCTTAGCAGCTCGGTCATCTGAGTGCTCTTTTGGAATATGTGCACAATTCCTATCATAATCCGGAGCGTTTCCATGACTTTGTCGGTGCTCGGCGAGGGCATGTAGGCGTTCGGGAGAGCAGAAACATCGGTATGCGTTACCGGATTCTAGTAATTGCTCTATGTGTAATCTGTATATGGCTGTTCTTTGTGACTAAATTATATTAGAAGAGCTACAATATTGATGGAGAGCAACTTACCTGTACGTATGGGCCGTATGGACCCCCTATTCTTGGACCTAGCAAAATGTGAGTATGAAGCAATATAAATTGAGAACAGATTCAAAGGACCTTCATCCCACTCTATTCCCGCCCATTCCAAGTCTTTATACAGCCTTTCTTCAGCACCGGGTACTATCCTCTTCTACCAAAACTCAGTCCTAATCCTCGAACAATGAAGTAAGTTAGAGTCACCTGATCAGTATCTTCGATTCTCAAAAGAAACTGCCCACCAGTTGCTTTTGCAACAAGATAATTGAATAAAGCAGTCCTTAACGACCCAAGATGGAGATATCCAGTAGGAGACGGAGCAAATCGTGTTCTAGCCGGTCCGCCGTTTCGAAGGTCTTGGGCAGCTTTCGACGGTTCAGGAGGCGTATATGAGGCTGTGTTTGTTGAAGCATGTTTGATACCACGGCATGATTGGCAGATCCATCGAGATGCAAGCGTTCGTCTCGCCGAATTCAAAAACAAATACATCACTTTCTTAGTTTTTGTCTCCGTTCCAGAATATTCATTTGTCTTTGAAATCCCTTCCGCCTCGCCTTTTATGCAAACAACAAGGATTAACATCTTCCCGCCAAAAATCCATTTGGAGCTAGTACGATAAAAAATACATGTCTACTGTATCAGTTTTCACGTCTTGACTTCTCCATCAATACACAACCTAGAACTCGTCGTTTTCTGCACATAGACTGTGTGATTCTGAATTGTTTTAACGCCCATTCACGTTTGCTATTTCATCTAGCAGAACACCTCTAAACATAGCCGCAAACTCAAACAATCTACCCCTCTATTGAATCCTCAACCATGGCTGACAATGGAGCAACGGAGGAAGACCTCTATGGTGAGTAGCAGAACCACAACGAATTGACTCGGTATTAACAGAGAATAGAGGTCCTTGGGATATCCAAGTCTGCCACAAAATCTGAAGTGAAGAAGGCATACCACAAGGTGCGTAATCTCAGCAGCCTCGCTCCAACACATGCTGACCAACCCCCAGGCAGCTCTGCAACACCACCCCGACAAAGTAGCAGAAGACCAACGCGAAGAATCCGAATTGAAATTTAAAGCAGTCAGCCAAGCTTACGAGATTCTTCATGATGAAGAGAAACGTCACCTCTACGATACACACGGCATGGCGGCTTTCGATACCAGCAGAGGAGGCCCGGGAGCCGGCGGACCAGATCTAGATGATATTCTTGCGCAGATGTTTGGGGGAGGCATGGGTGGTGGTATGGGCGGCATGGGAGGCATGCCTGGGTTTGGGGGTGAAGGTGGACCGAAGCGGTCACGGAAGGGACGTGATGAGGAGCAGAAATACCAGGTTACGTTGGAGGAGCTTTATAAGGGGAAGACAGTGAAGTTTGCGAGCACGAAGAATATTATCTGCAGTCATTGCAAGGGGACGGGTGGAAAGGAAAAGGCGAAAGCGCAGAGCTGCGAGAGGTGCAAGGGGAATGGTATCACAGTTGGACTTCGACAAGTTGGGCCGGGTCTCGTTACGCAGGAACGAATGGTGTGTGATACTTGTACAGGAACGGGAAAGATCTTTAAGGAGAAGGATAGGTGCAAGAAGTGCAAGGGGAAAAGGACAACGTCGGAGAAGAAGGTGCTAGAGATTTATATTCCAAGAGGTGCACGGGAAGGCGAGCGGATTACTCTCGAAGGCGAAGCAGATCAAGTACCCGACCAAACTCCCGGGGATATTGTTTTCACACTTGTCGAGGACGAACATGACGTATTCCAGAGGGCTGGTGATGATCTTTCAGCTGAGCTCAACGTTACGCTCGCAGAGGCATTGACTGGCTTCTCCAGAGTGGTCTTGAAACATCTTGACGGCCGTGGTCTTCATCTTGATCATCCCCAAGGCAAGGTGCTGCAGCCTGGACAGATATTAAAAATTGCTGGCGAGGGAATGCCATTGAAGAAGAGTGATGCGAAAGGAGATCTATATCTTGTGGTCAAGGTTGAATTTCCAGAGAACGGATGGACCGAGGCTGCTGCTGCATTCGACAGTCTTCGAAATATCCTTCCTAAGCCCGATGAGCCAATCGAAGCCACCGAGATCGACGAAGTGGAATACGATTCGGACGCTGATATCGAAGATGTAAGTTTGCCGTCCCAAAATTCCGATTGAAACATGCTGACTTGAATAGTTCGGTGCCAATTCTGGGGACCCCCGAGCTGGTGGTGGATGGGAAGATGACGAAGAAGAGGAAGGCCAGGCACAGTGCGCACAGCAATAAACGCACAGTTACATAGAAGGATGATACTTTTACGCAGCGATTCTTGAATTTTCAGGTGTTTTCAGCGGTAGATAGGCAGTCACCTCCGATGCGGTCTTTGAACTGCTATATGATTCGGGAGAAGAAGGGGACCAGGGGATATAAATGGTTACCAAATGGAAATAGAAGTCGGTCCTCTTTCATGAATGAACAAAATGTTCAGGTCTCGGATATGGCCTTTTCCATTCTCTGTCACGGTGTGCAAGGAGACGTCCCAACGCTAGATAGAAGAATGCTAAACATTATGCGATTTCACGAAAGATTTATATCACCACAGTCAATGTCATGTTGAAGCTATGTTCATTACCTATGGGCGCCCTATAATTACTTGTTCCCAGACTCAACTCTAGGATTTGACTGTAGCAGGCCTATCTCTACTTTAACAGTCAGAATCCTTTAACAGCAGAAGTAATAGAACTAGAACGCCTCGCAGTTCCAGAGTTTCACCCCTATAATCATAATTTGCTTCCCTTTGCTTTCCACATCGATGTGCTGCATCTATCGCCACTTTTGAGATGTATGGTCCATCTGTCTCCTTCGTCACATGGGATTAGAACGCTTATACTGTAGACAAACGTCTTTGGCAAATCGAAAGAGACGAGGGTATGATTTACGCAACGGCATCCAAATTCGACACCCTCAAGGCAGTGTTTCGGGACGGATGGCAGCGATTTTGATACGACATGAACACACTTAGCCTGATAGAGAAACGAGAAATATCGGTTTTGCATAGAACGTTCTAAAGGCTTGAGGATATAGGTGAAGTTCGGACTCGCCTTGAGATAGGAACCGCTCAATTATCATGGCAGGGAATTATTTGGAAGTGATATCTTCGGTTGAGCAATATGAAAACGAAATAAAGCTTTCTGAGGTTGCGAATCACTTGATATCGGCCACACCTATCGCATTGCATCTGAATTACTCAAATGCATTACTCTACAAGAACAACTAGAATGCATCTTAGGGCTAGGAACAGCGTCAGGGTCCAAAATATTGATTTGAGGATTGTCTGGCGTCTACGCCGGGATCCGTTTCGGGGGCTTTTCAAGCATCCGTCTAGAGTGAGACTTTATAATATAAATATATGTCGAGTGATACGGTACAAAGAGATAGAAAAAGAGGCCCTAGTTAGAACAGCCAGAAAGGCAAGATACTCTTAATAGAATATCATTGCGCTGATAGCGAGTAAATAAAGACCTCGAAGATTTATTTTCTCCAGCTCACGTGATGTCATTATTTTCGCTTGTAAAGCGCTAGCGCGCACTCACCACAACTTTTTTCACGGGCGAAGTTCAAGACAATTTACGAGTTCAACACCACGACAAACGACTTCCCCTCGAAACCTCCGACAAGGTACGTAGACCCGTCTCGAGATCCAATGTGTGTCTTGTGCCTATGATTCCGTGGAAACGCCTCTCAGCAGTCTCCCCACGGAGGGGTGCAGGCGTGGCGCATTGCCCTCATCAGAAGTCGCATGAATGCTAACTCTTCCCCAGATGGTTTCCGCAAAGAAACATGTGCCGATCGTGAAGAAGAGGACCAAGCGGTTCCACCGTCATCAGTCTGGTCAGTTTTGCCCTTGGAATACCCTCAATTAGACATGTACTGACTTCTCTAGACACCTACGTAACCAACCCCTCCAGAACCATTTCAGTCGACCTTGCTAATTAAAAGAAAAGATGTGCCTTGATGCATCATGGAGAAAGCCAAAGGGTTCGTTGTATCCTCTCCTTGATTTCAGTCTGGGGAGCATTTCACCAATACCATACTAATACATCTTTAGGTATCGATAACAGAGTTCGCCGTCGTTTCGCAGGCCAAATGGTCATGCCATCGGTACGTTTAATACAAAGATGAGGCCGGAGGTGGTGGAAGAAGGACGACGGAATTCTGCTTCGCGGCCTTCGAAACCACCTCCAACCTCTGACACGACAACAAGGAGGACAGAGCTGATTGGAATATTGTAGATTGGTTTCGGATCAAACAAGAAAACCCGCCACATGATGCCCTCCGGCCACAAGGCTTTCCTTGTCAACAACACCCGCGATGTCGAACTCCTCCTGATGCACAACAAGACCTTCGCCGCAGAGTACGTTTATCCACCAAGGAGACAAGGGGAATAAGGACTGATTTTATCTAGGATCTCACACGCCGTTTCATCGAGAAAGCGAATTGACATCATCCAACGTGCGAAGGAGCTCGGTGTTAAGGTTACGAACCCCAAGGCCAGAGTTACGACCGAGGTTTAAGGATTGGTTGGTTTCTTTGGGCGCTTTGCTATGGGCATGGGGTTGCTTGATATCGTTCTGGGCAGTGGAAAATGTAGCACATGCTCTCAGATGAATGAAACTTAAGCAATCATTGTGCTTGAGCTATGTGACCGATATGTGAGAACTTTTGCGGAGGCGACACTCGACACCCAGAAACGACTCGGGCGCAAGCTAGATTATTGTGTCACAAAGTATACAAATACCCGGGAAGATCATAAATACTGAATATGGCAATTTCGACTGCTGACTTTTGTCAACCATTGCATATTAGAGGGTGTGTTTTTGCCCGAGGAGCAAGTCGAACCACTAGACCAAAACATAGGATTTTACCTCGATCTCTGTCACTGAACTTGTCCATCTCTTTACAATATCGTAGGTGCTATACCCAAATTCGCTATTTGAGGATTTGGGAATCTAGGAGGGTTTCTTTTTGGATCAGCTCCATGATTCCCTTTTCTCTCCATGTTATTTATCATCATCAAACTTTCTCTTCACTTTACTTAGAAAACATCAATAGGTTCCCCACAGCCATCCCTCGTCATTGTTTACCCATCGATGTTCTACACAGCTGTTGTTATAGCTAACCAGCTACAAGTACATTTTCATTATGATTGGTACAGTATGACCTGTCGTCGCGTGATATTCCATCGCGTGATATTCCATTGCTATGTAGACTTCCGCCATATCATTGAGTTCAACACAAACAAATTTCCTAGGCAGCTATCTTAGCCCCATGCGAGGGCTTTGCCTGTCATTTTTGCTGCAATGGTGTGTGTAACCATTGAGTAAAGAGGCCGCTAAGGTTAGCTTTGAGGGCAAGCAAATCTTTTCTGTTCTGAAAATGTCATACCCCTAACGAGCTAGTTTTGGCATAAGAAATTGCTACCTTTTGATGTAATGATTGCCATAATAGTAGTTTGAGAAGGGCTGGCTTCCTTTCATATGAAGGTATATCTAAAGAGGCTCTTGTAGGTTGGAATCTCAAAAATGGTTCTTACGTTACTTTACATATGTCTATCTATATCTTATCTTTTGGCGCTATGGGTAGTCTCTTATTACATACTTATGATGCTATAGCAGGGCTGCTGTTAGTTTGATGGGGTTTCGACTGAGGTACTTCGGGAAGTGGTGGTGTGGTAGTGTAAGTTCAATTCCAATGGGTCCCATCCCCTTTTCGGATAACTTCACAGTCGACCCTCCAGTCGACTTTGCAATTGCGCTATCTTTGACTTGAATAGCTGTATATTTAGGGAGAAATTTTTCTTCTGCTCTCCTACTTTTTTATTACTCACACATACGACTTTCCAACTCAGACAATTCAATTTCCACAATTCCTTGACAAGAATACTTCCTACCTTACTTCTGATTGCTCCACGGTATCTTCAAGCACCAGGCAAGCTCAAGTCCCAGCTACTCGCCACCACCATAAGTCGACAATGTCTCCAAATCCCATGCTCATCCCCACAAAGGCATGCAATTTCTGCAGCTGCAAGTCATCATCGAAACCAAGCGAGAGCGGAAATGGACTCTACTACAGCACCCACCCAGTCCCAGGAATCTACTCCGAGAACTCACGCGGAGTACGCCATCTCGTCGCTCTCAAGCCCAATGGCCACAGGGATGTGGAAAACATCTTCTACCGCAGCCCCGGGAATTCGAGAGCCAGTAGCCTCTGCGAAGAACAAGTCTCCAAGGAGGTTCAAGCTACTGACACAGAGACGACAACGGGGAGCATATCCATATCCAACCGAACTAGTTTGGATTCTGATTCCCACGACGGAAAACTCGGTTTTGTAGGCTTGCCGTACGTTTACAACCGCAAGAGAACCAGTGTCTGCTCCTCGGAGTACTTCACCGAAATAGCTATCAGCGAGCCCTTGAAAATCCCTATCGACCGCACAAACCAGGACCGCAACCGCCAGTCCCCCAACTCCAAGTTCAAGTTCCAGTTCTGGAAATCAAAATCAAACAACAACGCCGGAAATCGTCACCTGTTGCAGATCGACCTAGTCGGCTACAGGTTCCTCGCCAAGCCCGTCCAGATCGAATACAGCAACATCCTCTGCTCCTGGCGCTTCAGTGAGGAACTCAGCGCTCGCAAGATGCTGCTCACGGGATGCAGGGGCCACGACTACTGTGGGGGCAGGTATGAAGGATGTAAGGACGATGTCAAGCTGGAATTCATGGTGTTGGATGATTCGAAGACATGGGTTCTCGTCGACAAAACCGTCACCAGAAGCAGGAAAACTCTCAAACTGGAGCTCACCGACGACAAAAACGGCACACAAAAAGAAGACATCGATATTGACATGCTGAAAACGAAAAAGAGAGGAAGCAAAAAGGGAATTGATAATGAGGTTCTCTTTTGCGCTGAGATTGAAAATAGTGAGACGATGGCTTTTAAGCCGCTTTCTGAGAATGATGGGATTTGTGCGAGGATTAGGCTGGGCGTGTTTGAGGGGCGGGTTGTGTGTCCGGCGGGTGTTGGAGAGGAGGAGAGGGATTGGATGAAGATTGTTAGGTATTGTGGATGAACCTAGACAGACACCCTTTGCTGGGGTTTCCTGAAATGGCTTAAAGGTTTTGTTGAAGTCTAGGAGTTGTTAGATTAGACTAAATTGAAGAATGTGTAAAAGTTAGTTTTGATTTGAGATTGCTCGGGGACTTGATAACAGTGTACATGGCTGTCACTCGATTGATCAGAATGAGACAAGAACGCTGTAAATTGAAGGAACAGAAGATGTAACAAACTAGAACCTAGAATCATCCTTCATGCGTCTGGTATCTACCATTTCGCCTTTCGCCGTTGTATATCCCAGATTATCTTCCATCTCAACCCAGGTTGAAAACTCCAAGAGAAATATATGCCATGCAGCCTATGCAGAAATCCGATTTTCGTACGCCTCCCATGCAGTTTTCCGGTAACGCTCTGCTTCCCTAACTTGATCTCCAGCATTGATGATTCCTCTGCCGACGATAACAATGTCATTGCCCATCAAGCCCACAATCTTTGCCGGTGTATTGTACTGTTGCCCTTTTCCATCACCCTGGATCGTGGGATTGTCATCCTCCTCGTCATCTTCATCTTTCTCTGGAGGCAACTGGCAGCCAGGTGTCATACTAAGGAACTGATCACCAGGCTTTGTATTCAAGGTCTCTTGCGAGATGAAGCCCATCACGTAGCCCTTGTGTTTCCTCGCGCTCTCCACACAAGCATCCGTATATTCCTTGGTCATAAAATTGCCCTTGGTGCTCATCTGCGCCAGAATAAGCAGGCCCCTTTCCATCGGTGGCTCTTCGATACCCTGCAGTATCTCCTCGGAAATCTCGTGCGATCGTGGTGAGTTCACAGGCTCAAAGTGCTGCGACACAGTCGTGATAGACACAATGCTAGCCTTCCGACCCGCATGCGTGCCGTTTTCCTCTCCCTCCTCTTGCACAGGTGTTCTCGCCTCGTCCGAATCGTCCGAATCCTCGTCCGAATCCGCCACGCTGCCAGCCCTGGGCGTGCCGGCTGAGATGTCAGTTTTGACCTCGTAGCGTTTACGTTCGCGCCAGCGCACCGCTGCCTCGGCCAGGGCGTCGACGGCTGCGGCCCCGGGTATCATGTTCACGTTGGTGATGTGCGACCACTCGATGATCCGGGCTGTGCCCTCCGTGTACTGCTGCTGTACCGTGTTGCCAATGTCGCCGAACTTGCGGTCTTCGAAGATCAGGAAGCCGTGTCGGCGAGCGATGCGTGCGAGTTTGGCTCCTGTGCCGTGGGTGGGACTGTAGTCCCAGTTGTTGACCAGATCATAGTGAGTTTTGAGTACGACGATCGAGGGCCCTACGGCGTTTGCGAGATGGAGCAGCTGGTTTGTAGTTGAGACGTCGGCGCTGAGGCAGAGGTTGGATTTCTTGATGGCCATAAGGCGTAGGAGGTAACAAGAGAGTGGATGAGTCACATTTTGTGCTCTCTCAGAGTACGAGATTCTTGTAACATCTTGAGGCTCTTTGGCAGACATGATCGTGTTACGGCGTAATTAATCGATTCTTCTCGATGTTCTCAAAATATGAAAGAATTGCTCGTCCCGAAAGATAAAAGTTCACGGTCTGGACAAAATAAAGCATGCGTTTTCAAAATAAAATCGGGCTTGCCGTACAAAGTGGGTTCTAGAATCCTAGACAGTCCAGGGTCCAGGATTGAGATATTTATGCATGAAGATCTTACATAGGAAGCGTAAAGGATATCTATATGAAGATTGATTAAGTCGCACGAATTTCACATGTCACAAGTATCGCGAGCAAATATCTATTGATTGGATTTTACGACTTTATTTTTGGTAGTGCTACCTATATTGAGGTGCAATCTGTATTACAGGAGAAGATGAACACCAGCTTTTCCGGTGTATCTTCCGTCGTAGTAAAAATGGAACGCAAAACCGCAAATCTATAAGAAAAGACCCCGCTGGACACCAAAAAAAGAGGATGCCGTAAATGCAAGAAACCAACTAAAGAGATTCGTGAGAAACAATCTAGTCAACCTCCTCGACAGTTGGACCATCATCGTGGGTAGCACCGGCACCAGGGCCACCTGCACCTGGGAATCCGCCTGCACCACCGGGCATGCCTCCTGGCATACCACCTGCACCTTCGCCACCGGCACCGTAGAACTGTAAATGAATTAGTATGAGGCTTTAAAATATTTCTGGGGCGGCAAAGTTAACATACCTTCATCATGATTGGGTTGGCAACTGCCTCCAACTCCTTCTGATGCTCCTCGTACTCCTCCTTGGTGGCTTGTTGAGACTCGTCCAACCAAGAGACGGTCTTGTCAATCTCGGCCTTCAGGGACTCCTTGTCGGCAGGCTCGAGCTTCTCATCGACCTTCGAGTCGGAGAGAGTGTTCTTCAGCGAGTAGGCATATGATTCGAGTCCGTTCTTGGCGGAGATACGGCCAGCCTCGGCTTCATCCTCAGCCTTGTACTTCTCAGCCTCAGCCAACATGCGCTCGATCTCCTCCTTGGACAGACGACCCTTCTCGTTGGTGATGGCGATCTTGTTAGACTTGCCGGTACCCTTCTCAAGAGCGGAAACGTTGATGATACCGTTGGCATCAACATCGAAGGTGACCTCAATTTGAGGGACACCACGAGGCGCAGGTGGGATACCAGTGAGCTCGAACTTGCCCAAGAGGTTGTTGTCCTTGGTACGTTGACGCTCACCCTCGAAGACTTGGATAAGTACACCAGGTTGGTTGTCTGAGAAGGTAGAGAAGACCTCGGACTTCTTGGTTGGGATAGTGGTGTTTCTTGGGATAAGCTTGGTCATCTGGCCACCAGCAGTCTCGATACCAATGGACAATGGCGCGACATCGAGCAAGAGGATCTCGTTGGTGGACTTGGATGAAGTGTCACCAGAGAGAATGGCAGCTTGGACGGCAGCACCGTAGGCAACAGCCTCATCGGGGTTGATGGACTTGTTGGGCTCCTTGCCGTTGAAGTAGTCGGTGATGAGCTTTTGGATTCTGGGAATACGGGTGGAGCCTCCAACAAGGACGATCTCGTGGACCTTCGATTTGTCAATCTTGGCATCTGCGAGGACACGGTCGACTGGGGTAGTGGTGGATCTGAAGAGGTCCTGGCAGAGCTCTTCGAAACGGGCACGTGTGATGGAGGTGTAGAAGTCAATACCCTCAAAGAGAGAGTCGATTTCAATGGAGGTTTGGGCGGATGAAGAGAGGGTACGCTTGGCCCGCTCGCATGCTGTGCGAAGACGACGGAGAGCACGGGCGTTGCTGGAAAGATCCTGTTCACGCGGATGTTAGCCAATGTGCCACATCGGGTGAGACATTATTGTGGAATAGAAAATTGTTGTAACATACCTTCTTATGCTTTCTTTTGAATTCGTTTACGAAGTGGTTAACGAGTCTGTTGTCGAAATCCTCACCTCCCAAGTGGGTGTCACCGGCAGTGGACTTGACCTCGAAGATACCCTCTTCAATGGTGAGGAGAGACACATCGAAGGTTCCTCCTCCGAGATCGAAGATGAGAACGTTTCGCTCACCCTCGACCTTCTTGTCGAGACCGTAAGCAATGGCAGCGGCAGTTGGCTCGTTGATGATTCGGAGAACGTTGAGACCAGCGATCAAACCAGCATCCTTGGTGGCTTGACGTTGGGAGTCGGTGAAATAAGCTGGTACGGTAACAACAGCGTTGTTGACGGTTCCACCGAGGTATGCCTCAGCAGTCTCCCTCATCTTAACCAAGATCATGGAAGAGATTTCTTCTGGGGTGAATTGCTTCTTCTCGCCCTTGAACTCAACCTCGCAGACTGGCTTTCCACCACGGTCGAGGACGGTGAAGGGGAAATGCTTCATGTCAGCCTGGACCTCAGCATCTGCGAACTTGCGACCGATGAGTCGCTTGGCGTCGAAGACTGTGTTTGCTGGGTTCATGGCGACTTGGTTCTTCGCGGCATCACCGATCAGACGCTCTGTGTCGGTGAAGGCAACGAAGGAAGGCGTTGTGCGGTTACCCTGGTCGTTGGCAATGATTTCTATTCTGTCATCACGGAAGATACCCACACAAGAGTAGGTAGTTCCAAGATCGATACCTATAGCGAGGCTGTTAGCAAGAGCTTCATGGGGAGATCTGTGTGGGGAGTACGCACCAATGGCTGGAGCCATGATGAATTATAGTGTAGTGTAGTGTAGTAGAGGATTGGAGAAATATAGATGATTTTTGTATTGTGTGTTGCTTCAGATGTTCAATTGAAGTCTTGTAGATGTCTTGAGGAAAAAAATAAAAGAAAGTTGGAGGAGTGCGGGCTGGCTGTTTTATCTGTCGGTTGTTCTGGCGGAAGGCTGTAGAATTTCGTGGAAAGGCAAGCGAAGAAGGCCATGGAAGAAGCACGACCCCACCCGAAACGACGAGATTTGAGTGGAAAGGAAGACCAAATTCACGTCAGGTTATTCTGTCATTATCAGTTCTTAATTCTACGATCATCTTTCACTCCATATGACACTTTTTTTTTACAGCTTTCAAGCTCATTCTCTCTCTGTCTGTTGATTGTTGATTTCTCTGTGATGTTCCAGATCTTCCATCAACTTCGTCACACACCGCCAATGACGTCGCATTTCAGGCGATAGTCCCCACCAGCCCCTGCCGCCATCAACTGATTTTTCAACCCCTCCAGTGTCAACAAACATGTAGGTTGCCCCACCATACGAGTCCGTACAACGAAATTTACATTTACATCATTTCTTTGTTTCAATATATTCTGTCATTGCAATTGCAAAACATACTTCAGAGTAACATGTCACGTCCGGCCACCCGAATATCTTCATGCTTCCATTGTTGCCTTCCGTGAGTCATGTTCATCAGGCCAGCTGGACTGGGGGGAAACAGCACAGCGACCTGATTGCGGGGCTGGTGAGCCCAAGCATGCCGCGATTACTCCACCCCACACCCACAGCGCTGTAGAAATTTTGGTGGATCGTGATCGTGAGTAATCCCGAACAACTTTCGAACGTACGAGCCTCCGCCGTCGAGGCTGCGGGTGCGGTGGATCCTGCCATCCTAGCTATGGCTTGAGAAAGTAGATGGAGGCAGGGTAGGAAAAGGGAGGCTGGCTGGAGCTTGGGCAAAATCATTTGAGGGGCAAAATTTGTTGGGCTTTGTTTCATTTGTGCGATCACGTGAGCAATCATTGTATTCTCGACGTGGCGGTTTTGTGAGTTTGAAATGTTCTAATATTACTTCAAGTGAATCATTTTCTTTTTCTCTAATGTAATAATGCCGCAAGTTGCTGGTGTTGCGTCGAGCCTTGTCATGCTTTTGAAGGCTTTGCAAACCCCGTGCTACTTGACATTGTGTCCAATTGGGTCTCTAAAGGCATGTGAACGAGGAGTCGAAGAACGCATGATCTCGAGTGAGGAAGACTACCTAGGCAAGATACAGTACTGGGGAAGGTCCAGCAAGTGGTATGACATCCAGGTTGGAACCACTACGTCAACTTTGTTTGAAGCCTTTTGCGTTTGAAGCAGTGCAATTATCGTAATGCCATTGACAGTCCGTCAATGACTTTCGATTCTCATGCATGGCATGTCAACTCAGATAGTGTCGCTTACATATGCATGTAATCATGCCATGCTGCCACAAACTATGAATTTCGTAGATGTGGAGCTCTGAACTTTTCATCACAAGAGGGGAGGGAGTAGAAGCTTCTTCATGAAAGAAATGGCATATCTCGAGCATCTTCACCAGCGTGAATCATGGTGTTGACGATCTGGAAGTCATGATTAGCATGCCTCAGGAAATACTTGATGTCGAGGACCATCTTCCAATCTCTTGATATTGATTGTTAGCTGAAGGGCTCGAAGGAATTTGGGGCACGTTGGTTGTGCATCGAAAGATTTCTATGAACCTTGGGCATGTTCAACTGGAAATTCTTGAGGCCTAAACCGCCCCCACGAAATGGATTCAATACCCCTTCTTTTCCTTATCAACTCTGGTTTTATAACAGACCCCTGGAGATTTCTTAGGGCTTAGCGAATCCCCCTCCTGGCCTCGCTTCGCTCCCACGCGACCGCCCCAATGCCCCGCGGCCCCCACTGCACCTCCACATACCACCCGGATTTTGATAAAGTACAAGGCTCTTCTAACCTTATCAAAGCTCCAACCGAGAAGCCTTGTTTCAAGATTGGCTCTTGCAGTAGGTTGCCAGGTTGGGGTCAAGTGCTAGTTTCATATACGGGAATTTGTTGATCCACGCTAATTATGGAGTAGCAGGGAGTATCAGACTTGAAGAAATGAAGTCCCCCATCTATGCTATTTTTACCTGGAAGGAATCTCGCTTCTGGTCGCTAGGGTGAGGATTACCGTCTTCTGTGCCAGAAGCAAGCCGCCCATCCCTACACCATGACAGTAGGCCTCTGTTTTGGAAACTGGAATTGGAGATTTGAGGGGATTAGCTTGATATGTTTGAATGACTTGTTTATATGGACTATTGTCTGGTATCTGTAAATGATCTATGAACAAATGATAAAAGGAAAATTGGTATTCCAACGCCATCGCTAATTCCGAGTCTAGAGCTTTTATACTTCCTTTACCAACACATTTCATCTCCATATTAACCTCTTATTTCTGCCCATGCATCTCCACGTCCCCATATTTCTCATCCTTGTTTCCGACAAAGGCCATCACAACTCTTCCAAGAATAGTGTGCCTGAAGATCCTCAACGCCATATTTTCCTTCTTCCACGGCTCACCCTCGGATTGGCCCTGAGCCAACGGCTCCGAAGGATCGCGGTTGCTAACAAGTACATGCTCGACCTTCTTCAGCGTAAGTCCAACACCCTCAAAGATGATGACCACAGCCAGCTCCTCCAACAACGCTACACAGAGCAGGATGGTCGTGTTGCCGGTAATGAGGTTAAAATTCTTGTTGTGGCTGAAGGTGCTGTAGCAGGAGTAGACGAGTCTGCAAGTCAGGAACGGCAGCGCTGCGACCACGGCGTAAAAGAGACGGTGCTCGCCTTGCTCGGCATGCGGTGTGGCGAAGGAGATGAAGATGATCGAGATGATAATGAAGCCAAACGAGACCACAAGGAGTGCTGTTCCAACTTTGTTCAGCGTGCTAGGTGTGTAGTGCCCTGTCTTGCTGAAGTTGGATCCAGCATTAACACCACCCACGATACCGAGTATGAGGCCGACGAAAATGACAAGCTCGATCATTCTCAGCATCCGCGCATCGACGATTGTCTTGTAGCTCTTGCGGATGCTGTCACTGAGGCGGGACAATAGGCCCAGTGCTGCAAGCACCAATGGGGAAAAGCCGACGTTTGTAAGGATGGCGGATCCGGTGTAGAGGGAGACGCTTTTTGGGCTTGATATAGTTGCAAGTTCCATTGCTGCGCCTATTATTCTAGCCAGAGACAGGACGATCAAGAAATACCAGCCTGAAGAGCGTCCGAAACCATGTTTGATGCAGAGGAAAATGGCAATCGCTAAAGCAGGGATGTAGAGGATGATTTCTCCAATAGAAACCCCGTTGCGATATGTGAGGGTCATGTTTGCGTGTGTATGAGGAGATCTGAAGTGATTGCGAGTCGGGGTTGAAAGTTGAGCCGGATTGAGGATTGCTCTTTGGAATAGATAGATGGATGTGTTGCTGTGTGTAGATGAGACTTTCCATCAGCACAGCGGAACCCCAGAATATATAGCAACTCAAACATCTTGAATACCAATTTCAACTTTAAGGATGGGATCGTCGAAGGGCATTGCCTACGAAGCTACAGAATGCATGCCCAATTGGGCAACCTCGATGTTGACAAGGCTCAGCCTCACCATGCACCTCAAATCTCCACACGGTTTTAGCGATACTAAAAAAAGCCTTTTTTGACCGCGCCGCGTCGCTTACAAAATAGGATCTTACTTGGTAATGTTGAAATCTAATGACCTTGCTAACCTAGATGACTTGAAACATGGGTCTGGGGGTCTATAAGATCTGGAGATATAAGTTTAATACAATAGATCATTTACAAGATACAAATATAGGTTTAATACAATAGATCAGTTACAAGATACGCCGCAACTGTACATTTGAGTAGATAGGACGCGGACGCTATTCTAATACCCGGATAAACCTCTACCGACACGGCTCAGGCGAAAAGCTTGTTCTGTTCCACCAGCTCGTCTTGATGACTACCTTTGGTATCGGCCTGTAGATCCAGCCAGGCTGGTTTATGCGCTCAAATTGGAGATCTTTGCTTTCTTTCAGCGTCCTCTCAGGTATTTTGGGTGTTTGTCGAGACATTTGGAAAGCTTTGCGGGTGTGAGAAGTTCCGTACAGTAAATTCAGTAGAAGGATCTCTGTAGGATCTTTGCCAGGATCTTTTCTCTCCTGCGTACCAGAGACGCAAAGATATCGTGCAACACGCGTCCAATCCATCCCTAATGAACAGAGATATCCTCCTCCTCCTCCTCCTCCTCTCCTCCTCCTCCTCCTTCTTCTTCTTCATAGGAGGGTTCGTGTTGATGTCTGTGCCTTGCCGTTGTTGTAGAAAACCATGGGCCATGGCTGCGGTACAAGGCGAGGATGACTACGCTTACGCTACTCCTCGTACACCTGATTGAGTTTAGCTTCAGGGTGTAAGCTGCATACGTGCCATTCCTATTTCGGTATTCTGTGCGATGCCATCTCTATTGGACAGTAGTTGGGTTGGACCACCAGTCCACGCGTTCAACGTCAAGGAACTTCTTACCTACCAGTCTACCTAGTTTTCGCGATTAGTGTCCGGATACCATTTCCAAAGTATTGTGGCACAGCAAGGTATTGCTGGCATTTGCATCTTCATCAGCTATGCTTTTCCGTTCATTCCGTTGTTTTCTCACTTGATCTGAAGTTCAAATACCGTTGCGCGTCGTTTTGCTTCTCTTTCCTGGTAGCTGATAGTATCTTTTACGTCTCCTTTGTTCTCCTTGGAGTCGTCATAATATATCAAACACTAGTATATCTGCATCGAGTGCTCGTCCTGTCGATAGAGTAAAAGAATGGTGTACTGCGGAAAGCCCTCTAAAGGATGCAAAACATGCAGAACACGGAAAATCAGAGTGAGTAATGGGAACCCAACCTTCATATATACTGCATGCAAGACAACGGTCAATGACTTGTGCCATGTTGGCGCTTGCGGCTCAAGGCATCTCGATAAGGCAGGAGTAGCGACTGGCATGACTGACATGCTTGCTGCAGTGCGACCAGCAGACACCATCGTGTGGACAATGTATCAAGATTGAGAAGGATTGTCCTGGGTACCGGGACATGTTAAGTCTTTCTTTCCGGAATGAAAGTGACGCTGTCATTGAGAAAGCAAAAGCCAGGGCGGCTGAACCCAGGAAGAGCAAGAGTCCACTTCCTCGTTCCAGAAAGGCTTCGCCTGTTGCGAAAAAGCCAGTGATTAGCGAGGCCCCAGCATCTTCTACTGTTTCAACCGCCACTGCCTTCCGTCACTTCAATACAGGTGGCCCTGGAGTTTCATTTACCAACTACAACATCGAAGACTTCACTCATCCTGCCGGCATTCCCAACTCACCTTCCGCTGGCCTAGGACCTAGCCTTGAAGAACAGGGAACTAATTACTTCTTTGCCAATTTTGTTACACCCAAGGCTCATGGGGCCAATGGCCCTTTTCACTACCTGTATGATGCAGTTGAAGCTGGCATAGAAGACATTTTGAAATCCTGTATTGTAGCCACCGGTCTCGCTGGCCTGTCCAATGTCTCAAAAAGCCCACAGCTTATGGGACACGCTCAAAGACAATACACTTCAGCGCTTCGACATATAAACGCTGCAGTAGCATCGCCCATAGACTCCATCAAAGACAGCACGTTAATTGGCATCGTAATTCTTGCTATCTACGAAGCAACCGCAGGAGCTTGGATGTTGACTTTGAAAGCATGGACGCAGCATATCAACGGAGCAGCTGCGCTCATTCGACTTCGAGGGCGCTCGCAATTCAAGACCCTTGTTGGCCGAGGCGTTTTTCTTCAAGCTACATCTCACCTCCTCGTAAGTTGCGTGCAGAGAGAGACGTCGGTACCTAACCAGATAATTGAATTGAGAAACGAAGTGTTTAGTAAGATACTGATCTCCTTTTAACCCAGCATACCCTTCTCTGTAGCCTTCCGTAGTGCTACTTCATTACGAGAGTACTCGGTACTGAAAATATGGACATGCAATCATCACTACTAAAGTCTCCCAAGTGCGAGAATTTCTCATATTTGCAGGTCTTTCATTCAGTCCATCAATTAAAGCCAATTAACCCAAACCTTGTCCGACATGAGATACTAACCTCCCTTCTTAGGCTACAACTGTCACGACCTTACATGTCAATTCATGAAGGCCCTCGACGACTTCACCATCCTCCGAGCAGCAATCCGCGAAGGTGCCCTGACCTCCAGAACAGAAATCATCAACGCCTGCCTCGCCCTCGACGCCAGGCTAACCGACATCTTCATCAGCAGCCCCGCAGACTGGCAATACGAATCCGCCTACACATCCGCCCACACCGATCTCCTCTACGACGGATACTACGACATATACGACAGCTATCTCGAAGCACGGACATGGAATGCCATGCGCACGACTCGCATCATGCTCAACCAAACCATCCGTGCCGGTCTACTCGACGCATTCCAAAACGGGGCCCAAGACTTCACCACCCCGGATTACACGGCCCTGTACCAGATGTGTACCGATAATGTTACGGTGCTGCAGAATGATATCCTGCATAGCGTTCCACAGCACCTGGGGCTAGTGAACAGGAAACCTTTTCAGAACCCCGAGAACTCACCCATGCCCAATTCAGTGCCGGTATCCGAGGATAGTCGCGACACCAGCTTTACAAACATGCTTTCGGATCTTGAAGTGCCAAGTTTTGCAGAACAATTTGAACAAAACACTGCTCCACTTAAAAAAGCAGCCTTCTTTCCCGCTGTCGGCGCGTATAATCTCATGTGGCCACTATGCAAGTCTCCCTTCTCCACTTTGAGACACCACATACCACACGCACTTGATTCTTTCATTTCTTCGTTTTTCCTTTCCCCATTACCCCATCAAGTAAATAATCAAGTATATAAACACCTACTAATACATTCACAACCCACACAGTCGTCGTCGGAAGCATGAATCTGGCACCCCCACACATGAAATCCTACGTGATAAAAGTGTTGCGGTACATCGGCGACGAAGTGGGCATTGCACAGGGAAGCAACATCGCTGATTTCATGGAGATAGCGAGAGGTGGACCGGAGAAGAAGAGGGAGATGGTGGGATTGAATGATGACTGATTTATAGAGAATAGCGTTGTTAGGTAAGAATGGGTAAATAAATGATGAATGAACTGTGATTATAGGAAATAAACTTTGGTAAATGGAAGTGAGCATCTTTTTAGCGGGGATATATAGAAAGATAGATAGATGATAGATGATTTTGCATGAACTAGACGAATAAACCAAATTTACCCAGTTTGTGTAAAAGATAGATCAGATTGTGTATGAAAAGCGTTGTAAGATTCAAGCATCACTATTTACCCAATTCTCTAGATATGATATTACATTCCTTTACGCCATGCCCACAATCATTTGAATGATAGAGAAAGTCGCGCTAGTCCTTCCCATGCTCATGATCACCCACCAGCTTTCCCCTCTCCTCATCGCTTCCATCATCACTCCACCTATCGCCATCTTCGCCAACTGCAAAAATCGTATCACCGTCAAGTGAATCTCTCGGGATATCCTTCGCCGTGTTCGAGCCAGGAGGAGGCTTGGTGACTTTCGCTCCAGGGGCAGGGTCGTATCGTGGACCCTCATCGCCCCTGTTCCCCTGTGTAGCGCCGCCATGCTCCAAATCATCATCTTCGTCATCATCCTCCACCCCGAAATCGGCAATCTCAAAGCCCTCATCATCCTGCGCCAATTCATCCGACATGGCAAACCTCCTGTTGTTAGCAGTAGGACGCCAGACATACGCGATGAAGACCACATCGGCGAGGTAGACGAGGTTGAGCCAGCCGTCGAGGATGAACCATCTTGTTTGCCAATGGAAGGGCACGAAGTTGGGGTCAGAGGTTGAGGCGAAGGTGAAGGAGTTAAAGAAAAAGAAGCCGAAGATAACCACGATGGAAGCGAGAATGCACCACCAGAGTTTGCGATACATGGCTGCCTTGGTGGTTTGCTTGCGCTCGTTCAAGTCTTTCATTGTGGCATTGAGAGAATTGAGCGTCCAGACGTAGAAGGCTGTCAATGTGCCTGCTAATGGCAGAATGACGAAGAGAACGAGGGGGCCGGCATTCTCAGGGGATATTGTTAGGGAGGCGATTGAGTATACCAGTCCGAAAACGAAATGGGCTCCTGCTAGGTAGCGAACCCATACCATTGTCTTGCCTAAGCTGGGCTTCACAACACCGTACCCCATGCAGACAATGAGGAGAAGGAAGAATGAGAACGAATTTCTAGCTGCATTTAAAATTGCAACCACAATCATCAGCACTTTTGAGCCCACGTTGGTGCCATTTCGGTTTAGGTAATCTGTAGAAGTTAGCAGTGTCTTATGGTATCAAGAGGCAATAAAAAGTACCATAAAATCCCCAAGTCATCAGCATCTCTACAACCAAGAATATTATGATTGCAGTAATATAGTTTTGAACCGGTACTAAAAGTAATTGTCAGCTTCTTCGTGGGGTTTTGGGGCCACGGTTACTCACAAATATCATGTCGATGTTGAGCATATAGGAAACCCCAGAAGCTATAAAGCAATTAGTCAAAAGTCCACAGTAAAATCTCCGATGGTCCCTTACACTCCAATGACTGCATAGACAATGGTGATACCACCATAAAATGGAAGCTTGGCAATCTCAGAAGCAGGGAGCTCTCCGTAAGCGTTTCGGAACTCCAACACTGCAGCGTATTCTACGTTTCCTGGCGAGAAAGCACTTGTCCCTACGCAATAGTATCCTGTCTTCTTGATATCGTATTTGATGGGTAGCCCAGGGTCCTTCAGATGTACTGCCTGTGTAAAAAGGGCGTTCTTCGAGATCTCCGTCGCATTTGGTTGTAAGATGAACTGGCCCGTCTGTTCGCTACTGCAATATCCGTTTTGAATGTTCTCTTCATCGCAAATCCATTCGGTTTTGGCCTTTAATTGAATTTAGCATGTATCCCGTCAATTGAGAACCCTTCGGCAATACTGACTGTGTCGACTTCTGGCACTCCTATGAGATCGAAGTCTTTCCACTCAAAAATAATCATACTGGCGATTGGATCCGAATCATCCTCTGCCTCATACTTCAAGAACTTGACCAGTATATGCGGATCCACCGATCCTCCCCAAGAGTTCTTGCTGTACATTCCGGCGCATACCTGCCGGTTCTTGTCAGTCTGATCCTACCGAATATATTAGAAGCCATTCTATAATCGATTGCCCTGCCAGCTTACCATCTTGGTCTCCAGAGCACTGGCAGTCACACAGGACAGCCCTAAGAGGGCGAGGCCATGGAGCCAGCTCCTCATGTTGAACAGTAGCCTTGTCGGCTGAAACGAATCTCTGCTTGAACCGCAACTGCTGGGAGGATAATGGTGGGTGTGGGTAAGGGTAAGGGTATGGGCTCGGTTGCAGACAGAATGGCCATCCAGAAGAGATCCAGAAAGTCCGATATGAACAGGATGTGTAGAGAACAGAAGAGCTGTAGCGAGCGGTGCAATTCCGTAGAGCTTCAAAACATCATTCTGAGGCTCACCCTCAATAGGCGACGTAACACCCAAACTAGCGGATCTAGTTGTCAGTAAAAAACGGGGGTTGCACGGACTGCAAGGCAAAGCCCGCATTAATTTATTGCAAGTCAAGCCAAGCCAAGTCTACATTATTCAACCACAAAGCTTATCATTTTGTGCTCCTGTGTACAAGATGGCAGCTCAAGAAATTGAGGTTAGCAAAGCGTCTCACAATCCATGCAAAAGATGCCACAATGAAGAAGCAACCGAACAAATCCGCTCTGAATCTGTCTGCAAGTAAATATTTCTTACCCCACCACGAAGGTTCAAAGACTCATACTGATTTACTAATCGCTCAGGAAATGTTTCTGTCTATATGTTGCCACGAAGACTGTAAAGCGCATGGAGACCTATCGAGTTCGGGGTTCTACCATAAAAGATCAAAGAAAGCTCCTACTCCCTCTCTCCTTTGGCCCCTCCTCGTCCTCTCTTTTACAAATCCTGGACCAGCATATTGAGGGGCAATATGCTCGCATGAACAGATCTGGGTACGAATTGTTTGTCGTGCATATCGATGTCTTTCTGGATCCAGCAGACCGGAAGGATGCTTCTGAGTTATTGGAGAAATACAAGAGTCGATTTTCGAGGCATACCTATTCTAGTTTTGGGCTTGAAAAAGCACTTCTTCTAGATGGCATCGACTGGAAAGCTTTGGATGTTCCAGGCCCCGAGGAAGCGGAGTCTAAAAAGCCAGCTACGGAACGACTGCAACATTTACTTGGATCAATGTCGTCCGCAACTTCTAGAGCGGATATAGCCTCTACATTACTTACTCGACTTCTAGTGGACGTCGCGAAGAGGCATGACTGTGAAAGTATTCTATTTGGAGAGTCTACTACCCGGCTGGCCGAGAAGACCCTCACGGAAACGGCCAAAGGTCGCGGATTCTCCCTGCCATGGCAAGTCTCCGATGGAGCATCGCCGTATGGCATTGGGTTCAATTACCCCTTGCGGGATCTCCTGAAGAAAGAACTAGTCACATATACTTCGTTAACATCACCGCCTTTAGCTGAGTTGGTCATTTTCCAAGAGAAGTCATCCAACATCTCTGCATCTTCAAAGACAACTACAATTGATGATCTGATGGTACAGTACTTCGAGTCTGTTGAAGAGAACTATCCAAGCATTGTTGCAAATGTCGTTCGAACATCAAGCAAATTAAAATCCCTGACGGGCAATGATAACAAAGGATGTGGTTTATGCGGGCTTCCAGTTGCCGAAGGGACTGACGGAATTTATGGCTGGGGAGGAGACCAGAATTCAGACTCACGGCCAGCAAGAGAGGATGACCAATATGGTGTTTTGTGCTACGGGTGCTCCAGATCTATCAACGGCTGAAAGCATCTCACCTGAAGTTAGACCAGTCTCCAGGGAATCCCGCTATAAACTCGTCGACCTTTTGCAAGGACCTCCAACAGCTCTCCTTGCAACTGGATATATACAAGATGATAAAGGAGATTATTGTCATATACAAAGTGGAAGCATACATTCTACACTTGGTTTTCGATTGAAGAAGGCAAGATTTTGTTCTCAAACTTCCGCATCAGCTTGTTGGTCTGTTCCGCCAAACTGAGGGTTAAGATGGTGTGGGGCAAGATTCTGGCAAGATGTGGCAAGAATCCCTTGTAGATAGCCAGAATTCCTTCAGTCTTCACTGTCTTTGCGAGACAGTCCAAGACGCCCTGATAAAGGTTGCCGTTTTGATTGTACATGCGGGACATGATGGTATCTATCCAAGTTAGCAAAATCAACCCGAGAAATTAGCTACTAGCTTACCTGGCGGATGCATCACGCAGCAAACCACAAATCCACTCGCAGTACTACTTGCCAAATGCAACGCAGGTCCTTCCTTCATGCCCAAATGTTTTACAAGTCTCCTTTTCGCAAAAAAGTACGTTGGTAGCTGTACTGAACTCCCGAAACCAGTCCTTACACACGCCGCCCCCACCCCTCTATAAAGCCCCCTAATACCCTCTCCTTTGTGTATCTGCCTCATTCCATCTACCGCATTCTTATAAGGATGCTGCGTCCCCATCGGTGCAAATGGTGAGAAACTCTGTAACCTCGTCTTCACCAAAAAGAACGGACTCCCCGCCGCAGCCCCCAAGATCCCTGACGTTGCGCCCGCGAAGATATTTACACCCAAACTTTGTGTTTTCGAATCAGTGAAAATGGCAGAGGTGATCGATTGGCGTAGTGGTTCGTAGAATCCTAGTCGGCAGCCATTGAGGGTCATTTGGTAGATATATGCTGCGCCGATTCCGCGGTAGAGCCCTCGTACACCTTCATTTCGGATGATCACTGAGACGCCGTGGAAGGGCCCTTTATACATGCGCGGTTGTAGACCTTTTTCTTGGAGCTCGCCCTGTAATTGCATGCTGGAGCTTTATATTAGGACTTTGAGACGTGAATAGTGGGAGGTAAATACCGGATCTTAACCGTTTCGAATGGATGAGTTGCGGTGACAGCTCCGCAGGCTGCGATGCCACCAGCAATGAATGCTCTGTATGAATTAGACAGGTAGATCATACATAGATAGACATGCAGCTCTCACCCCAATGTTGTAGCCATTGCAACCGCTCACTCCCTTTCGGAGGGCAGCAAATTCCTAGAAGCTGGGCTGGGCTGGGCTGGGTTGCGGTGCTTAGGACCCTAGATTTCGTATGTTGACGGATTGAGGCCACAACAAAACCGAAAAACAGGATCTTTAAGACTTGGAAGCTCCAGAAGTTGGCTGTGGCAATGGCAACTGAGTTTCGTATGTGTACGTATGTAATATTTGAGGGCTTATTCTTTTCTGCTGTTGATGTTCAAAGCTACAGGGATGGCACTCACGAATTCCTGCCGACACCGGATGGAAATTTAAAGGTGGAGATACACCGTATCATGTGACTCGTGTACAAAAATCACGTTTCAAGGCGCGTGACTGTTTTCTGAATTCACTGGACTGGGAGAAAAGGCGTCTTTATACGTCCAAAGTTCTTGAGAAGCACGTACTCACTGACCCTACCTATGTCTTCAATTCCGATGGCGATCGATTCTCCACTGGCACTGGTGCCCAACGGGCGCGTCAGCACTTCGAATGGAATACCAAGTACGGCCAAGGTCTCTGACATGATATCCATCTTTCGCCCTACCAAGGTATTGTTTGAGGATACTTATGAGAAATGAGGACAGTTACTAAACATGGACAGCTCTTCCGTCGAGACCCTCCCAGATCGGCTCCTGGAAAGGCAGGCTCAACGCAGAGCTCCATTCTATCCATGGACTTTACTGATGAAGGCGATTTCCTCCTCACTTCAGAAAGTGACAATAGCATGCAAATATATGATGTCGCTAAGGGCAAATTTTATAAGACATGCTTGAGTCAAAAGTACGGTGTAATGCATGCTATGTTCACGCACAAGACTAGAGACTCCGGTCCATGTATCATTCATTCCAGTACCAAACAGAATCGTAAGCTGTTCATCCAAAATTAGACTGGCTATATGCTAACATCATTTTAGACACCATAAGATATCTCTCTACTCATGACAACACTTACCTCCGCTATTTCGAAGGCCATGAAAAGAACGTCACGTGTCTCTCGTTGCATCCTGGTCAAGACAACTTCCTCTCCTGCAGCGAAGATAATACGGTCCGAATCTGGGATGCTGGAACCCGTCATGCCTGTGGTAAACTTATCCTCAATGGTGCCTATCTAGCAGCCTGGGACCCCTCAGGAAACGTTTTCGCAGTAGCTTCGCCAACATCCCAGTCCATCCTATTATACGATTTCCGCAATTACGACAAGGAGCCTTTCTCAACTTTCGACGTGCTGCCTTACGCTCAAGAATCACAAGCGAACAGTGTTAGCAAAGGCTGGAACAAGCTCGAGTTCTCGAATGATGGAAAACACCTCTTGCTCGGTACCACAGGGGGAGGCCACTTGCTCTTAGACGCCTTCGACGGAAACCTCAAAGCATTCCTACGACGTGATCGAGGAGGAGTTAAGCGTTTAGGAGTCGGGGATCACAACCCAGAACATACAGACCCGCACTACAGTGAATTCCTGCAGCCCAGTAACGGCGACTGCTGCTTCACTCCCGACGGTCGATATGTGATTAGCGGGACGAGAAAGGAGAACGTACTGGTATGGGACACGCTACAACCAGCGCCGGAGAAGGTATTGAGTCCGGTACATGAATTGGAGTATAAGGGTGATTCGGCGGTGATGGCGTTTAATCCAAAGTATAATATGTTTGCGACAGGCGATAAGGAGGTTGTGTTCTGGGTACCGGATCTGGATTTGAGGTGAAGGGGTCTATGGCTTGCATTTGCTTATCATATTTTTTGGCTGGATACCCAAAAGGACGGGGTGCGTTTGGCGTTTAGGTAGCAATACCTGCGAGGGAGACTATTGAAAATAGTCCTTGTCTCAAGAAAATAAAGGTCGTGGTTCTCCGAGTAGTTCGGATCACTCTGACTAAAGAACAGAACTTGGAAGAAATATTTGGTCATCGTAAATTTGTAGCCATTACAAACTTATGCACCTTGCTTGCTCACATAAAGTAATATTATATACTTAAAACATGAGGGGATCTGGAATTAGATTTATGTTGGTTGATCAGCATGAAACCATTTGTATATTTAGGCACTACTTGTGACTGAATTCAAGAGCCATGTCCAGCTCTTTTCATTAGTTGTCAATTCGCAATAGAGACCAATATAAGGCTTAATGACTACCTTCTACAATTTCAACAAACATCACGATCATAGGTTATTAGACTTTGCCCCCTCTGGGGTATCCCCGGACTCTTTACAACTCCAAGCAACTACTTTAGGCAAGTGTACCACGTGATATGAGAAGTAGACCGACCTCGACCCAACGTCACGCGGGGCTCTACTTCGAGAGACTCAGGAACCATCCATCACCACCACCATCACCACCGCTTTCTTCATCGCTGCTGTATCTCTCTTCATATTTGTCGCATACACTACATAATATCTCTTTTCAAACCATACCTACATCAATCATCGCGCTCAACCACTGCCTAGCGCAATCCTTTGTCGCAACTACATTCGCGCGCCCAACGCCATCCCCATTTAGCAGTGCATGGAGACAACTTATCCAAATCATCGATAGCGAAGGAGGGCGGTCAGGACGTTGGACGGTCGCAAAAGGCGCTCTGCACTTTTCAGCGCAAGATATTGAAGATGGCGCCCTCCGCAGCAGTAGTCCAGTCGCTCTCTTCCAAAGCAAAGCGCCCCATACCACCTGGCATACAGACAAATGGCATACACTCCTCAACTTCCTCGCCTTCGCCTTCTATTTCGGCTGGTAGACTCCCCAACAGTGGCAAACCCCCGAATTCAGCTGCGACCAATGGCGTGGGAAACAACTCAGGAGTACGGTCTGCGAGCCGGGCGAAACGAGAACCTGGACCATTGCTAGGTAGAGGTCAAAGAAATAGTAGTGTTGGACTACGATCTGCTAGTATAGTTGGAGACTCTACTTCTTCCCAGACGGCTGAGCCGCTTCCTTACAGTGAGGAGTATTGGAAATGTCGAAATGCGTTTACTAACATCTTCTTAGTCCTATCGGACGAATACATTCTCAAGAAATATCGCAACCGAGCACCATCGCTAATCGTACATCTTCACCCTACACACTTCAGATTCGATCAGCAAGAAGGAAGTTTCTCCTACAAGTCTCCAATGAGAGTCCTTATTGAAAATCTCAAGGAACGTACCATCCCGCACGAATTAGTTGAGTTCTTGACGGAAGTGCCTTTTTATGAAGGCTGCATGATTGTCCAGATACATGATCATAAATCCACGGCTCCATCGCAAGGCGCAACACGGCCAACTTCCAATATAGGAAAAACCATCCCATTTTCGGTCCACAACTACAACTATCATATCACGCCCTCACCTTGGGTACCATTTCCAGCCCAAATCAATTCATCAGGGAAGGGAAAAGGTCCATCAGAAGCGGATGGAGACAAAAAGTCGAAGACCGCTGAGCAGAAAGACAAGGAGAATATGCCTGCTCCAGCTTTTCCTGTCGATGGCCAACGTGGAAAAGCTGCAGTTCAACCCAAGATCCCTAGAATATCTACCATTGTCCTTCGTCCGACACCACTCAGTGCTCATGTTGATCTCGCCATGAAAGCCGCTGATGTCCTATCTGGCGGAGATGGACACTCTCGTCAAGATGGTGGGCCATTATCTGCGACAGTACCTCCCACACCAACCGCTGTTGTTCCACCAACCCCCCAGAGTAGCATGGCACCTCCCGCAAAGCGACAGAAGAAAAACAAGTTGGAGCTTAACAGCAACAATGTATACGAGGCAGAAGCGCAAATTTTCATTGCTACCACAGCCCCACTTGTCCTCGATCCCGTTGATAATGCAGCCGCCTCAGCTGCTCTATTGAAATCACTGTCACACCCGATGCACTCGGAGAAGCCACCATCACCTAAGACGCGAAAGAGAACGGTTGCAGAGATGGCAGCAGATGAAGCAGTGGCAGCAGAGCAAGAACGGTACTTGCTTACCTTGGATGAGCGACTTTCAAGTAATCTCAATGCTCAGGGTGGTGGTAATCCAGCAGATGGCGATGGCCAAGCTGGAGGAGCAACCTTTGAGCCTCGCTTCGAAAAATTCAAGGCTATAGAAAACATTAAAACCCAACACGAAGAGAATAAGAGGCTGGAGAAGCAGAGACAAGCCGAAAACGACAGGAAAGTACAGCAGGAGCGAGAGAGAGAGCGGCTTAGAATCGAGTCAGAGAAAAGGGAGGCGGATAAGCAGCGTGCCACCCAGGCACAGGCTCAGATGCAACAAAACGCCCGTCGGCAGCAGCAGCAGCAGGCCAAGTTACAACAAGGTCTTCAAGGAGTGCCTCCTCAGATGCAACCCCAGCATGCACATCCACCTGCGAACAACATCATCCCAAATGGTATACAAGGGCAGCCGCAACGTTTCCATAATCAACAAGGTTCTCAAGCGCAGGTTTCGTCGCCTATTATTCGGAACGGCACGCCGCAAAATCATTCATCGCCCATAGTTGGTAACATGGGTAATGTACCTATGCAGCATTCTACATCAAGTATGGGTGGCAGTCCACCTCGTCCGGGATCTGTTGTACAACAAAATCACCCCCAGATGGGTGCTCAAGGCCATGGTATGGTCCCACAGAGAAGCCAACAGAGCCATGCCGGAACGCCCCGGATGCCGAATTCCACCCCTCATATTCAATCAACGCCTCGACAGCTGAGCCAGACACCACGATTAAGCCAAGGCAGTCCAGTCCAAGTTCCAATGGCTCAAGCCCAAACTCCAATGATGATGGCGAACGGCCAGATGCAGATGAACAATCCTAACCACCTCATGCGACAACAACAAATGCAGGCAATGCTCAGGCAGAATGCTGCTGGCATGGGCGGAATGGCGAATGGTTCACAAGTTAGTCCTCAAGCTATGCATTACGCCCAGGCTCAGGCTCGCATGATTCAACAACATCAACAGAATCAACAGCAGCAAGGCGGCATGCAAATGGGCGGTAATAACAATCCTCACCTCGCACAATACGCTGCTCAAATGGCTGCCATGGGCCAGCAAGGAATACATCAAGCAAGCATGAACCAAAACTTTAGGAACAATGGCCAGCCTATGAATGCGCAGCAGATGCAAATGCAGCAGCAAATGCAATACCGAATTCAACAAGCTCAAGTTCAGGCGCAGGCTCAAGCGCAAGCACAAATTCAGGGTATGCAGCAACAACCGCAGCAGCAGCATCAACAACCAGGTGGCTTAAATCCAATAATTGCGGCGCAAATTCGACAACAGGCTGGTTTATTCTATCGGGAGCGAATGACCGCATTCCAAGCCCAACATCCTGGAGGCGTAACTCCAGACCAGGACCGTAGCTTCCGAGCTCAGTGTCAGGCTGATGCGCAAGCTGCGGTTTTGAGAGTCAGGAGAGAACAGGTGGCTCGACAAGCTATGATAGCTCAACAGGGTGCGGCGATGCAGCAGAACATGAACATGCAGAATAATATGCCAATGTAATTTCTAGGCTGCAAAAGACGCAAGGTGTTACGGCGGGCATTGCTTTCTGGGTTATATCACGAAGTATGAAGGGATGGTCAATGGATCTGGCGTTAGTATCAGGGGGTGTGATACTTGTAACTTTATGATCTGGAACATTTGGGAACGGCGTTTACATGGGAGTTTTGATTGTTTGCGGGGTATACCTAGGGACTCGGTGGCGCTTGACAGGCTGGCAGTTAACAAGGATGCACATAGAGAAATCGACTCTTAAAAGTTTGAATCTTGAGTATCTTGAATAATGGAGTGGGTCTACGAATTCTGAAGTTTCTTTAAACTTTCAGCTCTTGCCTTGCCGAGGCTGCCTTTTAAAACGCAATAACAGCCTTGGAAATTTGCAGTCACTTTGCAAGTGCATTGTTAAATAGGGATTACATTTACAAGTTTTTCGAATTGCTTCATGAAATCTATCTGGGTATCAATCTGTTGCTCCTTGTGCCATTGCCTCTGAAAACGCCAAGCAATGCAAATCCCCTCCCTATGTATCATTTGCACAAGAAAGAAAATTAGTAGTATTACACCCGAACGAAAAAAAAGCTCATCTTCGCGTCCTTCTGATCTCTCCACTAGCTCTCTTGCGATCAAGCCTCTTGACCACTGATCCAAGCACGCATTTCAGAATCCCATCACCAGTCAAGCCAACGCCTCCCTCACTAGAGCTGCGTCCACCCGTCCAGGTAACAGTATCGACAATATCTCTCACCCCGCCATCAACCTCATCACCTAGATGATCATCCAGTTCCTCCAGCGCCTCGCGTGCGCCCTCCTCATTGCCAACCTGGAAGAACTGCACCCCGATCTGATACGGCGTCGCATCCAACCTATCTAGCTTCTTCGCCGCGGACAGGATCACAGACTCTACATCATCTGAGGGCACACCGTCCGTAAGCACAATCAGGTTAAGCGGCTTTGTTTCTTTGTCTATAGCGATATCCTTTTCTAGCCGCGCCAGATACGGTTTCAGGATATTGTGTACACGTGTTCCGGTCGGCGTTCCGCCGGATGGACGCACGCGCTCGAAGATCTCGCTGATGGTCCTAGCGCGCTTGATGCCGCGGTAGCCGCCCGGTGCGATGCCCTCGGATAGCGAGCCGGCGTCGCTGGACTTGTGGTTCAAGAAATACACGTCGATGCCGTCGGCGTCGTGCTGGGTGACGATGGGCGCGATGGTCGAGAGCGCTTGGGCTACCTCGCGCCAGGAACGGCCGGCCATGGAGCCAGAGTCGTCGATTAGGAGGGTTGTGTCAAAGGTGGCGAGGAACGAGTATGGGTCTTCGCCTCCTGTGGTTGTTGGTGCGGGGACTGCAGCGCTGGTCGATGCTGATGCTGATGCTGAGGAGCCGGCGAGCTCTGAGATTTGGGATTGGAGGATTGGCCCGGATTCTGAGGTTGGTGATGGCGTGTATGCTGGCGGGGGCTCATTGGATGGGACTGTGAAGGCGTTCATGCCTGCACGGTCTGGGCGACGTGTTGCGGGGGAAGGGTTTGAAAGCGGACTTGGGCTTCTTCTACCCATACCGCCTGGCTGTAGCGTTGCAGGGAGATCTGAAGGACCCCGGAAGGTTGGTGTTGTTGGTGTTTGTAGATCTGCTCCGTTTGTCGACGAGGTATCTGATCGCTGTGAAGACTTGCTGCTCTTGCGGCCTATTTTGCGTAAAGATCCAAAGAGAGATCGGCTTTGTCTATCTCCTGGTGGTGATACCGTCCATGGGTTTGAGGTGGGCATGGTTGGTGATATTGCGTGAGGCATTGATATAGACTTGCTTTTATAAGTTGAGGATATTAAGTGTTGGCAAGCTGTGAATGGGTTGGTAGGACTTGTGTTAGTGTGATTGTTGTTTGTCTAATGAAGAGTTAGAAAAACTTCATTGCAATGAATAAGACTTGTCCTTATACTCTTCTACAGTACAGTACCTGTTCGCCCCTCAAAGGAATTCAAGACTCAGATTGCAATCACCAGAGCCTTTGAAAATGCCCTGGCGAGGCTAAACCAATGGCAGTGCGAGGAATTTGGCACCACTAGCGTTGGCTATGTTCCTTGAGTAACAAGTACTGACTGCTGCTTCTGTTTTGAGGCTGTGATATCACATGATTGGCTCGCTTAAGACTCAGCCCTGTGCGCAGGCGTTGATCCCACCCGCCATCACAGCTCAGCCTCACTAGTAGCCTCGGCCGCAATACACATCTCGATCTGCCTTACAGTCATTTGTGTGAATGGCGCCCAATAGATAGTGGTTCCATGAGGACGGAGCCATCGTGCTGCACGCACGATCTTCCAAAACGTGGCAATAAAGTAGGAACTGATCTGATACTACCCCACCCAACTGCTTGATTAGCTAACACGAACGCACATCTCGCAGTATGAACCTTGGCATAGCCATCCGGGACTTGGGGTCCTTTAATATGCAGGAACAAGCGCTTTGGCCTCAATGATGGCCGTTTCAGGAACCATGGCTGGGGAAGGCTGCGGGACTGACAGATTCTGAGGCACCTCCACAGGAGAGGTACCTTCACGTATAGATATTCCTTCTTCGATTCGAAGGTGGGGGAGGATCAGTATTATGTGGAAGATGTAGGGGCGGCTGTTCAGTTTGTCAGGAAGCCTCGTACAGGTACTTCGGTAAGTAGGAAGGCTGTAGTCAGCTTCATCGTCAGCCTTTCAGATGACCTACCCAAAGGTAGGCAGCGGGTCATTTATTTCTCGGACCGATACTATCCAAGAAAAGAAGGCAGGCTCTTTGCATCTCTATCTAGCACTGTAAAATGCTCTTGTGACTCAATACGGTTGTGGCTGGTGCCAAAACTCACCGAACAATAACATCTGAGGGTGTCTGGAGATGGAAGAGCGAGATGAGGCATGATTTTCTTTCGGGGTCTTTGACAAAGTATGTACATGAATTTTTGGGGTTCCCAGATTCCCTTTTGCATTCCACAAGGCGTCCGTGAGATAGCTATATACAAGTAGAAGAAATGGAAGAAATGCCAATCTAGTTGATAACGGCACTGTATGCACTGGTAGTGAAGACGGCATCGGATCCTACACGTACATCATTAGCAAAAAAGCCCATTCCTGTGAAGAGAGATCAATCACATACCAGTGAAAGGCTCAGAGCCAGCGCCGATGTTCAAGAGATACTGGGTAGATGGGTAGGATTGGCTGGACTCGAGGTACGTGAAGAAGCTCAACAGATCACCGGAGAAATCGGTAGCCTCGGACACTGCGACGAAGCTGTAGACCTTCGTGGAGCCGTTCAACCCATAGAACAGGTTGAAGCTCACGTTGTCAATAGTGACGGTGGCGATGGACGATCCGGTGCTGGAGATGGGACTATAAGAAGGCATTAATTAGGACCGCATTTCAAAGACGAGTCAGGAGCAACCTCATCGAAGTATAATCGATAGGAAACATAGAAAGGGATGCGATGCTTACCCGGCACCCCCCAAGGCAGCGAGCCAGATCATAATCTCGTATTCATTTGACCCTGTGGCGGTCGACGAAGTGAAGATGTCGTACGCGACATCAGCTACGATACTGGATCCGGTATAACTATGCTCCATCAGTCTCTCTGCCACCCTTATGATATCTTTCTCCTTACCTCCATTTCCAGGTCGTAGGAATGCTAGCGATAGCCGAAATCTGCTTCTTGGTAGTCTCGCTAACGACAGCATTCGCATACGACTTGACCTGGTTGGATCCTCCAGCCCAAGTCCAAGAGGTAGACCAAACGAGCGTGGTACCGGAAAGAGAGTCGACCGTGGTGCATTGCGAGCCAGAGGTAGCTTCAGCCTCGTTCCAGAGATCCTGGTATATGGTATAAGTTCCGGTGACAACGGAGTCCCACTGTCCACAGATGGTCGTGGCGCGCTTGTCGAGTGTTGGGGTAGGGGACGCAAGCACAGCAGCGGCCGAGAAGACAAAGGGAAGAATAGCTTGGGTGAACTTCATGATGGCAGATTTTTGGAAAGTATAAAGTATAAAGTATAAAGTATAATAAAAAGATCGTGGTAGATATCAAACCAGAGAATGAATGAATGGCAGTTGTTCAAAACCCACCACCTCTACCTACTTATATGAAATCCAAGCGTCCTCGTACCCAATAAATGAAGGGAGGACTCTACCCCGCAAACCATCTATCGCAGAAAGCATCTTACCTGCTTCGAGGACAAAAAATGACCAAAGTAAAGTCCCAAGGAGAATCTTTCGAAACATGCACATGTCCGGGGTCCAGCCGGTCCCCCTGTCCTGGTCAGGGGCTAAATGTGGGGTACATGAGATGATCGCGCCACCAAAATCCGCCAATGAAAAAAAAGGCCCTTGAGTTTCGAAACTGTCAATATACGAGAGACGGAGAATACGGGTTGCTGGTGGAGTGTATTAATCCGTGGCGCTATTAGTATGTGGATTACCTTTTTCCAAATCAGGAGTGACTCGAGTACTCAGAGTGGACTGTGGAAGATTGTTGATTGAGAAAGTCATGCGTGAGACCATGTGCGGAGGCCGTCCAATAACTGGTATCCGCGTAAACTCTGATCAGGTCTGTGACTCTATGAGCGTGCTGGCTAATATAAAGAGGATATATTTCTCTTGCTGGCTAAAATGGTGGTACAATAGTTTAATGCTGAATGCCGAGATACTTACCCGTTTCCAAACATGGCTTTCGTCCAGCAAGTGCGACTCGACGGATCGTCATGATGAAATGCTGTCGAGGTTGTAAAGACAATTATTCATTATACTAGAAGTTGCTGAGTTGGGTATAGTTATCATATGTACAAAGACAGCCTGTGTTTAAAACTCGTTCGTAAGCACTTTCTTGAGCGCGCCAATCTCCTTCTCCCAAGACTCTACCTTAGTCTGACTTGCGGCCAACTTCGAGAGTAGAAACTGTACTCTTGGCCCGACTTCTCTGGGTTGCTTTGGTAAGCTGCCAAGCGAATTCAGTTCCGTCTCGTATTTATCAATGTTTTTGGTCTCAATCTTGGTCAATTCTGTCAAGATTGCGAGGTCGAGTCTACTTTTTAGCACCTGGTCTTCGCAGAGCATTCGGAAGGCGGCTTGGTAGACTGGTCGGCCAGCTTTGATTGTCTGCGGTCGTCCTTTATAAGTCTTGATGGTAATGAGTTCGGCGGCGGACAGGGCTTCGAGGACACTTTCGCCGTTAGAGGCTGCTGGTGTGAGAGATGAGGCGAAGGTGTTGGTGAGAAGCACTTCATTATAACGAAGGTTCTCGTTCTCAGCGAGGGTCTTGACCAAATACCATGCTTGCTCTGGGGACCACTTTCGTCCTTCCTTATCGACGGTGAGAAGGTACATTTTCATGATCTCGGAAGCGCTCTGCTCGATGATCTCTGCTACTGCACGTTTCGGTGTTTGGCCAGTCTTCAGTCTTCGAGCGAAAAACTCGAGATCGGTAAGGCGACCTCCAAGGATTTCAATGCATTCATCAAGCTGTTCCAGATCTCGGCGGCGCTGTCTTGCCGTGAGCTTTTCAGGAGTCTCTGAAGATTCGCCTTCCTCGCTATCAAGGTGGGTTATCACGAATTTCTTTGCCACCTGCGGGGTAATATCGCCGAGGGCAATCTGTCTGAAAACTCTATCAGGCAAAGCTTTGCTGAGAGATTTCGAGTAGGAGATGTCGTTAGTCAAAAATATGACATGGGCTATGTTAGCTGTGGTCAAACCGGCGGCCCATTCCGAGATTTTGTCGTACACCACACTGCTCTCCTCATTCTTGTGGAGGAAGTTATCGATGACCACAACAGGTCGGCATTCTGGATGAGCTTCCAGCCAGTCATCATCAGCTAACGAAACGTCTTTCTCGTCCTTTTTGCGATGCTGAAGTGCTACCTGCTTAAGCGCTGTTGCTGTATTTTGCCAAATTTTGCCCAATTGAGCATCGAGAGTTTCACTGAATCCGGATTTTACACCAATAGTTCCTTGGGCGGCCAGATCAATCAGACTGCTGATACTGTTCATCCAGGAAAATACAGGACGATACCCGACCGATACTGCAGCTGCAGCGATGGTCGCGCTGTCTCCCCTCGCCTCTTGGATTGGCTTGCAGTCAATGAGTAATGTGTTCTTTCGGCCCTTCAAAGCTTGCTCAAATATAAGCTCTTTCTTCCCAGATCCTCTCGGGCCTTGTACAACCACAAATGTGTCAGCCGTTTCCATCAGCCAGGTCTGCAATTGCTCAATGACTTCCTTCCTGTCGTCCCATATTGCACCAAGGCCAGCTTCTTCGGCCCGACTGGATCGAAACGTAAAAATATCCGTGGCTTGGCTCTTAAACCATTTATAAATGCGATTATCCTTGATCTTAAAGGCATGATCAATCTTCGCCTTGATGAAGAATGTTCGAATTGGATCGAACACAGCAACCGTGAAGGTGGCGACCAGTGCCGCCACAGCTGGAATGACAACTCTTGGGTGATTCACAAGCCACTCACGGATCCAGTGAGACTTCATTGTTGGCTCGAAAGCAAGGCGAATAACGGTCCCAGCTTCACCTCCTCCAGATTTAGCTGGGACTTTGGTTGTTGTCAGTTTGATCTCTCATGGAAATTGATTGGGACTTTCTTACCAGTGAAACCATGCATGCAATTCTTTGCCATGATAGCATGCCGAGTCCTCGCAAAATCGACATATGCATACTTGGGTAGAATCTTAGACTCAGAAGATTGGGAAGTGATTTCTCCAATTTTCCCATATCGCCGAAATAGACTATAAAGGGTTTCTTGAGACAACTCGGCAGCTTGCTTCTCTGGGCTTGTTGGACAAAATTCCACCCTGATTCGACGGCTTGGGAACCGGTATAGGTCCTCAAGCCAAGGTTTGCCAACCACTAGACTGGACTTGATCCTTCGGAAGGGGTTGAACCAAGGTTTTATCGGGTGCTCTCTTAAATACCCAGTAACAAGACCTATATAATGTTAGCCAAGCCAGTTTTTCTTAGAGACAGCGTTGGTGGAATACCTTCAATCTCTTTCGCAGTGATTCCATCTTGGTGAGAGAATTTCACAAAAGCACCCCTGAGAGCATGAGTTTAAGATACCTGGAGTAGAAGCTAGTGTAAACGTACCCATCCTTTAAACGTGGAAGAATCTCGGTAACTTTCAGAGGAATTGAAGATGGTATCGCTCTTTTGACCATACTTAGAGGCTCATACGGCCCAAGAGTTTGGTTATTGAAGCGGACCAGCAGATCTGACAGACTTCTATCGCCTCGGAAGGGCAATCGAAGAATCCAGTGAAGCTTCAACGGAAAGAGGTCTGTGAGTAATTAGCAAAGATCCGTATTAAAGCGCCCAAGTCATTACTATCAAAGAACAAAATGCCCTCATTTGGATGAGCGGTAATATGGCCTGTTGAATCCTCTCCTGTCTCTGTGCTCTCTTTACGCACACTTCTCCACCGCCCCATTCCAGCTCCATTGCCCTTCCTCAACCCAGCCCGCGCAACATACCCAGCATTGCAGAAGTCCCGATTTTGCGGTTTCTTCGTCCTCAAGCTGGGTATGCTGGTTGGGTTGAAAAAGACGCGTCGCGTGGTTTGCATTTTCGTATTGACTTGACTCTGGAAGCGCAACTGGGATTCAGCTCACGCTATGCATCTAATAGGACATCCAAACGCGACGACCCTTTCGAAATCTCCTCACAGGAGATGTGCGTAGAGATCTCAAGAAACCAGGAACATGGCATGGGGAGCCATGCACGTCATGCAGAGGTAAGGCTTAGTCACGTGGGAGTAAAAGGCTGAGCATCCCTGTTCCAATCTCAGTTGAAGCATCGCATCCTTCAGCCTCATCAATCGCTCTCACAACACTTCAAAATGGGTTGGCTATGGACTACACCGACGCCCGCGTCCACCTCTACCACGCCCTCACCGATATTCCCTCCAGACCAAAAAGACAATGGCCCACCCCCACTACCACAACCTGCTCCTGAAGCCGCATCTTCAAAACCTCTCTCAAGCGACGAAATCGCCGACAAGGAACTCAACAGCTTCCTGCAAGAACTCTCCGCCGACACCCGACCCTCCAGCACAAAGTACTCGCGCATAGGGCGTTCCACCCCCCAAACATCCTCCCCCACTTCACAAGCCCTCTCCAACGCGCCCATATCCGAGCAACTACTCCCGACAACCATGTCCTGCCGCGAAGCCTTCGACTCTGCCTTCTACTGCAACTCCTTCGGCGGGAAGTTCCAGGACATATACCGGTCTGGGTCCCTTCAGCCGTGTTCGGAGCACTGGAGCAAGTTCTGGTTCTGCATGCGCACGCGGCAGTGGAGTGGCCCGGAGAAGGAGGAGGCGATAAGGGGGTATTATCGCAAGGTTGAGGCGAAGAAGTATGCGGAGGGCAGTAGTGAGGATTTGTGGAAGAGTAGGGAGCAGAAGGTTCCGGTGGATACGGCGTTTAAGGTTAAGTTTGAGCCGTTTCCGGGGGAGAGTGATGAGGAGTGGAATCGGTTGGAGAGGGAACACCGGGAGGCGGAGAAGAAAAGGTTGTTGGGCCATACGTGACGATTTTGGAATGTGATATCAGGTCTTTGTACAAGTAGAATGGGTTGGAGTTATGGGGACAACTTGGCAGAAACCAAAATCTCAAATCTTAAGTAATATATACCCATGTTATATAGTAATTCCATAGTTGCACTCCAACGTGTCAACCCTTGATATACCCCTCCGCAGCCTTATTATACTGGTCCCCAAACTCCTTATTCCATCTATCAACAATCCCTTCAGACATCCCAGCACCAATAGTGTCTTTGTCTGCCTCCAAACCCTTCTTGACAAACTCCATAAACTCCTCTATCCCCAAAGTCGACGAATTCTTCTCCTTCTTGTTATCATCCGGATCACTCCTCTCGCGATGCAAATCTGTCGCTACCATAGGAGGTGCAATCTCCACAACCTTGACATTCTCCTTTGCGAGTTGAGTCCTGAGATTCAACGTCCAGAAATGGAGCCATGCCTTTGTTCCATTGTAGACGGGGTTTATGATGGAAAATGGGATGAAGCCTAGGGCGGAACTGACGTTTATGATAGTAGCAGCTGGCTTGGTCTTGAAGTGTGGGAGGAAGCCAATGGCGAGGTGCATCGGCCCACGGATATTTATGTTGATCTCTTGGTCTGCTTTCTCTAGCTCAAAGTTATTGACATTGAGAGGGCGTTGCACGCCTGCATTGTTTATCAAGCAGTCGACGTCTGGATGCTCTGAGATGACTTTCTTGATAAAGGAGGGAATGGAGGATATGTCGCCTGTGTCAAGAACGTAGTAGGAGGTACCACGTCCGAGTTCTTTGGCTGTCTGGGCGAGGTTCTTTTCTGTTCGGCCGACGATGAGTACTTTCTTGTTGATGGAGATGAGGTATTCGGCCATGGCTCTGCCAATTCCGCCTCCACCCCCAGTGACGATTGCACATTTGAAGGAGAGAGTTTTAGGTGTCATTTTGCTTGGGTATGATGAGAAAGAATTGGTGGTTGGGGAATGGGATGAAGGGGAATTGACATGTATTCTTGTGACCTGTCGCGGTTGAGTAATGTCGTAGGTCAACAAAGATATACATCATTCTGCCCCTACGAATAAACTCGTAGATGCATCAGTACTACCTTAGATGCGGTTAGGTAGATGTCAGGTTAGAAACTAAAGCTCCCGAAAAATGACGCTTTGATATCCTCCCCTCCATTCCAGCGGCCTGGAGAATTGTCCGCTTGGACAAATGAGGCTGCGGCAGCTGCAAAACCGCAAATGGTACAGTAATGAGCTTTTAAGTTGTGCGCTAAAAGCCAGGTTGCCACTTCCCCTTTCGAGAAGCGAGAGTTGTTGAGAACGTCATCACATTTACGACATGGAACTATTGCAAATGGTGGTAATCTTCTATGGCATGAAATCCTTTGAATGCTAAAGTTATATGCAAAGAAACGCCTCATGATTCATTGTCATATCATCCGGCTATCCCAGTCTATCCTCAAAAGCGCAGTATGAACTCCAGCTGCCGTCATAAGTGTTGCAAAAGGTCTCCTGGATGTAGAAGACGCCACCGTAAGAGTATCCTGGCACCATGGAAAGTCCATTGCTGCGATCTACGCAAGCAAGCAGGTCCGTCCTTCGAAAGTTGGGCAGAGCAAAGAAATCCATCCAGCCATCCAAGCTGTGCTATCGATTTAGTACCAGGAAGTGGTACCACGAGCACGCTAGCAAGTCCATCTCATCAACAAGTATAGGCGGAAAGGAATAAAGAGGGCCCAGTTTTGTGTCGCAATCAGCCGTAAAGTATATTGTGCAAGGAAATACTGATATTGGTACATAACCGAGTAAAGGGGGTATGGTGTTGCAATAGGATTCCGCAACGAGCCATCCGAGATTAGACAAATGGAAGAGGATTGTTGCATACATGCCCGGCATAAAGATATTTGTGCTCCTGAAAAGCCCCGGAGATCGTACTTCCAACATCTCCCTCTTGATGGAATAAAGTGCCACACGCTGAGTGGTCTGCAGATATTGCGAATGCGAATCAAGCTGAAGAACCAAGTGGCATCAGAGAGCAGTCTGAAGTCCTGGCACTAAAGAGAGACTTCAAAGACAATGTGCCAATTTGAGCTGGCAGCAGAAAGGCGATGGGTTGATGGCCGTTTACAGCAAAGCTGAGCGTGACAAAGATACCAGAACGATGAACTAGAAGAATTGCATAGACCGAATGGAAGTTGTCTATAATACGCTTTCTTAATTCATTAAGAGGACAGTGGCTTTAACCATGTTCTTGACGTAGAGCGAGGTACCCATATCCTCATTAAGCGTGATGGCTGGAGAAATAATCAACTTCAACCTGGTCTGTTGAAGTTGAAGCATTTTTGGGTCCTCGGTCGAACGATCCTTTGCAATCATCAAATCTGGTCCGCCGAACTTCGTACCAGTGTGGGGATAAGTTATTGAAAACTCCGCTTTAGACATGTTCATCTTGGCCGAGATGTCCCAAGCGGCTCGTATAATGCCCTTCAGATCTTTGTCACTCTCTTTCAGATCGACATTCGTGTCGAGAAAGTATGCCGTCAACCTGCGGAGCTCAAGGGAGTGATGCTCAATTTGGCCTTCGCGAAAGTTGTGGTAGTCGCTGGCGTTATATATATTCCTAACAGCCTGTGACCTTTCTTCAATGAGTTTCTTGCGATCTTTAAGTAACACTACATTGATATTGTTAGTTTCAAGGCTAAGCAGATGAACAGCTTTGACTTGCATTTTACCGGCTCCATTCCCTTTACCTTTACCGTCCCCATTCCCTTTTCGATCCCGATGAAAGTTTGTTCAACACTCCGGTTGTATTTGTACCAGGCCTTGACATTGAAAACTATGTTGACGCAATACTGATTTATTACTCTCATGATAAACCAGAATCTAGTGTTGGGGTCTCGTAGTAACAACATGACATGTGTGTGTGCCTCTTGAAGATTGTACGGCGTTACGCAACTCGTCACAAAATCCCAGACCTCTTGGTTTGAACCACCTATGCGCTGGTCGGCTTCTGGATTAGGGATGGTTGAGTATGACCTAACCCATCCCTCAGCAACGGCAAATAGTCTCGTAATCCGTTTATTGTACCCCCAAACTACGAGTTCCATGCATGCGTTTACCTCAGCTGGTGAAGCATTAAATCCAGGCCGTTGGAGAAGTTGGTCATCGTCTCCATACTCTGCCCCCGGTCCGGGCTCGTAATATCCCCGGGGATTTAGATCTGGCCGCGCCGTGCCAGTGGGTAAAGAATGTGACCCCGAGGAATTACCCCGAGGCAAATCGTTATCAAATTTGTTCCCATGGCGTAATGGCTGACTTGGTGACCCTGTGCGTGAAGAGTCGCTGTATAATATTCGGAACGAATTCGAAGTTGGTGGAGAACCTAAATTGGAATTGCTTCCTAGCCTCGAACTCCTTGACGGCGAATTGAAAATATCATTACCAAGCCGGGGAAGAGACATCTGATGCATCATGGAGTCTCGACGAGGACTGGGATCAGGGTTTGTTCCGAGCCATAAAGCTCGTTTGCCGTCCACCATCTGGCCTTGCATCTTGAGTTCCTCGTCATCGCGCTGACTCTTCAAAGTCAACAGCCCGCATTTCTGGTTGATATCATCTCTCTCCCGGAGAACCATTTGGCGCTCAGAGTCTACCCTTTGGAGCCTCTGTTCCGTCTCCCTTATTCGTTCAAATGCGTTTTCCAGTTGTCGTTTCAGGTCGGCGTTCTCATTCTGAAGACTCTCAAAATTTTGTTGCAGTTGTCGCTGATATTGGTTGAAATTCTGTGCGATGGAGCGAACTTCATCTAGCAATCCTTGCTGGTAATCTTTGGATCCATTGAATTTTAGGATTTTGTCTTGGAGGGATTTCAGGCGTTCATTGAATGTAGTCAAGAGCCAAGCGGCAGTATTCTAGTTGGATGATCAGTACAGTAAGGCGACGAGGGCGTGGATCTTACCTGGGGAGAATTCATCGACCCGTGACCCTGCGACTGTTGAGAAGGTGCTGGTCTGCCAAAACTCGACACAGCGGGATTCGAGTTGCTACCATTGAATCTTTGCGTCGAGTCACCGGAGCTGCCACTACTGGAACTATCATTTCGATTGTGTAAGGGGGCGCCTGGCACCTGAGAAGGCACAGACCGGAATGATTGCTGGTTAGGGTTCTGGTTGTTAGCAAACCGCGGTGGGTTGATACTAAGTGATGGTCCTCGGCTTTGAGACTCTCCCCAACGTAGAGAATTATGGCTTGCGCTGGGGTGAATTGTAGGTCCAGACTGGTTGCTGCCTTGAAGACCTTGAATCTGCACATTCTGAGGCCCTACAGCAGACCGGATCGAATTCTGGCTGGTATTGGGATGGGTTGTGAGCCCGATTGGCCTGTTGATTGGGGCTCCCCCTTGGCTTTGGGGCGCCGAGCTCTGGGAGGGCCCAGAGCGAAGAGATTGCTGGCCCATGCTTGGCCGAGGGGCAAACCCGGAAAGACCATTGTTGCCGTTAGTCATTGACCCTGGTTGTTGTGTGGGTTGGTTCTGCATCATCGGTTTTGGTGTTGCAGAATGTCCTCGATCGCGGCCGCTTTCGAAAGCAGCTCTAACCAACCCGGAGGCATTAGGATCCCCATAGACATTAAGTCTGTGAGACATGATGATGAAGAGGAAGATGATGAAGGAGAGGAAGTCGGGATTCGAAATATTTCGCAAGTTTGTGAGATGTAGGAGTGAATGAACAGAGCGAAACCAGAACTTTTGTGTTGTCCAGTAGACTTGAAGCCGACGGAAAGAAAGTAGCGATTATTATGATATTAATGAATGTAGGGGTAAGAAAATGATGCTCAAAGGAGTATTTGTTGTTAAGGCTGTGGGCCAGAACGAAGGGTGCGATGGGGACGGGGTTGTAGATGTTGATGTTGAGGAAGAAGAAAGGTTTTGGGTCGTGGGGGGGGAGCTTAAATATGAGGGAGAGGGAAGCTGCAGGAAGGTCGACGTGGGAAAGAATGAATCGAGGATTGATTGCGGCCTAGAGTCTCTCCAAAGACGTGAGTAACATGGAAATCTGTCTTTTCGGAGGGTGAATTGCAGGCGGAGAAACACGCTGTACTGTAGGCAAATAGTTGTGCCTTTGATGGATGCTTCAATTCCAAGACTTGATGAATATTCCAAATCAACCACGGGAAGTCAAACAATCTTTTTATTTCTGGGAAACCTATTGCCGGATTATGAAAGGGCTTTTGCTGCACGAGTGGTCTTCCTTCTCGAGCTTTAGCAAAGCATGTACTTACTCTTGGTGATTTCTCCCCATAAGCTCCTTTTCTGGGGGAATCACCGGATGGAAAAGTAGTGGCTGCTCGCAGAGAGTGCTTTGACTCTGTGGCATGAAAGTACCACCTATTAGCTTGCAAATCAGTTCCACCTTCCAGAATTGCCAGCAGGATAGTGTCACTCACCAAATCAATTGATTTGTCCATCGAAACCCAGAGAGCTAGGGCCGTATAGATTCACATAGATTTAGAATCAAAGGCAAATAGTTTGTTTGCATGAGATACATATTTAGTCAATGTTTTAGATGTGTTGAAGACTTTTCCTGTGAGATGGAGGTAGGTTGAGGAACTACTTTATACACGATACTACTGTCCCAATTTCAGAACATGCTTTTGTGTGTTTGGTTGTTGACTCTGCAACTGCTGTCTTGAGGTTAACAACTGCGCCGCAAAAAGGCCACGAATACTTAAGAAGACAACAAGTTCTGACATTAGCAAGTACGCACGTCACCGGACCCATCAACAAAAAATTGCTTCCTACCTAGGTATCCGTCGTTGTTTTCTTGCGAAGATCACTGTGTATCAAATCATCACTTAAAAAAGCTGACGCGCCCCATTATTTGCTTTCCTAGAGTATTTGCGAACGTAATGTAACAGCTTACAGAATATCATAAATAGAAGCAGAAGTGGCTAAAAAGCAACCCAGAACTCATTCCGTGGAAACACTACAAAGTCTACGATCATGACCTCTATCGTTAAACTCCCGTCAGATTCAGAAGTGAACATGCCTAGGCAGGCACCTTGCCACTGAAGTCGGTGGGATGCAAAGCTTAACCCGGAAAGTGGAAATAATGTAAGATCTTACACCGAAAAACAAACGCATTGGCATCATCACAACTTGTGGTCACCAAGCCAAGAACATCACGTAAAGAGCAAATAATTCTAATATCATTTCATATTCTTTACATAAACAAATACTACAATTACGGGGAAAGGAGAAAGCAACTTGTGTGCGAACTGCCCTATGTGTAATCAGTGGGTCCAGAAGTGTGAGATTCAGGTAGTTGAGGGCAAAAACGTTGTAGCCACATGATGAGGGTTTCCTGCAGTTGAACGAAATCAGCAGCGCTCTCGATATAGTCTGCCAATTCCAGATATCAAATCCCGAGGTCCAGAAAAACGATTTGAGTGAAAGGACCTGGAACGGGGGAATATATTATCGATGGGTAACAGCGAAATCGTTGTCGTAGGGTATGGCGTACTGGAAGGAAATCCAAGGACTTCTGCAACAAAATCTGGAGTGATGTCAGAGACTTTGTGTCCACAGAGTAACGTTCCAACGTACCAGAAGCGTCCCTAAAGACCAGCATAACGGGCGTGATTAGCATCTTAGATAGCCTTGGTGCGTGAGAACAAACTGCTGTAGACTGCATCCACAACAGGAGTAGCGCTAATCATCCGACCTCCAAAGTATCTGCCGTTTAGACCTTTGATGGCATTTTCTCCGCCTTGTACTCGGTCGAACTTCAGGTAAATGTCGCCCTGGGAGTTAGGATCTAAAGCAATGTGAACAACGTGGCCATATTTCTCTTCAGCCTCTGCTCGGACGTCATCCTCCAATTCTTTTTCCCAGGCATCACCTTCTTCTCTGCAAGCACATTGTTAGCGGTGAGATTTTATAGGAATGGGGAAACTTACTCAGTAGGGTCAAACATATTCTTAAGGACAACGCATCTACTTGCCATATTGACATTGACTGGAAGAGGCTTGGTCTCCATCTTTGGCTTCGAGATTTCGCGCCTCTCGTCGCGGCCGTTTGAAGTTGGGGCGGGTTCATCAGTTCTGGCCAGCTTCCTCATCAATGCATCTCGACTATAATTGTTGAAGTTTACGCCACCAACGTCGGTGTCATCCAAGGCACTGGCGCCCCCAGCGCTCTTGTCGTTATCACGGCCACCTGCGCGATCAAAGTTGCCACCGCTGGCCGCTTGGGGACCACGTCCGCCAGCTCCGGAGAATGCAGAACCCTGGAATTGTTGTTGGTGGCTCTGCCCTTGGAATCTCTGCAGTAGACTCGCGGTAGATTCGGGAGTAAACTTATCATTTCCAAGACCAACACGAATTGGGCGACCAGCCAAGTCAAACCCATTCATCTTTTCTAATGCCTCACGCGCCTGGTTGGGGTCACGAAATCTGATATGTATTAGCAAAGCTCTCAATATTTTTGGGACGTACTCACTGGACAAATCCATAGCCTCGGCTACGACCTTGCTCTTCCTTTTGCAACTGAACGAACTCAAGCTCGCCAAAAGGTTCAAAAACATTCTGTAGATCGCTTTCAGTGATGCTGAAATGTATATTACCCACGTACAGTCGATGGAAAGGGATCTGATTCGGATTGTTACCAGTAGCTTCAGGGTTGCGGACTTGGCGATTCTTCTCGGCTTCGGTGAGCTGAGCAATAATTGGGATTCCTAGGAGTTTTTGACCAGTGAGTTGAATAGCAGCAGGGACCGATTCTTCGTTCTTAAACTCAACATAACCCACACTACAAGCAGATTAGCAAATGAAGTAGAGGGACTCGGCAAATTACATACCCTTTGGATCTGCCACTGACACGATCCTTGACAATCTGGGCCTCTTTAACGGGTCCAATCTTTTCGAAAAAAGCTATGAGTTCTTTAGTCCTAAGACGAGCAGCAAGCTGTTGAACAAAAACCGTGCGACGATCACGCTCATCCTCCGTCAAGGGAGGAGTGTTCTCTCGTTTTGGGCTTCTACTCTGACGACGACCTTCGTTTCGGCCTCCTCGGCGATCATCCCTCGGTTTGTTTTCTATATCGTCGCGATCGCGGCGATCCCCTCCACGGGGCCGATAGTATCTGTTGGGACTCCTAGAGCGTGAACGAGGACGACCGCCTCCTCGATAGAAGTCTCCATCTCTACGGCCGGCCTCGTCAGGGCTGTCTCTGTGACGACGTGAGTGTCGGCGGTCATCATCTCGACTTCTGCTCCTACGCCTACTCTTGACACTTCCCTGAGCACTTCCATGTTCACTTGTAGGTGTACCAATCAACTCTTTATCTCCGTTTGTCTCCCTACGCACTCTGTCGCGGCTGCGATCTCTTCGCTTTCGGTCTCGGTCGCGATCTCTGCTGCCGTCACGGTTACGCTCTCGATCGCGTCGGTCATTTCGCTCTGTTTTATGTCGGTCATCACCATCCTTCGGTTTTGTAGCTCCATTCTGGTCGAGAGGGGAGGCATTCGCAGTCGAATCTAGCAGAGCCTCGACATCTAGGGTGGACATATTGATAAAATGTATTCGTGGACTTTTAAAAAACTCTCGAAGTTGACCGTAAATAATAACAACTGTGCCTGTGAGTCAGAACGATGCAGATTCTCACGTAAGGAGTAAATGGAGGTCTGGGCGTTGTGGTACCGTGTGATGACTTTCTGCAGAAGGAATCTACCGATGAAGAAGCTCGGAAAATATTCTTGTAGCCCGCTAGTCATGTGACTAGAATCACTCAATACTGTTTATGCAAATTTGGCCAGCAGTTTTTATTGATCGGAAATCTAATGCTCTCTTAAGAAAATTTATTCGCTTTAAAAGCTTAAGAGAGATTTTTTTTTCTTCTTCAAAGAATCGAATGTATTATTAGGTATTATTGGGTAATTGTTACAGAATTCGTGGATTAACGAGTGTCCAGCGCATGTCTCCTTAAAAGGCCTCAATTTAAAACCGGTCAACGCCTAGAGTATCTTCCCATTACTACTTTGCACATCATCACATCATTCCACGTCGACGATGAACCCATAAGTATCTTGTTGCCTCCTACGAGGTCTTTATGGGAGCAGGCGCGAGCCGGGTACCGAATATGTTATCCCAGAACCGACTGGTTACCCCGAAACCATTCTCGTAGTCCATGAAGTGATGTTGAAGATGGTACTTCTTCAATTCTCGCCAGTAGAAGGGAAGATTTCGGTGGTGCAGGAAGTAGTGGGTCAGGTCATAGCAAATGTACCCAAAGATACCCCCGCAAAACACACTTGTCGCCACAGACCAATTCCAATAGAACACGAAATGTGCAAGCTTCCAGAATGGAGTAGCAAGGGCTAGAAATAGAGTAGGTGGCATGACTAGCCTGAGCTTGTCCATTGGAAGGTAGTGATGAATACCATGGAGCAAGAAATGTAATGTCAAGGCAACTCTGTTGTTGGGTAGGAACCTAGATCGGGGTTAGAGATAGGCTTGTGGCGACAAAATGACATTACTTACTTATCCAGGTGGAATAGAAATCTGTGAAGTATGTATTCCACCAAAGTCCATAAAAAGAGACCCAGGCCCCAATACGCGACCTCTTCCATCGTACTCGAAAGACCAGCATTCGCAATATATGTGCCATAGGTAACCGGGGGTAGCCACACCACGGGTATAACCCACCAAGCTGTTTTCGAAAGTGGTTCTAGGAAATTCCCGAACAACGGGGCTGAAGCTCCTCCCTTATAATGGCGGGGTCGGTGTACTTGTTCGAGGTAAAAATCCTTCTCGAATCCACCAAACCAAACCTGCATTAACAATGGCTTGTTCAAATCGAGGAACTTGTGTGTCTTGTAATCGTTGGTAAGGTCGGTTTCTTTCGAAAGATCCTCCTCCGTGGACATGCCCGTGCTTGCGTAGACTGGGGCATCGGCAGCACCATTTTGCTTCAATTCCTTCAATCCATTCTGTGTGGCCGGAAGCGGTAGAATCGTGTCTGGATGCGAGCTTTTGACTGCGGTATCTATAACTTTCTCTGTCGCGACGAATCCAACCAGTGAGTCTTCCAAGATTTCGTAGGCAGCTTCGGAATGGGTGTGCGAGGATTCGTCCTTCAACATCTCCGTGACATCCTTTCCTCCAAATTCCAGCACCAGCTCTCCACCACCGGGGTGACTGTCTATGAAATCCGTGACATCAAAGACGCGAGTGCCCATGGTAACATAACAGCTTTTAGCATTGTCGTGGTCGGCCACCTCAGAGGAGAGAAACGTAGGGAGCGTGCGAGAAGGTGACATTGTCGCGGATGCCGTTATTGTTATTGGCCCCAGGACAGAAATGAAGCTTCTCGATATATTCTAGGAGAAAGTGTACAAAAAGATGTCAAGGGAATGAGGGACTTGAAGATCCTTTTATCGACTACTTCGTAGGCCAATCCCGTTGACGGCGTGATTTGACAGGAGACTTTTTATCAACTACGCGCATGCTCATTTCGCAGCGTGGCAAAAAGCCGAGAATCCGGTGTTTCCGCCGCTTACTAATCCATGGAAATGATTATCACGTGACTCTATACACACGTGACTATAATGCTCTGTTCTTTGTGACTAGTACTAGTCATCATCCTAGTATCGTATCGTATCGTAACTTGCCGATGAACCCAGATACCCACCCACGATCTTTGTCTGACAGTTACGAGTACGGTATCTCGACTTCTACCCAATATGGCGTCGTCCGCCTTGAGCTCTGTCATCCTCATATCATGTCTTGTACTTCTGGTTCTGCCTACACCGGCTCAATGCTTCGGAGCAGGGAACATTCCCAGTGTCGCACAGATTGAAGGCATGAACTTCAGACATGGTGACATAGAAGACTTTCTGAAAACTGTGTCTTTTATTCATGGACATAAATGGACTTCTATGATGGTAAAGAGAGTTTACTTTGGAAACTGGTTGAGGGGTAATTATTTTCCTGTGATCAAGCATCGGTTATCTGTTTAGACACACTTTTACTTATGACTCCATTATAGATTACTCTCAGGCTGTGGATGTGGGAAGCTTGAAAGGTGTTTCGGCACCAACTATCAGAATTTTGGTTTGAATCCCGTCTGCAGGAGTGGGAAATTTTAAGTTGAGAAATTTTAGGTCTGGGTTTTGAGTTTCTTGTCCTTTGGCTATGCCACAGAGGAATTCGAAGTCACCGAGGAACGACTAGGAGTCTACAGACCAGAAGAGCACAGTATGCTTTCTCTCCCTTGGTGTTATGAACATGCTAACTGAACAACTTTACCAGTCGACAACCCAAAAGATTGTAAGTGTCTCTCAGCTGTGATACAGGCCCTTTTGTATATTGTTTAGAAAGAACGGCTTTTGGTACAGCCCTCAGTACTAACCTGTATGTTAGATGCCGACAATGCAGATGCCAGGAAGTTTGATCCTCGTCTCAGAGGTCCAGTCCAACAGATTGAGCTAGAAGTTGACCTGCAAACTGGCATGAAGAATTACATTGCCAATGAAAACGGCGGCTGGGCCACAAGTGCAGGCTATGTGAAATTTAGTTTCTCACGCAGCATACACTTTGGCAGACTCTACACTAATGGTTCTGGAAGTAGCCGCGGGAAGGAAGCAGATCTCTGTGAGGCTCTGAGGTAAGGAAATACTTGAATTGCAGTTATGAATTTCTGCTGACCCAAATACGCCAGATGTCTTGGACAAGGTCTCCACTGTATGGAAGATTTTGGTGCTCATACGAATTATTGCGAACTCGCTCTGCGTGAGCTTGGCTACCGCGAAGTGTTCACCCACACTGGCACTGCGACCGAAATCAACCTCAGAGGCCACCACGTATATCCCTTGGTTACAGGTACATTCGGTGCTGTAGATTTCCTTCATTCAGTACTGGGTGAAGCAACTGACCACTTTACTCAAACCGAAGTTGAAGAGATGGATCTTGCTCTAAAAGGTGCTGAACAAGCCCAAGCAGGTGGCGGTGGAGGTCAACGTGGACTTTTTGGTGGGGGCGGAGTAGACTTCGTCAGTCTCCTTTCCAAGGTTCCCGGGGAGGGCAGTGGCTTGGCAGCAACGGCCAGAGATCTCAAGGCAGATTCTGCTGCTCAGGAGTATGCGAACGCCAATTCGAGCAATTCATTCGCTGCGCCTCCTCAGTCCAATACCGTTCCAGGGATGCCAGAAAGCTTCGACCCAGTTTCAACCGCGAAGAAGATCTATCCAATTCTCGAATTCAGAGATCGCGTTGTCAAAGCTATCAGTGCCACAATCGCCAAGATTCCAGGACTCGAAGCTCTAGTTGAGAAGATCAGCGAAACTTTGACGATTTTCGTTCTGTCATTGCTGGCGCCATTCGTGAGACCCATCATCGATGCAGTTTCGAAATCCCTCAAGGAAGGATCCACCGGTGTCGTTGAAGCAAGGTAAGCATCATACTCCTTTTCTCGATCTTAGGCTATTGTTGCTAAACGTCAAATCAGTGCCAATCAACAATTTGAGCCATGGAATGACCCTCACTGCACAAACCCGACTCACTCTATGCTGTCAAAGGACCACTTTTCCAACAAATTGAACGGTTGTGCTGGCCGAGTCGCAACCACTATCCTGCAATATGTAACTCCTCGAATTCTCTACGCCTGGCAGAATCCTGGCGTTCCAGTCGAAGAAGTAATGACGGATCTCCTACGCGCATTCCACCACCCCGCACTCCGCGACGAGAGCATCGAAATCCAGAGAAACATGTTCAACACTGTACGCAAGTGGGTAGAAGAGCAACCCGATGCCCATGATCTCAATTGTGTCCTCGGATCTGCCTCTGTCAAAGCTGGAAAGAACCATAAAGTCAGCGGCGAGAAAACCGGTGCTCACGACCACTCGCACGGCGCACTGGGCGGGCATGGGAAGACTGCAGGTTCCATCTGGACTGAGATCCAAAGCCGAGACCTAGGCTCCATGGCAGGCAATGACGGAAATCCCCAAGCATCCTACATGACTTCGTCCCCATCAATAGGTTCGCCCAGCCACCCGCCCGCGTCACCAAACTACGGCTACCAAAACACAGTCGGAAGCAGGCCAACCTCTTCAGGTGGCTATCTAACCCCTGGTCCAGGAGCCTATCAAAGTGGCCCACCCCAGCCTAACTACCAACAAGGCTACGATCCGTATTCTGGCCCTCCTCAGGGTTATCAGCAACAGCCTCCTTACCCTTCGTACGGAGGCGGTGGTCCTCCTCCTCCACAATGGCAGCAGGGACCTCCACCTCCGGGCTTCCAGGGTGGGCGCCCCCAGGTCAATACCCGCCGTACCCGACACAGCAACCTCCGTATGGCCAATACCCGCCTGGACCTGGATATCCTCCCGGACCGGGCTATGGCGGATATTAGTTTGTGATTTTCCTTGGCGCGTTGCTTTTAGAGTTTTCTCGTTGGCTTTCTGGGGGCTGGGGGAGGGCTGGGTGAAACTTATGATGTTTCTGGGATGGAGAACGAACGTATGAGGCTTGCGAACATGGATAAGGGAAAGGGATGATGCATGATATATGAACCACGAATGTGAGATCGGAGACTATCAATCGTCTGTCACCAAATAACGAAGAAATTTGCATGAAATACCCATTAGTATCATTGCTAGCAACTGTAACTCTCTTTGGAAGTACGTACAATTCCTATAGATCAATACCGAAATCACGAGCAGCTACCAGTAAACCACTTGAGATTTGCATGATAAATTTTATTAATTAATCTAATACCCCATCCGGGGAGTGGATTTGAGCATTTTATTCTCACTTTCCTGTTCCCTTATCCAACTCCAATTTTCGGCCGTAAATAGTGCTTTTGCAGATTTATCAGCCCCAAGATCGTTGCTTCCCCAAGCAGCTCTAGATTTCACCGATGAGAAATCAAAGGTGTTCGGCTTCCCACCTGCCACGTCCACCTCATCACCATTACCACCACCAACCCAGAACGAATTCTTGGAAGCCGTGGAACTGCTTGTGCTCCACGATTCGTTAACCCAATCGCTTTTGGAACGGCCGAATTTAATACCAACTCCAGTCTCGATACAGCTTTTAATGTAGTCGAGAGCTGGGAGGAGTTTTGTTCGGAGACCGCAGTAAGAATGGTATTGGTTGATCTGGTAGCTGGGGCATTGACGCAGGAGACCTATGAGGTTCTCTATGTCTCCGGAATAGGCGTCCGGCCAAATATATTCATGGTCTTCAGGAGAGACAGCTTGGAATGGGACGAGAGAAAGGAGGTCTTTCTTTGTAAGAAATTTGATCATTTCGCCGAGCTGGAAGGAGTCACAAGCTGCGCTGCTGTCATACCCCAGCTGACATTGTCTGTCTTTTGAGGCGTATAGACCTAAACATTGAGTTTGAACCGAGGCTATGGTTCGAAGAACACACGCTCGTCGGTGAGCGAGTTCAGCTGGATTCAGATCAGTAGGTGCCATTCCGTGGGCGTCTCTAGCAATACGTACATTCCAGTCCATCAGGCAGGTCCCACCATGCGGTTTGGAAGTCGGTTGTCGTTTCATCGGCACCGACCCATCTCGACGAGCCCCTTAGAATGAGTTCCTTTGAGGCTGAAGCAAACCGCAAGGCCTGATCTGTATGGTAGAAAATGAGAATCTTCTGGCGAAGAGTCTCTTCGGCCTTTTTGTCCAATGTTACTGGATATTTGAAGTTCATAAACGTCTTCTGCACATAGCGAGCAATAGATGGCAAAGTATTGTATCTGTCGGCCATTACAACGAGGACCGCAAGGCAGTTCAACGTAAAAGGCTTTGTGATGTGCTCCTAGATTTCGTCAGTCCGAGAAGCAATCTGATGCCACGATAACCACATACAGCACCATGAATTATGCGGAGCATATCGCAGAAGATAGTCTCCCTTCCGATAGTTTTGGTGGCGACATCTTCCTCTATAATCTTTATACGAGGAAGTTTCTCCGTTTCCACTTCCGATGGGTTCAGATTCGATTTGGCGAGTTGTGCAAATGTGTCTGCAATAGCCACCCCTTCTGCAAATGTGGATCCGAGTAGATGCTGGAAGTACTTTGAGCTCTTCTTCAGTGTCTCAAGCCGTACACGGTAAAATATTCGAGAAGGTATTGGAGACTTGGATATTTTCGCCGGAATAGACTTGGTGCAGGCATTTGAGTTTTCGAAGGATACGTCGAGTATTACGTCTCCGGTACTTCTAATTTCGATAACTGGATATGTTTTGTCATCGATGCAAATCGAGGCAGCGACCGCTGGGGTTTCTGGGGGTGGGAGAGGCATTCGGTCGTTTTGTCTGCGGGCAACGCCGGGACTTGTTGATGGGCTCAGAGCAAGCCGTTCTGGTGGTTCCTAGTGGCGAACAAGATGGTTACAGCTTGCTAATGGGACGAACCTGCTGGAAGGCCAGTCAGTACAGGATTCATGCATGGCCTCACGAATGCTTGAAGAAAAGCATGGAATATAGTAATGTATTTGCTTACTTGCCGTCCTAAGTCCTATCATAGGAGTCGTCCACGCTCTCCCTGTTATTTCAAGCTTCGCTAGGAGTAGGACTATATCTGAGCCTTGGGATAGAATCACTGGTATCTGCCTCGCCTGGCGATTCGGTGAGTTCTTGTAGTCCTCGCTGGATTCGTATTGATTCTTCTGTGAGCCAAATTGCTTCACGGGTATGGCCACGCCATCTTCCAAACTATCAAGATAACGCAATGGGTGGGTGTTTGTGTAGTAGGAATTACCGCCGGTAAAAAATATATTTGATGTGAGGACCAGTCCGTCGAAATGACATAAACGTCCAGAACAATGGTCCAGAACGCGGAGATATTTTAGACCCACTATTTTGTTCAACGACAACCCCAGGAACCGCTTGGCCCTAGCCTGCACTCTTTCTCTACTCCACCTCCTCCTCCTTCTTATGCCTACTCTAAATAGGTAAGCTTTGCCTCAAAATAATCCATAATCAATGGATCCTTGCCTCATCTGCTCCATGGAGTACTCTGAATACATTCCGAGAACCCCTTCTTCGGGTTGGTAAGACTTCAATGCTGTGCAAGCTGCCACTCGCAGCTTGCGGCTTGATGTATTGCCTTCTTCTAGCTCTGAGGATACTGCCAAGGAGAAATACCAACCACCTACACAAAAGTTAGCATGAATCTTACTAATGAGGCCATATTCCCTGAATATTGTACATACCTTCACCATGAGATTCAGTCAAGACGGAGTGGCCCGAGAAACGCCTTCTACTAACCATCCAGGATAAGTAGGTATGAGCCCAATTGTATAGTAGCTTCTGATGAATTCAAGCGTCCGAGAAACCAAAGAGAATTGGAGGAGTGCCACTATATTTGAGTAGTCTCGAATATAGGAACTACAGCTCGGAGACATCGAGACATTGGGAAATCGAGGATTGAGTATTGAGAAATATCATATTTCTGGAGTTTATTCCTTTTTGAATTTGCCGTTCAATTCTATGTCTCATTTGGGGCGCGGTGAGCTATGCTATAAAATCTGTTGCTGGGTCATAGGTAAACGAAATCTGCGTTAATACTTGCCGCCTACTATTGACTTTAAGATAACAATGCCCCAATAAGTGAATTTCCTGACCTCCTTCGTCTTGTATTTTGACCTTTTACATTATCTTGCCATCTCATTGTCTCTTTGCACTCGACCGCTCGTTCCCGCATCGCTCTTTGTTTACTCTACTTAATAGTAGTACGTACCAATGGTCCAATGCTTGAATCAGATCACACAATATTGACATCTCCCACTACAGATCTTGCAGCACTGCCCGACGACCAAAAATCTCACACCAACATACCAATTTCCCAAATCACCATCTTTCAACTACAGATACTCCTTCAAGATGGCAAACCTTTTGAAGTTCTCGGTCCTTCTCTCTTCGATGTGGGCTCTCCTGCTTGCATGTAAGTTCTCCGTTATTCTGCAGGTGCAGTTTTGTAACATATGCTAGTCTCCATGTTTGCTGGTGCAAGCATCTCGTCCGGCGCGGTCGTCACCATCATAACCCTCCAGGATTCAAGCTCACTAGACCCCATGACTACTGTCGCTCTGGGTACATCTTCCGCGGCTCCTTTGGACTCTCCAACCATCACTGTCATCATCAAAACCAATAATGTCACCACTACTTCACCACAAACCACGACTACGGAAACCATGCCGCCATTCACTGTCACCATTTCTGTATCTGAGATTTTTCCCAATACTACCAGTTCTACCAGTTCTACCAGTTCTACAAACGTCACAAATTCTCCAAGCTCTTCAAGTTCTCCAAGTTCTCCAAGACCGACTATGGCTACTGTAAGATACCTTATCCGAGGATTGTCTCCTATTTTCAAACGCCCAGAACCAGTTCCTCAGTCTACTACTCCTGGAATATCGTCTCAACTCCTAAATCCTACTCCATCAAACAATGCTGACTCCGAGATCTCAAATACAGGCTACCGGAATGTGTTACCGAGACGGTACAAACATCTTGGTTGAATGTACAACCTTGGCACCTGCTACAGCTACAACGATCCCGACGAAGAAATCCGATGGCAGTCGTTCCGCGATAAATCCTATTGGCAGAATGGTGAAGTACGCCAAGAACCTGGCACCGAATTACCATCTTCGATGGCAGGCTCCGAGGAGAGGTTACAAGTCAAATTCATACCAGGGGAGACACTGATATGACCTGTAAGTATGTGTAGCGTTGCTTCGTATTTGACTTGACAAGTCGAAAGTCCTGAAGCCTACCATCTCCGAGCTTTACTTCCATTCCTATCGCACTTTGCACTCATAGCGTCAAAAGGTCGTTGAGATGTGGACATCCAAAGCTAATTCCAGATTCTCTACAGGCATTTTAGACACCACAATCATCTACTCTGTTCTCCATCTTTGAAAATCTGGTACCTCAGCTGTTTACTCGTGAATGTCACAGACACTTCTGTCGGAGGGTACTACATGCATTTTAGACAAGGGTTAGAATTGTAGCTTTGTTGGATTACTGCTGCTACTTGGGTTACCATCGAAGCCGTTGTTCTGTACCTCTTCTCCTTTACAGCGATACGTTCCGGTATCGGATATCTGTGGATATGGCTATTTTCTTCATGCAAGATAATATCTAATGAAGCCTCGGAGAATAACAATTTTCTCAGGACTTGCTCTCTTTCATATGATGGTCCATGCTTGATACTCTTCGGGTCTATTTGAGATGCCAAGCCCATGAACCTAGAGTCTCTCCCATCGTGTCATGAAACAAACCCCAATACTCTCCAGCCCATTTCTATAATTCGGCTCCCCATACTCGTAACACTGTCCATGCCTAGTATCGTTTACCCCATTTACCAACTCTGCAGCAAAGACAAGGAAGTTCAATCTGACGCAGATGACCTTGATCATGATTGAACCTCGCATTCCATCCGTTTCTAAATGCCTTCCATGCCTTTCAGGTTGCTATTGACGATTGATATATGGAGGGCCTGTACAGTATTCCAATGATTTACCTCTTTCACTTATCAAAACCTCGTGGCAATTCCAAGCAGTGCAGCAACCAATATTTGTGATGCCAAGCTGGTCTCTTACGCAAGGGAGTGAGATAAGGCACCTATGTATTTACCTTCTGCATCTACTTTACTAAACAACAGCTAATTAAAACCCAACCGTTTCTGCCACCAGAATACTTCTCAAAGAAAGATTTGCGCGCTTCTACTCGAGGCTGAAGTTCTCGTGGTCGGGTACAGTAGCACAACGACGGCGCATTCAAGTAAGGCCTAAAAAGGTATTTGCAGGTACCTAAGGTCGTGCTACGATCAATATGCACTACCTTATCTTACCAGTACTTGGAGTCAGTCTATAAACAAGTTGAATTTTAGATGTTTCAGCAGTCCAGAGTCTGTCTAGACACTCCAAAAAAAAAAAAAGCTAAAAGAAAAGTGCCTTAAAATGGACCCGAGTGAGCCCTCTACGTCATAGGGGACATTTTCCACCTTATCGCCTTGCATTCTTGGTCCAACTTGCATAGAATTTCAGCAGCTATCTCTGCTACAGTATCTAGGTGGGCTGGTGGGGCAACTTCTTCCTGTTTCCTGTGGAGGAGGGGCATGGTGGGGCATTTTCAACCAACTTGGAATTCACCAACTTTATGTCTCTGCATTTCCCTCGTAGTCAAACGTTTTCTAGATTTCTTAACAGAAGTTGCCCATCAAATAATCTCAATTCAAATAATCCCTTTTGGAGAAGGCAAGATGGCAGAATCAAGTAAGTCTCCAACATGTTTGGTCAACGGAATGATACCAATAACTGGCCAGAGCAGGAACCAACCCCGGAGAATATGACCATGATGCAAGCCTTCGAATGGTACGTTCCAGATGATCACAAGCACTGGAAACGACTGTCCGACAATGTTTCGCGAATGAAGGCTACTGGAATCGACAACATCTGGTAAGCTTATCGATATCCTCATACCAACTTGCTGAACTCTTTGGGGCGAAATCTGGAAGCCTGGTGAGCTATTCCAAGAGTACGTATATGCCACCACTCTTGGAACAGCTCCCAAGCTTTTCGGCTCCCCTACTATACATGACTCCCTACCATGCTAATTCGCTGGTCAGGGTTCCCCCTGGATGTAAAGCCTCTTCACCATCAGGCAATGGTTATGATATCTACGACCTCTACGACTTGGGTGAATTCGATCAGAAGGGAGGTAAGGAAACCAAATGGGGTACAAAGGAAGAACTATTGGAATTGGTGAAGAAGGCAACCGATTCTGGCGTGGGGATATATTGGGATGCTGGTAAAGCCTGCACATTCAGCAAATGCATTATCACTAACCGAACGCTTTAGTCCTTAACCACAAAGCCGCCGCTGATCATAAAGAGAAGTGCGAAGCCCAAGAAGTTGATAATGATGACCGGAACAAAACGGTTTCAGATCCCTACGAGATTGATGCATGGCTGGGGTTCGACTTCCCTGGAAGAGGGGAGAAATATTCTGCCCAGAAGTACCACTGGTATCATTTCAGTGGCACGGATTACAATGCAGATAATAACAAGACTGCTATCTACAAGATCCTGGGAGATAAGACGAAAGGCTGGGCCAAATCCGGGGACGTCGATTCCGAAAAGGGCAATTACGACTACTTGATGTTCGCGGATTTGGATTATAGCCATCCTGAAGTTGAGCAAGATGTGATCGACTGGGGTGTCTGGTTGAGCAAGCAAATCACCTTGAAGGGTATTAGGTTTGATGCGGTGAAGCATTTCAGTGAGGATTTTCTTCGCAAATTTATTTCAAAACTTGACGAACAGCACGGAGAGGGCTGGTTCTTCGTCGGCGAGTTTTGGAAAGATAGTTTGGATGATATGTCTCAATATCTGGAACGAATGGGCAAGAAGTTCAGTCTCTTCGATGCCCCTCTTGTTTACAACTTCAGCCAATTGAGCAAGACGGAAAATGCGGATTTAAGAACTGTTTTCGATAACACATTGGTCAGAATTGAACCCGTCAACGCCGTGGTAAGTCTTCCGGTCACTGTCTTATATTGCCTCAAGGATTAATTGCTGTTCAGACTCTTGTCATGAACCACGATACCCAACCATACCAAGCCCTTGAGGCTCCTATCGAGCCATTTTTCAAGCCTCTGGCCTACGCACTCATTCTGCTTCGTTATGACGGCTATCCTTGCATCTTCTACGGCGATCTCTACGGTATCAAGGGGGAACATCCATTCCCACCATCTTGCGGAGGCGCCCTGCCAAATCTTATTCTCGCCCGAAAGCTTTATTCATATGGGGTCCAGCAAGACTATTTTGATTACGCAACTTGTGTTGGATGGGTCAGATACGGAACGTGGGACAAAAAGTTTGGCTGCGCTGTTCTAATGTCTAATGCTGGACCAGGCGAGAAGAAGATGCATGTTGGTGAAATTCATGCTGGCGAGGTATGGACTGATGTCCTTGGATGGGAGCAAGGCGAAGTTACTATTGACCATGAAGGATTTGGTAACTTCACTTGTCCCGGGACAAGTTTAAGTGTATGGGTTAATAAGGATGCCGAGGGTCGGGAGAAGTTTGGAAAGTTGTGAGTACACCATCCAGGATCATGGATCATTAACTGACTTTGCTAGTGACTCGGACATCTACAAAACCTAGAACAGGTCCTTTCCCGCTCTGGCCTCTTGTTCGCGGCTTCGGCTTATCGATCGCAGGATTATGAAAGTGTTGGATATCTACTTGTCTGAGCACAAATTTACTGAAAGATATAATTCGGGTTACACATCAGCCATAATTACCATAATTACCATACTAAAAGTAACTTTCTTGTGTGACCTCGAGCTCTTCAACGTACTAGTACGGAGTAACGGTAGAGCAATGAGCATTACCTTTTCATGTGATTAGCTGCCGATCTGGTGTTTATTAGTCGTAGTCGGAATAGGAGCTCGGGCTGCTCGGCTTGGCATCTCAGGGGAGGGAGGGGAAGCCTGTTGAAGCACTTGTATTGCAAAATAATTAATATCTTCTCTGGCTTGAGGAGGAATGAAACATTATCTGTAGTCTATATATATTTTCACGTCAACACTTGATAAGAACAGAATAGCAAGTTTGCAATACCCGGGGATCAAGCAATACAATTACAGTAGCCCATTGGTGTCAGATACGATATGTACCCCGGAATCAGGCCCTGGCCTAGACCTGATCAGCCCCACCAAGTGAAACGGAAACAACTTGTACAGTTTTCGCTGCAGCGCAGCTCCAGCTCCCGCATCTTCCACGCGTGCCGAGATCATGCAGTGGAATAGCATGGCAATGTGTAAACTGCACCCCGAGTCAGCACCCAAATGCCAACGCCTATACCCCCCACCCACATACATACTTAACTCTAGGACTACCCGTACAGCCTTATCATCCCATCTAGGCTTCCGCATGCTCACCCTAAGCCTCCCCACCTGTGGAACCGATACTCCGTAAATCTCACGCCCAGCCCTTCAAATGCGCCGGGCCCCAGATCGCAAGGAAAATGAATGGGCTTGCGATAGCTGAACGTGGCCTGGGTGGACGCAATAACCAATACACGACGACATGAGCTCGCCCTCGCCATCCAGTGGCATGTCGCCTGTGCCTACGAATACGCAAAAGCAGATCCGCTTCGTCAATAATGGGGGGCAGCCACCCGCAAAGAGAAGGAGGATTAACGCAGCGTATGTATAAGAGATGCATTTCTTTCATGAAGTTTCTAGGGTATATGTATCAATATTTCGAAAGATACCTAGTATTTCCCTTCCGTACTATGCTTCAATTCGGATTACCGATTCTGTATTTACCTACTGCATCTCTGCTGCAAAGCATTGATCGCCCGCCTATTAATTAAGACTGCATACATTAGCATTTGACTGACTGATTGTTTCTTTCTTATTGGTAGGTGTCGGACGTGTCGAAAACGCAAGACGAGATGCGATGGCAAGCGACCGCTATGTTCGACATGTATAGAGAATGGGCATGAGTGCTTGGGATACGCTGATGGGGTTGAGATCATAACGGGCAAGAGGGAGCGTAAGGACTCAGTTCTGGGCTTGGGCATGGGGCGGAGCGGTGATGTGGATGAAGAAGAAAAGGAGGATGATATAAAGTTTCGTGGCAATGGGAAACTTGACAAACAGGAAAATACTGTCCATGGGAGTCCTGAGGTTTACAGGACGAATCCACAATCGCGGCCATATCTGGAGAGTGATTCGAAACCACCTTTGACACGTCGAGATACTGGATCTTTGAAGGAAATCGATGGGGCTATTTATGATGACGAGTCAAGTCCACTGGGTATGTTGGTTAGAAAAGTAGAACCATTCTTTTACTAACACAGCAGATAACAGAAAGCCAGCGAGTACCATATTTTAGGTACTTTGGACCGACCGCTATTGTTCCTGGATTCAAACAGATGGTGGTTTCAGTCCGGGAGCACCGTCGTAGCACCGGTACAAATTCAGCTGTAGCCAGTATGTTCATCCATATCTGGAAATGTTCAGAATCTAACCTAGAATAGTGTCCCCGGGATCAGGCGGCTCTGTTTATGGGACGCCTTCTCATGCATCGGACTCGAAGTCTGCGGTTGACATGCCAATATACAATCAAGAAGACTCATTGCCTGTTCATAGATTGATTATTCACCTTGTGGAAACCTTCTTTGCTCATATGGGTTCTAATTATCCCTTCTTACGCCAGAAGTCTTTTATACACAGAGTCGAAGAACGATCAGCTGAGCCCATTCTTGTAGATGCGGTCTGCGCGTTGGCAGCACGTTTCTCGGAACACCCGTTGCTCTCTGCTTCTTACGATTCCTCCTATCCGAAGTCGGATTATGGGCATGTATTTGCTAGGCGAGCCAAGGCTGCGGTGGTAGACACATTCCCATGCCCATCGATCGCAGCGGTTCAAGCATGCCTACTGCTTGCCTATGAGGGGTTTGGTTCCAACCAAGATAGTGCTCTGTGGATGTACCTAGGATGTGCGATCCGCATGGCTGTGGACCTTGGTTTGCAGAAGCTTGATGGCGTCAAACACCAAGGCGAAAAAGATCCCGCGGCTCAAAGAGTAAGTACAGACAGTATCAGATCTGATCCTCCGGCAGCTATCAGTACCCAGGACAAAAAACTGGTGGAAAAAGAACGCGTCGACACTCTTTGGGCTGTATTCATGCTGGACAGAGTTATCTCGTCCGGCACGGGCAGACCAGTTACTTTGAGAGGCAAGGACTTTGAGCTTACCTTTCCTGCTTTAGATAGTTTTGAATCTGGTTGGCCCAATCCTTTCCCACCGTTGATACAGATAATACACCTATATGGGCGAGTATCCGACTTGTTGAACAACATCAGGGACGTCAAAGATGTGACCCCGAAGAAGATTGATGGTCTTACTGCAATGGAGAAAGACCTGACACTTTTCTACCAAAAGCTTGACACGAGATTAATTTTCAACGCGGCCAACTTCCAGCACTACGTCAAAATTGGGGAAGGGACGAATTTTATTCTTGTGAGTCAAGCGTTAAAGCTTTTCAATGGTAGTACTAACAATTTCCAGGTACATTTTTGGTTCCATACATTGATTATGTTGGTCCATCAGCCTACATTAATGCACTCATTCAAGGGGCAGATCCGGAATTTGCTCCCAAATAGCCGCGAACTCAGCATGTCATCAGCTAAAACCATTGCTGATATCCTTTCATTTGCTGAATTGATTGACCCGAGAAGTTTCATCGGCAACCCTTTTACTAGTCAGCCTATGTATATTGCCGCATGTGCTTTCTTGATGGAGACGGCTGCACATACTTCACAGCCTTCGTCACGCGATGCCACCCCTCCAGAACCAACTTCGAAGGGGGCACAATCAAAAACCGGCAACAGAGTAAAAGATCTTCAAAAGCACTCGCTACTCGCCTCTGCTGCCAACCAAAACTATCAACGTTGTTATAAAGCCTTGCAGCAGCTAGAATCCTATTGGTCTGGAGCCAGATATATTTTAGTGGCTCTCGACCAAAAAGCGAAAGGCATATGGGATCCTGAAACCTACACTGAACAGGAATATGAAAGTACAAAATCAAAGCAGGATATGATACCGAATTGGAGACGGAAGTTGTCGTTGTCAGCACCGTCTCCTGGGCGACTTGGAGATCTCCTTTCTCCAATATTAGAAACGGCCCCTGGTTCCCCACAAATTGACCACTCACAAGCCATTGGCTGGTCTTTAACAGGAACAACCAACTCACCAAGTTCGAATCTGACTTTCATGTACCAAAACAGAGATGGCGAACAAGTACAGCAACTTCCCCCACCTACAGCAGCTGGGAATATGATATATGACCCGATCCGCTCGAGCCTACCAGAATCAACTGCAGGTTCCACATCTGCAGTTACCTATCCTCCAAATCCAAGGATTCCTCTTTACGTTTCACAGCTGCATCAACGAAAATATCAGCCAATGGCGCCGCCCGCTTCAAAATATTCGCAAAGTTCACCCGATCAAGTATCAAAGTCCGACGCCCAGATGCTTCTGGAATTGCAGAATTCCCCCATGGCTCAGACGCCGGGATCTCACCACTCATTTGATGGTATTCCGTCGCCGAACAACTCTCGATCAGATACTAGGGCCGGAACATATGGTTATCCGTACAACATGTTCCCAGGTCCAAATAGCTATTTGGGCCTTGGAGGTGCTGGCGATATGATGATGATGCAGAGTCAAGATATCGACATGTCAACCATGGGAGGCGACATGATGCCGTGGCTTGAATACCTTCCTCAAGACGTGCTCAACTATTTTGATGGTGGCGGCCGCAATGCTCCTATTCCTGGAGACGGATCTATGAATGGGAATGTAAAATTTGGTTGATATGTTTATAGAGCTGGGCGATTTAGGTACTATATTATTGCTGTTACATAGCGGGATTTTCGGGCTTTTATGGGAGTGGAGTTGGAAATTAAAAAGGATGGGAGAATAAGGTTTGATGATTAAATGTGTACAGTGCTGTCATTTTACATATGTATATATACTAAGATGATAAGAGCGAGAGATCGTTAAAACCACAGGGGGTGGAAATGAGACTCATCACGTGTAATTTTCTAGATATGTCACGAAATTTCTCGCAAGTCACAGACAGCGACAGCGACCCCGCTCAAATGTGATGATACTACATACAAAGTACGTCATCTATTTCTTACTCTTTTGCCTTTCAACATGGCTGTCGTCGACATATGCTTGGCCGTGCGGTCAGATCGCGCTTTGAGAAAGGAGCCGAGGCACAAAAGAGCAGGACGTGTCAATTGATCTTTCTTCAACCCCCCTTTCTTGCTGCTCCCTGGACTCAACTCAACTACAGCAAAGGTTCCTGCGTAAGGTATCACCAACACACGCTTCCCTCTGTGGTCATGGCATATGATGCTCCCAAGCAATATTCTCCAACACTATCAGTCTTCAAACGCCTGCAGCTCGCAATCAAGCTACATTGGTACAAATTCATCACCTCAGTTTTTATCAAAGTTCTACATTTGCCTGGTATACGGGATAATTCGACACTTCCTACTTTCACAAAAGTTTACCCCTGCCAACCAACTCTGACAAACCGTGTGTTCGTCCCGAAATCGTGGAAAAGTGGAGATGCGCTCCTTCCTCTTTACATTGATATCCACGGTGGTGGATTCGCACTTATGAGCCCAACTTCAGATGACAAGTTCTGTTCCTATTTCTCCAATACCAACAAGATTCTCGTCATCAGCTTGGATTATCCCAAAAGCCCTCAGTACCAATTCCCGGTTCCGGTTGAGGCAGTGGTAGATCTCGTCAACGCGGTTCTGCAAGATGAAGCTCTGCCTTTCGATAAGAACAAAGTCGCCATTGGAGGCTTCAGCGCTGGAGCCAATCTCACACTTGCCGTGAGCCAACATGAGAGTCTCCAAGGCAAGATCAAAGGTGCTGTTCCTTATTACCCGCCCGTGGATTTCACAACGCCGATTGCAATCAGTATGGCATCGAGGCCTGAAGATGCTGGACCGGACATGATCGAAGCAGGCGCTCCTATGTTTAATTTCGGATACATTCCACCGGGGCAAGACCTAAGGGATCCGTTGCTCAGTGTTGCCTATGCGCCACGAGAGAGACTGCCTCCTAAGCTCTACATCATCGGATGTGCACATGATCTTTTGTGCAGAGACGCGGAGATCATGGCTAAGAAGTTCGCAAATGTTGAGGACACCGCCGATACTACTTGGGAGAAGAATTGTGTGAAGTGGGAGAAGATTCTCGGCGAAATTCATGGTATGATCAGACAGGTACTCTTACTATAGACCTGGGGAATGGCTAATCGTAATACTTAGCATTCGATGTCTACCCGTCCTTTGGAGCCGTCAAGATTAGACGGGATAAGAGGAGGTTGGAAATGCATGAGAGTGTCGCTGAATGGCTGTTCCGTGAGGTGTATTCTTGACTATGTCTGGAATGAGAGCGCGATGGCTACAACACAAGTGATAGGAGGGTCTCAAGAATACCAGAATTTAGAAAATGCCCCTTTACCTGTTAAGACGTTGACGCCGTCGTGACCGATACTGCTGTACGAAGAGACTTGTAAGTCCAACCACCTACTATTCATAGCTGATCTTTGGAATTCTAATCAACTTGAAAATCTTAGGCGCCTATTTTCTCACGGATTCCAATTCCAGTGGTGTGTTACAGGATTATACATGGCTAGCGGATGGGCGCACGTGAAGATTTGAAATCCATGGTGTTCTGGGCTTGATTTATACCTAAGATGCGAAGTATCTTCAAGAAATCATGGCAGGAATTCGTCGCGGGGACACCTAGAGGCAATTTCTATACACGTGGCGTTCTTAACCCTTGTTGAAAAGATCAGTATCAATACTTGGGATCAATGCCAACGGTACCAAGATAACGAGCTGCCAGGAGTCCAATTAAGGTTTCAGTCGTATTTCTAAATTTGGTTTTTTCTTCTTCTTCTTCTTCTTCATTATGGTCTGGGCTTCGCGATTTAGATCGTTTCAAAGCTCTAGCGATCTTAGACCTCGAAAAGCCAAAATGCCTGCCATGCCAAGATTTAGCAGGTATCACGCTTGAATACCAAGATGTCTGCAGATACACCTCAAACAGCATCGCGACTTCGGCTGAGCAGCCAAGATATCCATCCAAGTACTTCACAATGGCTTGAATGAAAGAAAACCGTGCTGAGGCTCAAAGTTGATCCTCGCCACTTCCGTTTTGGGCGTATCACTTGGCGTTTGATAAAGCATTGGCATTTCTTCGACAAGCGAAACCCTTTTCGCTTGGTCGCTCGGATGAGAGCTCTCGCTCGTTCCCGAAGAGATCGTTGCGGGCAGATGTTGGGGTTTGGCTAGATAGTGCATTAGTATTGAGGGATCTGGGGGTAAGGCCCCTTGCTTGTCTGTCTAGCTACTACTCCATAGACTTGTATAAAAGTCTTGCCTGCCACCAAGTCTCTTGTCCGTCTAGCTGTGCTCACTTCTTTCACTTCAACCCCTTTCGTTTTTCAGAAGCTCGACGCCTCTTTTTAACTTTCTAATCTATAATCTCCTCCAAGCTAAAACTCATCCTTTCCAAACCATATCCAAGAATCACCACCATGCATTCCCAACTCGCCCTCGCGCTCTTCTCCCTCCTGGCCGCTCACACGATCGTCGCCCTCCCTCTCAACATCAACCTCGGCGCATACTCGCCCGCCCTGGTAGTCGGAGATGGCGAAATATCATTCGGCGGCAAGCAAGACGTGACCAACCTGATGAACGCCCTGGAAGGCGCCGCCGTCTCCGGCGCAACAGCCAACGGCGTTGCTGCACCCATCGTCACAACACCAACACCGCCTCCAGTAGCAGCAGCAGCCCAGGTCCAACCAGCGACTCAAGCAGAAGTGTCACCGGTCACGTCTGAAGCTGCACAGATTGCCTCGCTGCAAGGCATGGGTAAGGAAATTTCGCCGCGTGTGGTTTCCTTGGAGAATGTGGAGGTGCAGAAGAGAGATATCAATGGCTTTAACGCAGCGTTGAAATATGCTACGGGAGCTCTTACAACGAGCCCGAAAGTCCAGCTGGGGACTGGTGCAGAGGGGTCTGGCGTTGGGATTTTGCAAGATGCTGGGGGTGTTCGTCCAGCTACTGCTGCCGCGAAGAGAGATGAGAGCAGTGGGGGTGGAAGTGTAGTGGTTCCTAAGATGAGAACTACGGTTACTACTATGTTTGTTCGGGGTGGTGCTGGTCTTGCTCCTGCTGGTATGTTTCTTTCTCTTTCCCATCCCATCACAGAAACTGTTTCTTTTTCTCCTTTCGAAGATATGTAGAAAGACAGCTAATGAGAAGTTATATAGTCAAGGAGAGGAATCTCGAAGAAGCACCAGGAGCTAAGCGTGCACCAAGCCCGGGTATCGATGGCGTTAACTTGAATGTGGCGGATGGACAAGTCGCTGAGCTGACATTTGTGGAAACGAGAGAGCCGAGGGGTGGGGACGAGGAATAGAATGGAGATAATGTAAAGTTAGAAGGAGGCCTTTAGTATCTGAGATTTTCGGGGTTATTGGTTCAAAGTTATACTCGGAGGGCTCTTATTTCCGGTTAGGGCGCAGTTGGGCATGTATTCTTTTTGCTTTCTTTCTTTACGTTTTGGGAAGCGCTTCTAGAGAGTATCAGAAGATAAATAGAAAGATTCGAATTGAGTAGGTTTCGCTCTTCTGTCGTTTGATATCCTGCTCTTCTCCCTTTTCTATTTTGCTGTTTCGATTTCGATTCCGACTCGATGCCATGATGGGAAGGAACCAGGGCTGGGTATTTGTTTTCCTTGGCGATACGAAATACTACTTACTGTAGACAAGTTCCATACATCTGCTTCTACGGTACTTGACGATGTCTGAAATGTGGTCTGTGCAAAACATGTACTGTAACTGCCCAGAAAAATCCTCGAACGCTTGAATGCCAAGGTAGGATGGGTGGATGCATGCATCATGCAAACAAAGCGATCAGATCCATCGCCGGTACTGTAGTTTTCCTTGCGAAGATCCATTGGTAGATCCAAACCTTGTGGGGGCGTGGGTTTTTCATTGGAGGACGTGCTTGCTTGATACTCGTACAGTATCGACAGTTGATTCGCCATATGCATCGAAACCACATTGTAATTCCCGGACTCGTTGAGGATTCTGGTTTGGAGAAGTGGATGCGAGACTTGATCCGAAGCGCGAGGGGTTTATATACTAGCCTATCCTTATCATCGAAGTCGAGCATGTGTGTACTGTACCTGCAATTCATAACTGTTAGGTGCGTGTGTTTCTTGTGTGGTAGTTGTGGGGTTGTGGTTGTGGTTGTCGTTGTGTATCTAGAAACCCCGCGGGACTGTGGGGGAGGCTGGTTGTGTTGCATCGCCGTTTATTGTGTATGGTGATACGGCTTGCGAATGGCTGTGTAGTACTGACTGAGCATTCAGGAGGGGCAAAGAGAGACAAAACTAGATGACGTCATGAGAACCCTACAGTATCGAGCAGATGAGAATTTAGGGAGTATTAAAATCTTTAAATGTGAGGTTTACCAGTAACAGTACACGATAGATAATTTACGTGAGTTCTGAGGTTTTGTTCACAATAAGGTACTGTAGCCCCATTTAAATCATGGCATCCCTGCTTTCCTTTTTAAGTACTCCAACTTCACCCCCTTATTTCCGACTTATCGTTTACAACCCACCACAACCTTCAACCACATTTTTAGGGCATTCATCTGTACCTAAGTATCGCAAAGTTATACAATGACATTACATTTCACTTCAACAGCGGCGAAAGCCGACTGATAAAGCTAATACCAAGCCGATGACTTGGGCACGAGAGGGATGGACGCGGTTCCGGAAGCAGAAGGTACCTAGGCAGTCTGCTCTTGGCGATGGCCAACATCTTCCACTCAGGTTTCTGGAAGATCGGCATAAATGCACCTGTTAAGCAGCTCCCAGCAGCTCATCATGTGCAACATCGAATTGGATGCCGTACATTCGGAGGATCGGGGCGTACCTGACTTTTAGGGGTGTCCACTATCAAATCCGTGCCCGCCATTCGACTGTCGATCAGGGTCTGGGAGGTCACGTCTGGTCGCTAGCCATTACTCTATTTCTCAACGAGCCTATGAGGGTGTAAATAGCGTTGGAGTACAGGCACGAACTAATTCACCTTCTTCAACGGGTTCCCCTCCCGCGGCTTTTGAATAAACCTCAAGGAGATTTTGCCTTGCACTAGTTCCTTTATCTCCATACCACAGATCATCTTGAATCTACAAAAATGCCATGCCCTTCCTCTAAAGATACTTTCCTTGAGTGACAAGTATTGTATCTGCTTCTATCATTTATCATGGCTATTTTCACCCCAAGAGTTGTGTTGGCTTCTCTTCTCGCCTTGCCAGTAGCATTAGGCCTTGGAACCCCCAAGACGTGCTCAAATCCCACATTGAGCTGTTCGACCAGCACTTCCACTGATCTCTGCTGTGTCAACTCTCCCGGGGGACAATTGCTTCAGACACAGTTTTGGGATACAAGCCCCTCTACGGGTAAGTGCTGAAAGAAAACTTTCATAATGTCTATTGCTGAAGAGTATTTCAGGCCCGTCAAACCACTGGACAATTCACGGTCTATGGCCTGACCATTGTGATGGAACATATGATTCCAACTGCGATACGGCCCGCGCATACACAAACATCTCCGACATTCTGAAATCCTTTGATAAAACAGACCTCTTGGACTACATGAACACATACTGGCTTGATGAAGATGGAGACAACGAGAGCTTCTGGGAACACGAGTGGGGCAAGCATGGTACTTGTATCAGTACTTTGGATCCAGATTGCTACACTGATTACACTCCAACCCAAGAGGTTCCTGATTTCTTCCAGAAGACGGTTGATCTATTCAAGACGTTGGATAGTTACACGGTAGCAGCTCTGTCTTTTTGTACACGAAAATACTAACGGTTTCCAAGGCACTAGCAAATGCGGGTATTACGCCCTCGAGCACAAAGACTTACACATCAGCCGCAATCTTAGCAGCGCTGAAAGCCTCATTTGGCTACGAGGTCATTATTCAGTGTTCTTCGGGCGCGCTGGATGAAATCTGGTACTCTTACGATGTTAGGGGTTCTATTCAGACTGGGACCTTTGTTCCGACCGATCCTGACGGCTCCAAGTCTGACTGCGCAACCTCAGGAGTAAAGTATCTCCCAAAATCTGGGGGTGGCACAGGCACTACTACCACAGCTACTACGACTTCACCTACATCCACCCCAACTGGAACTCCAGGAACATTCTCTGGCACTGGATATCTGAATGCTATCACTGGGGGAAGTCAGACAGGATGCCTCATCAGTGCTGGGACCTGGTATACGTCTGGAACATGTGCTACTTATACTGCAGCTGCATCCGGTAAGCTTTACTGAAAAAGATTGTTATATGATCATTGACTTATCACTCCATATCTAGGCTCTGGGTTCACCCTTAAGTCTTCGAAAGGACCCTGCGGTATTTCGAGCTCATCCTTTACTTGTGCATCTGGTAACACTGCGACTGTTTTCACTGTAAGTTTTGCAGCAATAATATATGCTGGAAGTGTTACTAATATCTTTCGATACAGGCTGTTGGTGGTTTACTTTCGTACAATGGAGACACGACCTTTTACGCAGCGGCAGTGCCCAGTGGGTCGACCCAGGAGGCTATCAGCACGAGTTCACAGAGCATCAGCGTCAGCTTCCAATGGCAAAGTCTATGAGTGGGGTAACTTTACGGCTGATAATTATGTCTATAATAATAATTCATGTCAAATATCTCGTCCATCATCTCTTCCAAAGAGCAAGCCTAAGCACGTGATGAGACCTGGAAAGTTCTATTCTATAATACCTGACAAAAACAAAAATCATATCCTAAAAATGATATCTTCTAATTAAATGTTAACCCGCAAGACGAGTTATAATCCTCATTGAGGTTCAGAAGCCAAGTTTCACTCCCTCCATCCATAATCACGTGACATTTATTTGGTTTATTTGTTCCGGGAGTCATCCTACCGCGTCTTGACACTTCTATTTGACGGACTTCTCAATTCTTCTAGGCTGGGCAATGACAACAGTCACAATCAGCAGTAGTCATGTCCCGCAAGTCTTCAAGCCGCTGTAGTCATGAGAACCTCACTTTCACGTCCTCGAGCAACGCAGTCGTTGCAGGCTATAAAAGGCAAACACTCCTACAACGCACAGCTGCAGCAAGCACACAGGTAATAAAGGCAAACTCGTCATCTGCAAAAGAAGCAAAGCCTTCAACATTCCCAGCGCCGCTCGTCCTCCCAGAAGACGAATTATCATGGGACCCCACGGACCCACCGCAAAGTCTACGGTCATGGAGTGGGGAACAGCACAGGAATAAAATCACACCTGAACGCAGGACAGTCTATCTCGCTGCACCCCCAAGCTTCTCACCCGAAGTATCCTTTGCCCAAAAGTGGAGTCAACCCAAAGGTGCACGTGCGAGATCGAAATCTGGTGAGCAAGTGAAGGTAGAAGTCCAGGACGTCTTGGAGTATCTACAAGCGTTTTATCATGGACTTCCCGTCAAGCTTCTGCCTTCACCCAACCCGATCTTCACCAACGACGTCGACGACATGGAGGTTGACCTTCCCCCAAAAACAGCAAAAGGAAAACCGGAACGCCAAACTCTCTGGCTGAACACGCATACTCCGGTGGGCTGCGTTGGTATACGCAGTCGCCCCATGCCGAAAGGAGAATTTTCTCATCAGCTTAATCTAAACGACCTACTGGACGCGGCAATAGAGATTCTACCCAAGGATGCCTATGCGTTCCTAATGCTGGTCGAGCATGACATCTATGAAGACGAAGAAGATGATTTCGTCTGCGGGCGCGCATATGGCGGGTCTAGAATCGCGGTTATTTCAACAGCTAGGTACAACCCTGCTCTTGATATGAAGCAGAATATCGAGAGGGAGCATGGGTGGCCCGCGAGCCATTGTGAGAGGTATATCAAGTGGTGTGTTGATGGCCTAGAGGAGGTTGGGGGGGACAAGAAGAGGAAAAGAGAGGAAGGCGAGTCATCTGGTGAAAATGTCATGAGTCCAATGCAGGCAGCACTCGCAGCTCATAATTCCCTCCCGTCTCTCGCCCAGGGCAGACCTTCACCTGCGGCGCTTTCAGCACTATGGCTTGCGCGTGCCTGCCGCACTGCTGCTCACGAACTCGGCCATTGTTTCGGGATAGGCCACTGCGTGTACTATGCGTGCTCTATGCAGGGTACTGCTTCTATTATAGAAGATGCAAGGCAGCCTCTGTATTTGTGTCCTATCGACTTGGCCAAGGTTCTGAATGCGACTGGAGCCAATTTAAAGGAGCGGTACCAAGCACTCCTTGCATTTTGCGAGGGTAAGAATGAAGGGCAGGTATTTAAGGCTCACGGCGCGTGGATTAAGGCTAGACTCGATGAGATCATGAGGGAGGAGTCGAACTAGGGATTTTGTTGTAAGTTTGTGTATACCTGAATAAGGAGAAGAGGCGCTCAAGCCTAGTCATACGACGTCGAGAGAAAGCCATTCTCAAAGAGTCATCATTGACGACGTATACTTGAGATGTCGTAGGAGACGGTATGTATGCACGGGACGATGGAAATCTTGATTCTTTTTCTTTGCACTCCTTTTCTTATTATTTGATTTAGAAATACTTCTAGTTTATCCTTATGCAGTGAACGAAGTTTGAAATTTGGGGCTAGTTTAGGGGTTTCGGCGCGGACCAAGATGGGACTTCCCGCAGCTTCAGGGCCGAGCCGTTAGTTTGTAGATTACGATTTTGACAGGCCACTAGGGAATTTTCTAGCAGCGAGTCAAGAGAGGGTTCATTAATATGTTAAGTATCAGCTAGATCTAGGAGACCTTCTTTGGGACCCAATGAATTATAATCTAGCGTTTATAGACCTTCCACTCTGTTGGATGATATTATCGATCAAGGCCATAGCCTGATACAACCTCCTTTCTTGCAGCCTTGGTGCCACTACTTGGATCGACAGCTTGGTGTTGAGATATAACTTCCTATCAATTGTTCTCTCGTCCCCTTCTCCGGGTCAGTACTTCATGTAGCGCGTGAAATAAATGGGATATGAAGACGACGTACATAATTCTTGGTTTGCTTTATCCCAACTTCCTAATGATTGACTATCAACCATTTCATCGTACAAATCGACCTCCTTGAAGTCCCGTACTGGCAAAGTGCCAGCAGGATAATCTAGTAGCACAAAGGAACTTGTGTAGCTGACGCCGTTCCTAGTTTTAGAGTCAGTGATGCTTTGTGAAGAGAAACCTGGAGATCTGTGTCTCAAAACCTCCCATACAAGCAGAGAAAGATCTTAAAAATCGTGGAAGTCTCCGAATAAGGAAATGATATCCTTGAGGAATTGCATACCACTGGTCTATTGGGGGAACAGGATGAGGAGCAACTGGGCAAATAATTGCATCAACCGTCCGTCCCGTTTTCGGGTCTTTCCAGATTTTCAACATCTCCGTCTCAAGCTCAGTCTTCTTGGCATGAAACTCGACCAACTTGTCAAGCTGTATTGGCTCTTTCCGACGTAGTCTTGTACTAAGCCAGTTTGTCAAAGGCTCTCCAGTCTTCTCTAGAAGATCAAACATGAAGTTCCCACCATCGATTCCGAAGAAGCCGTTGGCGAGAGATTGACATTTCTTAAGAGCAGGGGCATTAATCTCGAGGACTTCAACACCTGATTTTCTAAGTGTTTGCACAGCTTCGTCTACTACCTTACTAACAGGAGGCAGAGGAGTTATCAATCCATCTGTGCGAATAACACCCAGTAATGGCTTTTCCCCTAAGCTTCCCTGTTCTTCCCAGGTCCCGTAAATAGCACCAGGGTCTGTTTCCCAGGGTTTGGAATTAGAGACTGCTTGTAAAAACAATTCGCAGTCTCTTATGCTGACAGTAATCGGACCCGCACTCGAAGCCAGGCCTACTTTGGCCGCTCCTGGTCTCGTACCACTTTCCTGTCCGGCGTTGGGAATTCGATATGCGCTTGGTTTGATGCCGTAAAGACCATTGCACATTGCTGGGATTCGGATACTACCACCAATATCAGTGCCTACACCAAGGAGGCTTCCCCTCATAGCTACTAAAGCTCCCTCGCCGCCTGAGCTGCCTCCTGCTGTGACCCTCCTGTCCCGGGGATTCAGCGTGCGGCCGAAAATATGGTTGTCAGAGTCGAGGGCCATCAATGTCTGCGGGATGTTTGTTTTGCAATACAAAACAGCCCCTTGTGCTAATAGAATATCTACGAGGGCTGAATTCTCTCTAGATGGTTTCTCTGCAAGACTCGCAATTCCAATAGATGCATCATATCCCTTGACCCTGAACATATCCTTCAACGAAACTGGTACGCCATGTAGCAGGCCGACTGTCTTTCCCGTCTTCTTGTATTCGCGATCTAGGTATTTTGCTCGCGCAATAGCATCGTCGAAGAAGATCTCGGTGAGACAGTTGCAGACCTGTTGGGCAATAGCAGCGCGTTTGCAGAAGGCAACGGCAACTTGTTCCGCGGTGAGGCTTCCGGAGCGGATTGCTTGTGCGAGGGAGGTGGCATCGTGAGTTTCAGTAATCTCGAGCTCTTTCGAGCTTAGAATTCCTGAAGTTCGTGGAATAGAGCGTACGTCAAGGGTGCTCGATGGAGGGAGGGAAGAGAGACGCCACTCTTTGGGAATTCGGGATTCACGCTCGGCCTGCTTGCGCCGTGCGATGGTTTTCCAGAGAGGTTCAGCCGACATTGATGAATATGAGAGGATAGAAAGACAGCGAGGGACAGACAATCTGCAAGGTACTAGAAAATAAGACATTTATAGTTGTGTTAGTGGCTGGGCTGGGCTGGGTACTGTATATGCTGGGGAAATGCGGGGAATGAAACGGCCGAGGTGTACAAAGTAACGACCGACTGCCGAGTTACAAATATACATCTCTACCTACACAACAACATAATGGTTCAGCCCAAGTGAATCATTTCCTTCGAAGTTGGGTTTACTTGTTGGTATTTAAGGGTCATCATCTTGATACAAGTAAAGGCTACGTCTTGACTAAGTTGAATAGTCAAACCTAAATATAAACACAAAAAGCTTAATTGGGGCAAGAACTAGCTACCTGTTCCTCAAGATATCTCAAACCTTAAGATATCAAAATGCATATTGTTAGCAAATATATTAATTTACTCGCAATTCGGTCAAGCGCTATTATGCAGGTGCATTGAATCTCTTTTGATATCTGGAAAGGCCTTTGAAGTTTACCAAATCTCTTCCCCAGGAGTGAAACACGTGGTTCAGATAGCCCTTTCTACTTACTCCGCACTCTTATGCTAGACTCAGGCATAGGAAATGAAGCAAATTGATGGATTGGTGAGAGGATTTTTGATCAAGAGGGTGGATGTTTATGCCTGGATCCATGCTAGTGAAGCTGATCCGGGGGGTGTTTGGGAAATTTGGGTTTGTGGAGGGGGGAAGGCTGAAGGTAGATTTGTATGACTTGATGGGAAAGGAGGTCTGTTTGTAAAGGGGAGAACGGAGAGAGCAGGAGGGAAGGTATGTGTTTAGATATACAGAGAGAGGCGTGAAGTAGGGTAATAAAGGGAAGAAGGAAGAACGGTTAGCCGGAGAGCAGGCGGAGAAGATGTTGAGTGAAGGAAGTAGTGCAATCACTTTTCTATATATCGAACGGAGCTCATTTTAAAAGTTCCATACTGTCATAAGAACCAGAATGGGTGAATATCTTATGGCAGGCAATGAATGCATAAACTACAACCGACATTCTACAAGTTTAAAAACACAAAAGTCCCGCTCCCTGGAAAAAATCCTCTAAGTAACAGATTTAAAACAATGAGTGACAAGACCGTGATAAAAAAAGACATAAAAATTCCATAAGACCGAGTTCTCAAGTATGGCAAAACAAATACCATACGCAAAGAAATTACCAAAAAAGAAAATGTGGAACAAGGATACCATAGAGCAAGCTCAATGATAAGTGTCTTTACAAAAACCTTGAACCCGTACAACAATTACACTTAGGTTGTGTTTTGGTTAAGTTTTATTCAATTATATATAGCCATATGGTTGTGAAAATAAGCCGGGGAATTTCCGAATTGAGTGTTTGTTCTCGCTTGTGGAAAGGGGGGAAAGATTACCCGACCGACTGTCCGGTCTTGATTGAGCAGGAGGAGCATTCGACATCATAGTCGGGTAATGGTTGCCTTGAGGAGACGTGGTGAACGAATAGCCCTGCCCTTGATTCTGGTTCTGTTCATCTTTCAAAATCAGCTGTCTGTATGTCTGCCTGCCTGAATATTGCTAGAGCCGTTTAACATGCAACAGTCAAGCATAATTCTATGATCTCTCACCCGAGATGGAATTCGTCATTTGATCACATTCATATTCACTCGTAGAATAAAATAAACAAAGGGCTTTGGTTCATGACTGCCATTTTGTAGGCTATGCTATGACAGTATAATGGTGAAGCCCGAAACCATCTCAATGGATAGCCAGCAAATAGCAAGCCATGCATACGAAATATAAAGCAAGCCAAATGATGCAATGCAATAATGTCATAATGTTGCCAAGTGTTCCCTGAAACACCTCCATGTCAAGACTTGTATACATACCAGTACTTATGTCCGAAAAAAAAAAAGCAATAAACCTCGCTATGCATATAGACGTTTGACCCAAACGCCGATTCCAATATCAAAATCCCGCCTATAATAAACGCCGCGTGATGCCACGCCGGGGTCCCCATCGAATCAATTATCATTAAGCGTGCAGTCATGGGTCCTCATCCTCCTCGACAATCCCGGAAGACCTGTGGTCGTCGAAACTGACTAATTTTCGTGAGCCGCGTTCGGAAGCGGGTATTCCATCTCGAGATGCACCGAAGTCGAGAACCTGGCAAAAATTAGCATGAAACACATCATCCCGGTGGGGAAACTTACCTCGACATATGTAAGATTGTCACGCTGAACAGCTGCTACACATCTTCGCTCATCGAATTTGACTTGCCAAACCCCAGTAAGATCAGTCAAGAGATCCTTGATACATTCGCCGGTCTTCATGTTCCACATCTTCAAGGTCCTATCCGACCCCGAGATCACCTTCTGGCCGTCATGCTGAAAGCAAGTAATTGCACCAGTGTGCGCAGTTAATGTACTCTTGCACTGGCCATTCTCAGGGTCCCATATTCTCAAAGTTGAGTCAGCAGCTGCTGAGACAAGACGCTCATCGCGTAAATCTAACAAACCAACAAGCGAGTTGTGGCCTTCCAAAGTGAACAAGCAAGCGCCTGTCTCGAGAGACCATATTTTTACAAAGTTATCCATCGAGCCGCTGATACAGCGATTGCGCTTGTGATCTAGAACAACACTGTACACCTTCATCGAATGCCCCCGCAATTGATGGATCGTCTCACCAGTTGAGATCTTCCAAACTCTAACTGTATTATCATAACTGCCGCTCACAAGTGTGTCTCGATGAGCTGCAATTGCACGCACCGAATGAGTATGGCCACTCAAAGTCCGGAGAAAATAGGGACAGTCGACATCGTTAGCCGGAGGCCCGGTTTGAATATAGCGCTTGGATCCCTGCTCAGGCAGCTTCCATACCCTAAGTTGAGAGTCCCGCGATCCAGTGATGATCAACGGTTTCTCCGGGACCATAATCGGCTTGCCTTTGGGGGTCTTTCCAGTCATTTCCGGCATTAGAATTTGGAGGCATCGAACGGTAGAGGTGTGGCCATGGAAGACTTGCGTACACAAGCCTTTCTCAATGTCCCAAACCCGAACAGACCGATCTGTGGATCCAGACACTAGAACATTCCCTTCGTATTGCAGAGCCCATACTCCTCCCTCATGACCCTCAAGTTTCTTTCTTAGCGCCCCTGTCTTGGTATCATAGACGTGTATGAGTGTGTCGTCGCTACCCGTGAGAATCTTGTCGTCGTCGAATTGAAGGCAGGTAATAACGTGCGCTGGGTGTGCTGGAAAAGCAAAATGATGAGGAGCTACATCGTTACTCATCCAATTACGTTGAAGCATGTAATGGCGACGATAAAGAGATTTGAATAGATGAAGCTTCCGCAAGCTAGCCAAACCAAGCTGGGGATCAGGTACAGCACGAGCAGCGGAACCCGCAGCACTCATCGGGCCTTCTGATTTGGAGAATACGGCAGTTTGTGAACCTCTTGATGACTGTGCCTTTTCAGCAGACCCTGTTGCTCTCCGCTTTGCTCGATCCGAGGCTGAACCACCTGCGACTCGCTTTCTTTTCGTCGTAGAACGAACCTTTCTCACAGGTTCTTCAACCTTTACACTAGCGGTGAAGCTTGCATCGCCGTCTGATGACACAGCAGGCTCAACACTTAGGTCCTGTTCCCAGCCGTCTGGGCCATGAGGATCTTGCCATCCCCAACCTTGATGAATTGCCTTCTCTAGTTCTCCGATCGGAATAGCAAAACCGTCGCGGTCAAAGAGTTCTTTCCAGCCCGTCTCGTTCGAATCAATAACATTTCTCCAATGCTTTGAGACCTGGGCGGCTTTACAAAGATCCTTATGATCCAAGAAGCCTAAGATTTGAAGGCTTAATTCCGCCGGTAATTGATCTAAAAAGTCACACTTCAGTGCGGGGCCAATAACGTCTGCTAGTGTGTGGAGAGTCTTCCTCGAGCAGCGACGCAAGAGCTGGTACATCATAAGTGTCTTCATATCATTTGGCATCGAGTCGAAGGTTTCAAGCATCGATTGACTGTCCATGAGTGAAGGTGCGCGAAACTGTCCGTCTTCTGATGATCCCCCATATTGATCTGGGAAACCCTCATCGTCTCCGAGAGTCTCTTGGCTATCATCTAGTTGTGTTGCGGGACTATCAGCAAAGACTCCATCTACGTCAGGAAGGTCAACACCAGGAAATTCGATTTGGTCGAGTTCCGCAGATGCAAATGTTGGCGATAGTCCCGGACTTGGTAAACTTGCGTTTTGAGCAGCCGCGGTATTGATAGGAGGTCGTTGCTCAGTAATATCAGCGAAATCTACACTCGTTGTTTCCAAAGGCTCGAGGTCTGATTCAGCGATAGGAGGTGTAGCGACCGCATTGGCAAATGATTCTTGATGTTGGTGGTTATCAGGTATATCACTGATTGCTTCAAAGGAGTCGTTCTGGCTGACTCCTGATTGTGGAGTATCTGAACGAAATGAGGTTGAGAAAGCTCGACTGCGGTCTATTACAGAGCTTTCTAGTTCGGACATGTCAGGAGTGGCAGGGAATGAGGCATGTTTCGTTATATGCATGCCTAATCCCTTATGTCTTGTCCGTGATTCTTCGGTCGTAGCAGAGTGGCCATTTTGGGATTGCAGATTGGTATTCTTAGGCTTTCGAAGCCTCTCAGTCGAAGAGCTTGGAGAATTCAGCCATACCTCTGGCCCTAATCTTGCGGATCTTCTCTCTCTAATGGAACCTAGCTTCTTACTCGGAGGTTCTGCACGGCGAAAGTTTCCACCGTTGAGCTCACTAATTTGGAGTTGGTAATCCCGCTTATTCTCTGGGGCGATTTGCTTGTTTTCGGGAAGATCTGGAGAGCGTGTCGAAGTATCGACACCAAAACCCTATAGATTAAGTAGTTAGACTTGTTCGAAAGATATTTTCTGTTTAGCAAAAGAAATGGTGTACTTACCTTGGGAGGGCTAGCTCGAAATTCATCCCCGAAGAAGCTCATACTCTGGCCGTCAACATTGTAAGAAATCCTCTTGAGCTCGTCCGGGGTTGGCTTTAGAGCTAATGGATATTCCTTTGCATCGAGCATGTCGAGGCCCTTCTGCCGGAAAAGTAGGGGAGGATAAGAGCGTTTGGTTGTAGTTGTCGTAGTGACTGTTTTCGTCTCGACACACTCCGCTAACTCTATCTGTAGTCTCGAGGTGCGACTCGACGGTGTATCATTATCTTCATCCCACTCCATCGCAACGGTTTGGCCGTGAGGGCGAGGCCGCAGAACTTCGGTGGTGTTTGTATGCATGGATTTTGGGGTCGAGGCAAAAGGACTCGGCGAAGCGTCTGAAGGGTATTTATGCGAGGACACTAAACTGCTGCTCTGAGTCGGCGCAGCACGTCTCTTAGAAACGGGACGTGCCGGGGGATCCATGATGTATAAGGTGCTGTTGCGAGGTCGTGCTTTGGAGGTGTGCGTCCGGGGTTATGTCGTCCTGCCCCTCTCTTTTGAATAGAACGCGTTCCTGACACGAGGATCTCCAACACAACGCGTGCAAAGCACAAAGCTTCTCTCGTCCACCGATATATTACAGGTATGCCAGTAACACCATAGCCAAACGACCGAGTTCGTTCAAAGACGGCGTAGGAGTGGGCGCGAGGGCAGCAGAATTCAACCGAGAACAGATGCGAAATGCCGGATTTCGAAAGGAGGTTGGGATGTACAGTACAGTACAGTACAGTATCGAGCCTTTTCTACAAAGTGCAGGAAGTCTCAAAGCAAAGGACTGGGGCGAAGAAGAGGAGAAGGCGGAGTGGAGTACTTGTAAAATAGAGGGACAAGAGGATTGACTGACGGTGAGTTGAGGGAACGAGTGTCGACCAAAAGTTGTCAGTCAGCACTTGGCACGCCGCTTCCGAGTTTAGCGGCAACCGCCAGGCAAATTCTTTACGACATCCCATCCCCTCTCGCCTCATATATTGGCTTACATTTTTACCTTGATTACGCTTGCTGTAATAAGAATACATTCGCCTGGAATCAGAAACGCCGAGAATATCGTACGTATACCAGTGGGATAGCAGGATATTTGTGAAAGGCACTTGGGGCTTATAAGAAGACCTAGGACGTCGCGGGATAGAGGCTATGGATGTATACCTATAGGTAGGTACTTTGGGTAGGTAATAAAAGGTATTCGAGAACTCCCGGAAAGTGGAGATAGATACAGTTCATGGTTAATGGTTTGAATATGGTACTGCTATAAGCCTTGGGTCAGATGCTTTGAAGAGGGAAGAGGAAAAGTGGCGCGTATGTTAAGATATCAACGTTTACTGCCTCTAAAATACGATATGCTGGAAAACATACCTGGTATGTAGAATATCTTCTTTTTGTAATCTTTGCCTGTCTGCGCTGAATTGATTGCTTGCCCGCCACTTATCTGCATTACCAGTGTTGCTTGTATGAGGTTTTACCAGGCGTGCATCATTGAGCAATGAAGCCTATATATTCCACGTCAAGTTGTATATATACTTTGGATAAGGTTACTCGGTAAGTCCTGCACTATAGTGAAGGCGGTATTTGCTGGCCCTGTTGGTTCTTTTCTTCCCATGAGGATCCGATATATTGAATTTGGCGATTCACTGGATTTCTAGGCATATTACGACCGTGGCCTGTTGTCATCTTGAACACCTTTGTTAATAAATTAGGTGTTCCGGCTGCGCCTGCTGTACTTGCTTCGCGGTCGAGGTCGTGCCTTCTTCTGCTGTTGATAATGATGTTTCCCTAAACGGCAGTCGCGCTACCTCGACAACCCCCC